TGGATCGTATAAAGACCAACACTTGCTTTTCATCGTTAGCCTTCTTTAGAAGATAGGTGGGAATTTGAGAAGGGATCCTTTGCATACAGCTACCACCCCACACCAACACACTAGTTCCTGTAGCCTTGGAGCGATCAAGGTTTAGGCAACCTTTGGAGAAGAGGGCCAGCCATGCCGTTGCTGCTGCCAGTGGAACAGTGCTGGCCTCCTCTTTGGAGATGCTCGGCGGCACCTTGAAGGAGATGCGTTGATCGGCAACAGTATATTCGCTATAACCGCCCAGGCCGGCAATTTCACCTGCAGTAGAAATATCAATGAGTACTCTCGTATAAGTCTCTGACGTTTCGACGGATTCCTACCACCCCAAAGAAGGCCCGCTACAATATCACCCCTCGAAAGACAAGTAACCCCACTTCCGAGCTCGGTCACTTCTCCGACGAAATCACAGCCTAAAACAGCTCCGTCCCCAAAAGCATTGATATCAAAACATTGCACTGGTTCAGGGTGAGTCGAGTGAAATATTCATCCACAGTAGGGCAGAGGGTCCTACCATCTGTCGGGTTCTGTGCCACGTGCGACACCTTGACCTGCACTTGGCCGGCGCCAGGAATGGGAAGGGGAAGCTGTTCTTGGACTAATTGAGGAGATTTCCCTTCGTGCACACGAACCACAAGGGCATTTCCTGTAGCCATTATATTGAGTGATAATGAGCACAATTTAATGCGAAGTGACACCAAGAAAAGAATAGATGAAGGTGAAGGCCTTATACTTCGTCATCCGGCCTGAGGCTACATTGTATGTAGCCGAAAGCTTACAAATCCACCCGCCCAAGGTTTCCACAGCGCTTGCGCTTGCAGATACCTATTTTATCATCTGGAGTATAGTGTGGTATTTTATTTTCTTTTGTTTGGCAATGATAGGGCCATATGGGCATACTACTCTCAAGCTGGTCTGCTAGCTTATGCGACGCCGGTATCGGAGAGCCGTCATTTGCCTTTCCAAGGTTTCACTTCGGATTTAAGGTTAAACTGTTTACACTCTTTCCAAGCACATTGTGGCCGGGTACTACCGTTAGTAGACTAATACTTACTACTAGTAGGGCATATAATCTCGACATGACTGATTGTGTTACTACATATACTACGAGTAGTGAATATATAATCTACGACTTTTAGTAGCACTGCCAAGGATTTCAAGTTGTTCGCGCAGGCTAGCAAATTACCACTAGTACTAGTGTATGCGCTCAATTTGACTGAGAGAAGTGTCAATCTCGTTGGTTACCTCTCGACAGAACAGCCCTAGTGAGGACTACCTGGGCAACCCCCTCATTTCATAGCGGACCACCTATTGACTAGACATCGGACCACGACACGTAGTAAGTCCCAGAGCGATCTGATATTCTTAGTATATTTTCAATAGTTCAAATTCCGTCTCGACAATCCGTACCGAATTAGTTGATCACAAAGAAACTTCACGTTTCGAATTTTTATGTTTAAACATTGCTCTCGGGTTGTGAAGTAGTACTAGTAAGGAATACTAGTATGATTCACCATAGCCCGCCCACTGAGTGAAATATCCAAAGTATCCTTGGGTAAAAATTGGATTGAAATATTCATGTGCATGGAATTGCGTGGCCATTATAAACTTGAATGTAAACGCTATCGACCTTTATAAAGGAAGGCCAAGACTTCCTCTCCGCTATATCCATTGAGCCGGCTAATTTTGTTCGAAAAGTCCGTCTCTCGATGCGGCCCAAGGGAATCTCGAGGAGCCACTGCAAGGAGATGAAACCGATTTCTCAGTCTCACCAGCTCAGAGAATAAGCGCTAGTAATCAATCATCTTGGACCGTCGCCGATCTAAGCTCTCGAACGATTCACCCACCAATGGTAAGTGGTATGCCTTCAACTAGTACTCTGCCACTAATGTCGATATTTCCGTTGTGTACTCTGCCGATGATTCCTCAATTGGTTAAAATGTAGCCGGTGGCAATGCATCGTAGTATCGGCCTTGTTTAAGGAGACCTGCAAGAGCAGGAGGTTCCCGAAATGAATTGACCGGCTGAGGTTTGACCCAGTTCGACTAGGAAATTTACCACGCTACCACAAGGGCACATTGTGACGCCATGGCAGCCATGCGTCATGCTCGAGAAAGATATTTGAGGGGTAAGTTGCAGGGTCCTGCATGAGGGCGTCGGATCCCACTTGGCCGTGGCCGCCACAGGGACCCAAGCTCCAGGAACCGTGACCATAGTTTGATCATCCGCACGAGTCATCCGTCCTTTTCCTGGGGTGTGGATAGTGCTCACTCATCCAGAGGCATGGCTCTTCTCCTTTTGACGAGATTATCGGGATCATCGTTAGGTGCAGAGACTAGTCGGATCAGCCGGTCCAGCAGGTCCAGCAGGTCCACCAGAGGCGAGCAGTGGGACACATTCCCCAAGCCACTTCGGAGAGACAGCCAATTAGAATGTACGCCCTTGCAGATCCCCCAGGCCGAGTGGAGTGGGTGCAGTCCAGGTCCAGTGGTGTAATGTGTGCAATGTGTGCAATCTGCAGGGCCGACGGAAAGTAAACACGATCGATGTGACGCTCGAACTTCCCCTTTTGTGCCCTTCCCTCCAATGCGCCATTCTCATTCTTTTGACCCTGATCCACTGCTGCTTTGCTCTCGAGCATTTATTAAATCGCATTGACCCACACTGCTGGGTGGTCTTTCGTTTGCGATTGAAGAATCTCTTGCCCTCGCGGCCCTGTTTATTGATACTATCATTCCTTTACGCGACCCCAGAGCGCCGACTCAGCCATCATGCGCGTTCCATTGTCACTCCCTATCACCGTCCTGAGCCTATTGAGCTCCACGGTTGCTTATCCCTATGGCGAAACTGAGGCTGTCTTGCTCCGCGAACCAGAGACCAACCAAGCTAAGGCCAACGCTGTCAAGGAGGCCTTCCAGCACGCGTGGGATGGATACATGAAATATGCTTTCCCCCACGACGAGCTGACTCCAGTCAGCAATGGCCACGCCGATTCTAGGTGAGTATTGCTTATCCGCCTATCAAGTTATTCCATAGAAAAAGGACTTGGTTAAACTAAGACCTTTCCTTCCCATAGAAATGGATGGGGAGCCTCCGCAGTCGATGCTCTTTCCACGGCCGTTATTATGGGCAAAGAAGACGTTGTAAACACAATTCTCGAGCACGTTCGAGATATCGACTTCTCCGAGACCTCAGATACCGTCAGCCTTTTCGAAACTACCATTCGTTACCTGGGGGGTATGCTGTCGGGTTACGACTTGCTGCAGGGACCCGCGAAAGACCTGGTCAGTGACCAGAGCCTCGTTGACGGATTACTCACACAGTCCAGAAATCTCGCCGATGTGCTCAAATTTGCTTTCAATACCCCGTCAGGTGTTCCATACAACAACCTGAACATCACATCGAACGGCAACGATGGCGCGACAACCAATGGCCTTGCTGTGACCGGTACACTGGTCCTCGAATGGACGCGCCTATCCGATTTGACTGATGACAAGGAGTATGCCAAGTTGAGCCAGAAGGCAGAGTCATATCTGCTGAGCCCGAAGCCGTCAAGCAGCGAGCCGTTCCCCGGCCTTGTGGGCAGCTCGATCAACATTAAGACTGGCCAATTTGCAGACGCGTCTGTCTCATGGAACGGAGGCGACGACTCATTCTATGAGTATCTCATCAAGATGTACGTGTACGACCCTAAGCGGTTCGCGACGTACAAGGACCGCTGGGTACTCGCGGCCGAGTCGGCAATCAAGCACCTTCAAGCACACCCGGAGACTCGCCCGGACCTGACGTTCCTGTCTTCGTACAACAACGGAAATTATGATCTCAGCTCGCAGCACCTGACCTGCTTTGACGGCGGCAGCTTCATTCTGGGTGGTACGGTTTTGGATCGCCAGGACTTTATCGACTTCGGTCTTGAGCTGGTGAACGGATGCGAGGCTACCTACAACTCTACTCTTTCTAAGATCGGGCCAGACTCGTGGGGTTGGGACCCGAAGCGTGTCCCAGATGACCAGAAGGATTTTTACGAGAAGGCTGGCTTCTACATCAACAGCGGCGCCTATGTCCTCCGCCCCGAGGTCATTGAGAGCTTCTACTATGCGCATCGCGTTACTGGCAAGGAAATCGTAAGTTATCCCTACCGCTCTTGCTTGCATAGCTCGGCGGATGACATTAACGAAATTTTAGTACCGTGACTGGGTCTGGAATGCATTCGTCGCCATCAACTCTACCTGCCGCACCGACTCCGGCTTCGCTGCTGTATCTGATGTCAACCAGGCCAACGGCGGCTCCAAGTATGACAACCAGGAGAGCTTCCTCTTCGCCGAGGTCCTCAAATACTCGTACCTTGCACACTCCGAGGGTATGTTATCCCCTCCCTCCTTCTCTCTAACTATTTTGAGGGAAAGTCTCTGATTCAAATTTATAGATGCTGCATGGCAAGTCCAGAAGGGTGACAAGAACACCTTTGTGTTCAACACTGAGGCGCATCCTGTCCGCGTCGTACGCGACTAGATACCCATTGCTTGTCACCAGTAGTCTTTTAGCATCATTAGGACGAATCCCCTCGTGAAGCTCTTTCAGATTTAATTGGCTTTAGGACTCATTTTCTACTTGTGATATCTATTGAGTAGTAGTAGGGTAGTGTCGCTGACTAGACGCGATAGTTGCTGACTAGGTAACACCCCGTAGAGTGAATCTCGGAATATTTTAATTTGACGTTCAGTACTCAGGTTACTGTAGTGATCAATGGCGTCCTTCGACCACGTTTTGCCGAATACACTTACCAGCCCAATCTCCTTCTTACAAATGAATTTTTGGCTCTACAGTAAAAAAAACAATTGAAAGGGAAATACCCCGGGAGAAAGAGGTCTAAAAATACCGGAAATTATCTGGCATGTGTATGTATGCTACCCCAGAATCTAGGAAAATAGAAAAGAGTGGAGGAATGAAAATCACAGTTTATATCACGCTTCGGCGACTTCAGAAAGTTCTTCGTCGCCAGTTTCATCAGCTCGCTCACTCGTCTCACTAGCCTTGTCAGACCGGCGCGACTTGCGAGAAAAGAAGCCAAGACTGCTGCGGGCTGAACGATCTGCGGAGGGCGCACTGGATACAGTGCTGTCAACACTCTTCCCCAGCTGAGCCTCGCTTGCAGTATCCTCGTCAATATCTCCCTGCGATGAGTCGCCCTTCTTGGAAAACAAACCGGAGCGGTCCTTCCAAGAGCTGAACTTGCTCGAGCTACCCTTGCGGGTGATCTTGCGGATGAAGGATTCTTTGGACGCATTGTCCATTGATGTGCCAGATGGCACACGTTCTAGAGACTCGTAGGAATCGCCGGTGAAGTGGGAAAGGGAGCGGGAGTCGCGTGATGTACGAGGTTCTGAAGGAGATCCATCGTCCATGTGTAGATCAAAAGGACCATCTACATCCCTTTCCCTGCCTCGGTCCGATTTCTTGCTCGAGAAGATTCCCTTGAAAGAAGGTGCTGCAGGATTCAGCTTCGGGGTGATCGGGCGATGGGATGATGATGGCCGAGTGCCAATCGGGGCTTGAAGAGGTCGGAGTTGGCGATCGTATGAATCCCCAACAAAGTCCGGTTCACCTGTCAACCCTAAGGGGAGATGACCCGAAGATCCGTATTGAATAGATGGGCGGCGAGATGGTGCTCTAGACCACGTAGAAGGGGACGCCCAATCCAATCCGAGAGGACTATTCCGATGTCCAGTTTGGTCTGTCGAGGGCCAACCAAAATGTCGATTGTCTGTAGAAGGGTGGGGAAACTGATTTTGATTGTCAAATGAGAAGGTCGAGGATGGTCGTGGAGAAAGGGATCCACGACGAACACCGCCAAGGAGAGACGACGGATCGATGGGATCGTGTCGAGGGCTGAACTGGTTATATCCAGTACTCATATCGGGGTTTCCGCGGCTAGCAGCGCCGCCAAATCCGAATTTGCTTGACGAAAAGATACTTGAGAAAGCAGCACGTCGAGAGGGTGCGTGATCGGAGGAACTATCAGCAGTCACACCAGTTGTATTGCTTCGGGAAAATAATGACATCGCATTAGCCCAGTTGCCTGTGTAGCTCAGCCTCCGGCGACGTGAGCCAATTGGGTCTAGCTCATCAACATTGCGAGGGAATGACTGGCTTTGACCTGGCTTCAACGTGCCCAGCATCGGAGGTTCATCAGCCAGCGTCTTTCCACGAGGTCGCAACCCGAAAAGGCCAGAAAGCCTTCGAGATGCACTCTTTGGAGCCTCTCCGGCAATAGAAAGGTGCATTGCCTGAGAATCTGAATCTCGTCGACTGTGTGTTTCAAGAGGACTGGCAAATATGCTACCTGGCCTACTTCCTGATGAGACAGGCGACACGGGACCATGGCCAAAGCCATCCAGGGGGTTATGTGCTGAATCCAAGGTCGAAAATCGTGGCCGGGTGACAGGTCGCGGGAATTCCGGCGACTCCTCGTCACCAAGAAGATCGGATGGTAGCAAGGCATCAGCACGAGGACTCATTTGCGGGTTACTGAACGCTGCCTCCATATCGGAGCGCATAATTTCGGGTGGGTCCGAGAGGCCCGGAAGCGTCATTCCATTATTGATATTAAAAATGGGAGGGAATGTGGGCGAGCTCGTGGTAGGTGGGTTGTAGTTGATTCCTCCGGGGAAGGCTGATTCGATACCAGGATAATTGATAGGGGAAGAGACATTGCTGGTCAAGGAGCTGCGGTGGCGACGAGGTCGGATGGTTGCATTATTCGATATATCAAGGTCCAAGGCAGGCAAAGAGAACGGTCCCGAATTACTAGTCCGCTGCGTTGTCAGCCACTTCAGCCGTTCCTGGGCCTCTTGATACTGCTGCTGAGCCTGGGCATGAAGATTCACGAGAGTGGCATAACGGGCATGTAAGTTTCCAAGTTTGACCTCCCATTGTCGGGCGCGCTCATTGTCAATTCGGTCCAACTCCTTGCCGTCCTCACTATCGCCCTGGACGCCTTGTCTCTCCTCTTCGAGTTTCTTGATTCTGCCACCCTTGTCTTGAATTTCGTCGTCGATGGTCTTCATGTCACTCTGCTCTTTCAAAATCTTCTGGCGAATTTCATCAGCCCGAGTCTTGCCGTCTTCTTCCAAGCGAGCTTTCTCTTCCTTGACTTGTGTAGCATCGTCAGTCATGCGAGTAACTTTCTCTTGCCATCGCACGATATCGTTCTTCCGCTTCTTGCGCTCGGCTTCCTTTTGTTGAAGAAGCCGCAGACGCTTGGACTTTTCGCCTTGCACGCTGCGGTTGACGCTTTCAAGCTTCGAGACATGCTTCTTGAGATCTCCGCTGACCTCGTCCTTTTCCTTCACACGTTTCTTCAAGCCATCACGTTGCTTCTCAAGATCCTTTAATAGGCCGGTATGCTCGTCTTCTTCCTCCGCCGCTTGCTTTTCAACGTTATCGTTCTCTTGCTGTAGAGACTTGAGCCGGTCTGCGAGTTGTTCCAGAGTTTGGTCCCGCTTGTTTCTCGCTGATCCCTTAATATACGGCTCGTCTGAATGTACATGAGCGATATCCGGTGTTCCAGTCGCGGGCGATAATTTACGACCGGTGGAGGGTCGCTTGCCGGGCAATTGACCAGCACTATGCTCGCGGGACATGACCGGGGCAGAAGGAGTCGGCAGTCCAACTGTGGATCTGGGAATAGACGCCCGAATCGTAGGAGCCCCGGTGGTGGTGTCTTGTTGGGCTCGGGACAATGGAAGAGATTTCGTTCGCACATGGAGGATCGCACTCGGGGTTTGGAAGTTCGCAGCGCTGACGGAAAGAACGCATATATGGTAGATGCTACCTGGAACGAGATTCAAGATTGCCACGGCGGTTTCCGCTCGTTTCGATTCGCCCACTGAGGAGATTTAGTACATTAGATCATGGCGAAAGGCCGCCTCATCGGCGGGAGAACAGAAATACTACATACCCTTGACATTGTTCACTTGAATTATGTGCTTATGTATGGAGTTGTGAAAATCTGGCTGTTTCCAAGCGAGGCGAATCTCACGGGCTGTGATCTCCTCGAGGGTCACCTCTGGCGGCGGTGGGATATCCAATCCCAATTTCTCCACTAATATGTCGTTCGGGGTCTGACAAACCTGCCAGGCGCGATAGAGAAGCCTTTTCCGAGAAAGAGATACAGTCAGTTCGGCAAGATTGTCACAAAGCAAAATAGAGGCTCACCAGATCAAGGCCCACAGGATCGAAACCGCAAGAAAAAGAGCCATGACGCCTCGTACCCTGACTCGTGGGACGACGGTAGGATAAGCATCAAAAGCGAGATACAGTGGCTCGTACATCCCAGCGTCAAGCACCCACGGACGCGGGCAGCGTGTACGGGGTTGAGATGCGAGAGAGGAGACACTATTAAATCCGGCGGCCGCACCTACCTGGCGCGGATGTCTGAGTGCACGTGACTCGTCACCTGATATCCCCCGCTCATGGAAATGTAGATCATGGTCAAACTGCATTTTCTCATTTTTAGGGTGGATCAAGTCGTTCCAAGAGGTACGAGTACTGCTCAAGGTACAGTGGAAGCGTATTTTGAAAAGTGCTTGAGTGATATCATGGCAGTAGCCGCCGGGCCGTTTTATAGAAGATATAGATAGATTGACATGAGAAACAGATGATTCAACAGTAGATCTCCGAATTTTTTTATTTGTTTTTAGAAAAAAAGAAAGAAAAATCAGAATTGGAGTTTGGTTCCATGGTTTTTCCCTACTTGATATAATCAACTCAATCAAATCCAGGAACTCCGGTGCTCGTACACCCTCCTGTGGATGCCTGTGTGTACGAGTATCCCATTGTGTACCACATTCAACGGGCAAGTGCGATCACGGGTCCCGATCGGCCGCTAAACCCAAACGGGGATGGCCTCAACGCAACTGACCTCGGCAGGTTCGCCGGCTTATCTAAGAACGTTGGGCTGGTTGAAATGTTGATGAATACCAACAGATCTGGGAGACCCCGGCAGAATAGTTGCAGACACTAAAGAAGATCTTATTCTTTCTCTAAATTATCTCTATTCTTTACTCCCCCCCATATTTATTTCCGGCACAGGTCTTGTGGCGGTGGTGATGCCCCTGGTCCTTATTCGCTGAGTGTCACATGGGCGGCGCGGCGGCCTTTACTTGCGAGTCAAGTTCCGCGACTCCCAACGGACCTGCCACTTCCCCCTCTTCCTGCTGATCGGCTGCCTCATCGACGCCGTCCACACTCGTTTTGAGTCTTTGAGCTTGATTAGACTTTATCGGTGCCGTGCCCTGGGCCATCCAACCCATCCAAGCCGACCGATACCATGCAGTACGTTCGGAGTATCAGCGGTTCTGTCTCCAAGACGTGGAACTCGATCAACCCAGCCACATTGAGCGGAGCTATCGATGTGATCGTTATCGAACAAGAAGATGGTAAGCGAGAGACCAGTGGCTTTTTCTTGACGAGAGACCAGGCTAACATCTCTCTTCCAAGGAACCCTCGCTTGCTCGCCCTTTCATGTTCGCTTCGGCAAGTTCTCACTCTTGCGTCCGTTTGAAAAGAAGGTGGAATTCAAGGTCAATGGTGTCAAACAAGATTATGCGATGAAACTGGGGGAAGGAGGCGAAGCATTTTTCGTCTTCGAAACCACGGATGACATCCCCGCATCTTTGCAAACTTCGCCGTTGGTTTCTCCCGCGAGCAGCCCAAAGGTCCCAACCGACGATCTTGAATCGTCCCTCCAAGAACCCGAGCACTTGGATCTGGAGAGGTCGGGCAGCGACGCTCTCTCCGAAGGTGCAAAAACCCCGCCCACCATGCCGATTTCGCGACAGTCGCGGGCAACTACGGATTTGGGTATGATTGATGGTCGATTTTCATTCCATAGTGAAAGTTTCTAACACGCGTGTCATCGCAGGTACAATCACACCGCTATCACGATCTCCAGCGGATTCGGAGCTCAGTCCTGCCCCTTTCAATGCCAAACCCGCGCTCGATCACTCAATGTCGGATAACATACTTTCAAGTAGCGTCCCTCAATCTGCCCCAGGAGACCGAACTTCCATGGCCAGCGCAGACCCCGCATCTGAGGATGATGTGGAGCAAATAGATAGATCTCGCAGTCCTCCTCCAGTGTCTCCCCAGGAAGCCATGGATCGTGCGATCTCCTTGTCCAAGAAATTATCGGGGTCTAACATTCCATCCCATGTCAATGAGACCGGAGATCTGATGTTGGACATGACCGGTTATAAGAGCAATGAAGAAGATGCTCTCCGGGCCGAGATTCTCGCTCGCAAGATTCTGGCAGAAGAACTGGAAGGCAGCTACGATATCGGGGCCCTCATCGGTGCCGATGAACATGGTAACTTGTGGATTTATGGCAGTGAAGAAGCAAAGGAGGCGGCAGATCGAAGAGCCACCATAAACTCGATGCGACCCGGCACAGCATTGAGTGAAGATGCAATTTCGGACCCCGGGTATCACAGTGACGGTGACCATAGCCCATTGGATCCAACGATGACAGCACGCCATCACCGAACCAAGTCCGATGTCCAGCCTGGATTTCCTACACCTCCTCATTCACCGATCCACGACTCATTCGCAGTTGAGACTCGCAATTATGCCAAGACTCTGCGTTTGACAAGTGACCAGCTGAAGGCCTTGGCCTTGAAACCGGGCCCGAATACCATGTCTTTCAGTGTAAACAAAGCCACTTGCACTGCATCCATGTATCTGTGGAGCGGCAATACTCCTATTGTTATTTCTGATATTGATGGGACCATCACGAAGTAAGTTCATACATCCCAGAAATAACACATCATTCTTAAATGGTACTAACTATCTCTCTCAGGTCGGACGCTTTGGGTCATGTTTTGAACATGATCGGACGTGATTGGACACATGCAGGTGTGGCCAAATTATATACCGACATTCTCAATAATGGGTATAACATTATGTATCTCACAAGTCGATCTGTCGGACAGGCAGATACCACTCGTGCATATCTCTACGGCGTCTGCCAAGATGGATATCGGCTGCCCAAAGGCCCAGTCATCTGCAGTCCGGATCGAACAATGGCTGCTCTGAGACGAGAAATCTACTTGAGAAAGCCAGAGGTTTTCAAAATGGCATGTCTCCGCGACATTCTTAATCTTTTTTGCGGAAAAGAGAATCCTTTTTATGCCGGATTTGGAAATCGGTTGACCGATGCGTTGAGTTATCGATCCGTCAATATCCCTTCGACACGTATTTTCACGATCAACTCAAACGCCGAAGTCTCACTTGACTTGTTAAGTCTGAACAAATACAAGAGCAGCTATGTGACTATGCAAGAGCTGTTAGATCACTTCTTCCCTCCCGTCAGCCTCCTGGTGCAATCTGGTGGCGAGGAATATACAGACTTCACATATTGGCGCGACATGCCTCAAGACTTGGATGCCTTTTCTACCACTGATAGTGAGGACGAGGACGAGGACGAAGAAGAGGAAGACGAAGAAGAAGATGAGGAAGCTGCCGAGGACGATATCCTTGAGGAAGACGAAGATGCGGACGAAGAAGACTACGAGGAGGACTTAAGTGATGCCGAGGGCAGCGAATATTTAGAAGGCGAAGGCACTGATCTTGGTGCAAGTTTAATTTCACAAGCATCGGAGGCCCTTTCGCATCCTGCGGACTCCATCACGGAATCCATGGAAGATGAAGAGGGGCTGGAGGAGGCAGTGGATGAAGAAAACAATGTCGCTGCTACCCCTCGGGTTTCAGGGCCCCCCAAACCAACAACTTCCACCACTCTCCCCATTCGGCCCAAGTCACAGGAAACTTGAACATATCCTCATTGCGATCATGTATGCATTGAATTTGCCGAACTTTGGAGATGAGATACCCTGTTCAACACATTTGCATGCAGATCCGGAGTTAAATTCTGCATTATAGACAAATCCTTTGGATTCTGTCTCTTTCACCTGGCATTAATGGCGTTTGAAGCTTGGCTTTTTAGAGAATTTTCCTTGCATGAATACACTATCCATAATCGCATTTGAACATCGCTGCTCCCAATACATATACAACTTTCGTGTCTTCGTCTTGGCTTGGTTTTTGATAACTTCAGTTCATGTTGGTGTATTCGAGGTTTAAGTCCAATCACATGAACCTTGGAATTGCCAGTGTCCAAGCGAGGGACAATGATGTTTGCTAGTAGTACTTAGGTAGTAGTAAGTTTATTAGAACACGAACCCCCTGGTGTCCTGTTCATGTTCCAAATTCCACGCTCTTTTGATTATTTGGTCAACTTTGCTGGAATCGGTGAAGCCTCCATATATGGCAAGAGCCCTGGTCTTCCTTTCGATCTCCTCTCTGTAGGTGAAGTGAAGTGTTAGTGTCATAACAGCGAGCATATGATTATTTGGACCTCTTACCTCGTCAAGGGAAGCTCAGGGTCGCCTTTCGCAAATTCTACGGACTCCGTGAATTTCTGACCCGATTTGCAAGTTACTATAACAGTTCCTTGCCACTTCTCGGGGAAAGCCCTATCAATATCTGCGTCTAATTCCATCGTCACCCGGTTTTGAAAGTCTCTTAGCGAGGCATCTTCTAAGTCTTCCTCCGTGAAATCGGTAATCATAGCTTGACCTTTCTTTGCTGCGATAGCGAGAACGAAGCCCATGGAAAACTTGCTTTGGTGAACAGTCTCTCCCCTTCCACTAAGGCCTAGTACATTCAAAGCAGCTTGGTAGGTGCGGGTCACGACAGATTCGATATCATCGAAACCAACATTGTTCTTTTGCATCAGGTTCAACAACGCATCGACGCTGGGATGGGTGTGCCGGCAGGATGCATGCCATTTGAAGCTTGAACGAGACACCTCGAAGTCTACTCCGAGATTCTGATCAATTGCTTCCGGATTTGTCTCTCCAGGGACCAAGGCGACACCCATTGCCTTGGGTCCTTCAAGGATATCTCGAGGTCCGAGAAGACCATCACGGCTAGAATAGGCGGCGAATATTCCGTCAAAACAGGCCTTTCCTGTGTGAACTTGCTTGGAATGTGTTGCATCCATTAGGAACTGCCATAGACCTGCTGCTTGTGTTCCAGCTGTCCCGATTGCGGACAAAGTTTGCTCTGCGTTGAGCTTGAGAAGATGGGCTGTGGTGGCTGCAACGCCAATAACACCACCTGTTGCGGTGGAATGGAAACGCTTGTCGAGTGTCAATTATTTCTTTCGAGCAGAAGGCTGTACCTGCCGGACTTATTTATACTTTACCTCGTAATGGCTTTTACCGAGAAACTCGCCCACCCTGCAGCCAACTTCATATCCAACGACGCATGCTGTAATGAATTCCTCTCCGCTAGACTTAAGATCTTGAGCTACCGCAAGAGCAGCGGGAAAGATAACGGTTGCCTTATCACAAATCAGCTACATTCCAAAGATCAAATAGAAAAGACAAATGTGATGCTGAGGTACACAGTAGAGCTTACAGGGTGCATGATACTTCGGTTATGAAGGTCGTCCTGCTCAACTACATGCGATGAAGCTCCATTCACAAGACTGGCAAACGCAGGACTTGTTGTAAACTTCAATGCACTGTCGATTAATTCGCTGTTTCCATTAGAAGGTCCCATTTGGACCGCAAACCGAGCCATGGCGTTTACGGCTGGATGATGGCGGCCAGCGATGGCGCATCCTAACGTATCCAGAAAGAAGTCTTTCGTCTTTTGGACCACATCGTCGGGAATATCGCTATACCGAAGGTTAGCTGCCCAGGTCGCAAGATGCTCGGTTCGTGTTCTATCGACCATGGCGAAGAATGGGATTGATGTTTGGGTTGAGAAGTGCAATGGCAGTCGATCGCTTATCAAGTGGTGTTGGTCTCTTCAATACGTTACACGTGAGGGGCATCGTGTGTGCCCCAAATGAGAATCACCCGCTTTCCGAGGTAACTGCAGTGCCGAGTAGGCGACTTTAGTGGGGCATTAGTAGTTGTGGAGGAACATGTACATGCCGGACTTTGCGCCTGAAGACCAAGCATATAGCCGGTCCAATGAGGCCTTTCGGAAAAAAAAGTGGGGGAGCGGCTCAAAGTACTACTAATTGGCCTCACTAGCACTTTATGATATGTATCTTATTGGCTTAGGTCAATAGCTTCTGCCAATCCATGACATAGATTGGTGAAATAGAGAAATTGATACAGAGTACTTAGTTAATAAATACTAAACCTAGGTGGTTCTATACTAGTACTACTATTAGTAGTTTGTATGGCTCTGATCTCAGAAAGAGTCAGCTACTATACACTATTGTAGTTACTTGATAGCACAAGTATGTAGGTACGTCCCATTCTTTGCATAAATAGCTAATGGCTGTCGACAAAATTATGCGGGAGTATGATATCATGATAAAATCTATTGCGATGCCGAGCCTGTATCCTCAACTGCATCTGCGCGATCCCAACTCTCCACTTCGAGAGTCCGGACCTTGGTCTCAATGTCTAGAATACACTGTTGCCAATCTTTCTGTGCCTTCTCTTGCAGGTCCCAAATATCCTTAAACTGTTCAAAGATGAACGGTGGTAGCTCGGGCGTCTTCCGGTTCTTTTGGTAGTCGTAGGTGACAATATCCTCGTAACAACGAGCAGCGGGACGTTGCCGGGCTTCCGACATGATCATAACCTGCAGCTGAAAGGCCGATTGCGACGATAGCGATGCTGACGGATCCTGTACTAGCTTGTGATAGACAGAGATCTTATCTGGAAACTTCATAGGCTGCAAGGGTATTTTTTGTTAAATCAACCGATATGTCAGCAAGAATTTATCCCAAACGTACAAATTTGTAGTCAACCTTAATGCTTCGCAAGATAAGTCCAATACCTGTTGAGCTGAGCAAAGCAAGCCATTTTTTCTTATTTGCTTCGTCGATATGGTTTCCGATATTACGGGTCCAGTTCACCCGAGCGGATTCGGCGTATCTGACATAGTTGACGTTGTTGACATGACCTGTTTGTGATCGAAGATTAGTTATAAAAGCTATAAGTAAATTAGGAGGAAGATTCATGATCAAATCATACCCTGTTAATATGTCAGCATGATTCAAATTTCCAACGACTGACTGCGCATTCAATTCGCCAGTTACGGTGGGAAGGGGTCAAGCTTACCATGACATCCTATTTGACAGTAAATATCGTAAGCGTTAGTAGATCCAGTAGATATGTGCGTCCTGAGATTGCTCAGGTTCTGTTTCCTTACCATCTCTCCCCAGACCACGTTGTGTCTATACAAACCCCGTCGCTTCCCATCTGTCAGGAATCCCTCGCTGCCCGCGATCAATTCCCTCCAGTCACGCGCCAATTGCTGCAGGATTTTACCTGCATCGTCCACTTGTGCTGGTTTGAGACCAAACATCATGCATTTGCCAACTCGCCGCTTCATCATGGTGAGCCATCGTGGATCAATCCCATGGGGTCGTACAGGAGTGTTCGCCGAGGTCGGGGCACTGGCGTTTTGCGCGGGAGAGGTCGTAGAAAGATAGCGCCGTGGAATTGGCGAGACTATGGGGCAAGGCAACTGCCTGCTCAGCGCTGATCGAGGTATCATGGTGGGCGATTGTAAAGGGAACGTGAAGCAGCGATCGCGCATCGGGCGGACGGCAATGCGGCCTCGGAAGCTTGGGCCAGGCTCGGGGAGAACCCCGCCCGTGCTTACCGTCGGCCTGCAGTAATGAAGTGTGTACTACTCGGTGATGGTCTAACAAGACCAAGCTTCTGAGACTCGGATGTTTTCATTGTAATTCTTTGTTTGCAATATTCGAACGGAATATAATGACTTTGAGAAACATTGTTCAGATTTGGTTTGCTTTGTTCACCTAACTTCATACAATTGCATTGCCAATTTCACAACTAAATTAAGAATGAAAACAAATGTTTCTTTGTTACTGATAGTCACAAAGCCAGATCTAATTCGAAATAAAATACTAGTATCTGAATTACTTCATGGTAATATAAAAGTCCGATGAATCCAGCTCAAACCATAGCATCATCATCACCAGCAGCAGAGCTGGACTCAGCAATATTGCACACCCCGGGGCCGTGACCTATTCAAGTTCTCATCATGAGTGGAATACGGCCGATTTTCTATGCATATGAACCAGAGCTAGCGAGCTCTGGGTCAGAGTATTCATCTGAAGCGGAGTCTTCTGCTAGGAGCGATGCCGATAGAGACCTTGCTTGCCCATTTGATGAGCTTATTGAAGAAGGGATGTTGCGATGTCAATGGTTAGAATATGCCGATGAGTCGAGCTGCCCGATTGAACAATCCACGCTAACCTACGAAGATTTGATGGAAATCTTACCGAGTATAAGGCATACGAATGCAGATAGCCGCATCAAACAAGAACTTGCTGACATGGAGGGTCACGCCTCCGCAATTCCTGATGACCTTCGAACACTAATTCAAAAGACTCACCCCGGAACATCTCATCGCGTCGTACTTTCAAATTACGATACGCGTGGCCTTGTATGGACTGGACTAATCGGCCCAGGAGTTATGATGATCGACCTCTTCAACAGGAAGAGGAACAGTGCCGCCTTGCATGTTTCCGAAGTATCTCGAGCAGTTTATCGTCATTTCTATCCATTGCAGTTCCTCAGATATATCTTCATATTGGGCGTTGTAAATGAGCAAACAATTTCTTGTATTAAGGATGATCTCTACGGCGCCAACGGGGATGATAACTTGCCAGCAGGATGGCCGAGTGGTAGTTGTTTACAGGAGTGGAATCATAGCACCCCGCAGTTTTACGCCTTGATGGGCACCAGAATCGGCAAGACAGTTGTCTCGATCTTGCTAAGTGCGTTCCCTCGAGGCACTCGGCGAGTTGGAAAAATCGCTACCTGGCCGTGTGGATCCGCTGCTAATATACGATTTGATCTGGATGTTTTTGTGCCTGCTGACAATTAGGTATGTCTGCTCACATAGCCTTTAATTGACTGGTCGTACTGTGTTTACTTTTCTCTTTGATAATGCTCAAGTAGTCTCCTGGTAACCAGTTTTGAAATAAATTAACGTTTTTCTTTTGCCAATTTCAAATATCCCCATTTTCAGTAGAGTAGGACCTGTATATCCATAAGATCAAAACAAACAGCCAATTTCCCATGAGGGTACATGTAGAAGAGATAAACTGGTAGAGATGCCAATCTGTATCAGCTCAACAATGTACTGTACTGCACGTGATGTGGAGACGCTAGTTATATGCGGGGCGAACCTTGCCATCTCTCATGCGCAGCAACTTCTCCGCATCAACCATTGCCGTTGCTGCGTTCACTAAACAAAGCCACAACGAATGAAAAGACGATGGTAGCATCTGAGCTGCGCGGACAGGTAATCACTGTCTACAAAGGTGAGAGTCCACTGTTGCCATCAAGAAAGCCTGCGATCATGTATTGATCCGCATCGGTGGGACCCAACAGAGTGATGCTTACCTGAACTTGAAATAGAGCTCCTTTTTCTAGGCCGAGAATACCCCCTTGGCTATCACTATTTTCGCGATCGGCTTCATCGCGCTTTTTCGAAACAATCAAATATTACCGACGAGGAGGAGATTCGAAAAGGTATTGCCCGCGCTGAGTTCGTGAAGAAAGGTGAGCCCCAATCTCAGGCTATTTCATATCTCTGGAAGCCGCGGCAAGCAGGATGCTAACGTCGATCAATCTCAGAGGTCGAAGCACTGTAAGAAAATCCCTCCAACCCTCTTCTATCTATTCAGATCCCCAAAGTCCCACGAGGTCTCGCTATTGGGAATCCTTCTCTACTTTGAAGATGGAATTGAGATCATTCTTTGATTCTTTTATACATTTCTGTCCTGTGGACAACACTGGGCTAGACACAGTTCATGATTCGCACACATTTCTGTCATCATACATCATAGCATCATGCGATCGCAACATTCATCTCCTGGCGTTGATGGCCGCTGACAACTCTCAACAGGTACTACATAAAGAGGTATCGAACACTGAAGAAGCGTTATGAGTCTTCATGACACGCCCTGTCAGTTCTTGAGCGATTTTCTCTGCAAAATGAGCTGCCCCAATCATTTGCATATGCACCCCTGCACCCCTGCACCCCGGAACCCCGGAAAGGACCAAACAGAAACAAAGGTCACAAAAATAAGGATAAAAAAAAGACAAAAATTCACAAATTGGGGGTATCACCAAGACGAAGCGCAATCACTGTTTTTTGTTTTGCGCCCACCGAAAACACCGGAATCGATTCTTGAACGTGGTTTCTCTGGTCAATTTCATTTCTTTTGACCCCACCAGGCACTGACTTCGAGACACCGCCACTGGCGAGGCCACCTTTTTGGAAGAGGTCGGTGGTCATAGCCGCCCACCATCGGTCCCACTCGTCACGTCCTTTCCCACTGGCTTCCATGAGCATGGGCTCCAGCCCTTCGATCATTTGGATCACAGTCAAGAGAGCAGTTCGTCGAATGGAAATCTGCTCCTGGGTCAAGGCTTTCCGGGCGCGGCCCTTGGAATCTTTCCCTTGGCCTTCTCGTTCCCATCGTACTTCCCCAAGTGGAATGGCGATGCGACGACTGTCGATGTTTTCCAGTAGATCTACCTCCGAATTGAATGATAACCCGATGGTTGCACAGGGCAAAGCTGTAATCTTTCGACGGTCAAATGATTTCTCGACCCAGGAATTGTAGTCTACCAAATATTTGTTCTGGGCCCTTGTGAACGGGGTGGCGGAAGAAAATGTATATGTTGCAGTTTGGTCGGCGATCTCCTGTTCCTTGGATGATGTCTTCCGCGCCGGCGCTGGGTTGGGCAGGAGTGAACGGAATACCCAATCCGAGTCCCAGACCTCGAGAACGCCTCCTGATTTCAAGACTCGGAGGGGCTCACTCAGCCCGGAAGCTTGTTGCGCCGGACTAGACGGGCACATACCTGCATCCTTAATGAAGACCAAGTCGAAGTAGTCGTCCGGGAACGGGAAACGGGGTTTGCGAAGGTCATGTCGTTTAAACTGCCAGTTCATGCCCTGCTTGCGAAGGTCTGGAGCAAGCGAGACAAAGTCGATACCGTGGAAGGAGGTGTTCGGTTGGCCACGCCGGACAAAATATTCGTGGCACAGGCCAGACCACAGGGCGGACCCGCAGGCGATCTCCAGGACGCGCTTGGGCGGGCGATTGGCCAGGTGGGGGTTGCAAAACGGGCCGCCAAAGACGCGCAACAGCATCATGGTGCGCAAGCTCTGGCGGTGGATTTCGGGGAGGTCGCATGGGAGAGGGTAGAGGTTTTCGGGATCGCGAAGGTAGGTGCGGTCCCCCTGGCTCGCCAGAGGGTAGTTGGAGTAGTCGGTCAATGAACCTAAGGACGAGGAGGAGGTGGCAGCGAAGGTCGAACTGAGATTGGAGTGGACGTCAGAGCCGGACGCCGCGGCAAATGAGGCCGTCCCTGCCGACATCATGTCCATCACCGGTTCAAGCGCATTGATTTGTCCCCGTCTTCAATATCTCCGTTCGCATTCTCGCAGTTGCAATTGGGGCGGGTTCATGAACAATAAGACATCCTTGTCCCACGCACTTGAAAACTGATTTGATTTGATTTGATTTCTTTTTGTTTGGACCTTTTTGAAGACTGCCAGCAAGTTTATGCCGGAAGCGGTTCGGGGAGGAGGGGGGGGGGGGTAAACTGTTGAAAGAAATTGGAAGTAGAAGAGCCGAAGCGATCCAAGCGGCTTTCGGAAAATATTCTTTCTTAGTGTCAATCGGGGGCGCAGACCCCAAAATTCTGCAAAGGTAAAAAAGAGAGGGAAAGAAAAGAACAGGAAAAAATCAAACAAAAAAAAGGATATTTTTCCAGAAACGGATTAGAGACGGGATGAAGGGATAGGCGAAATGAAGATAAGAGTAAGGGAAGTAATAGTACTAGTAGTAGGTTACAGAACCCTTCGCGCCGCCGTTTCACCAAAAAAAAGGGACGAGAACGAAGAGCTAGGAGAGGGGGGAAAAGACAGAGAAGAAAAGAAGAGCAAGAGCAAGAGCAAGAACAAGAACAAGAACAAGAACAAGAACAAGTCGTGGACTTGGGGCCCCTGGATCGCAGTGGCATTGAACCGTATCCACTCGAGAGGCCAGAAGGGGAGCTAGCTCCTTCACGTAATGGAGTATTGGTGATTTGTGTACTCCGTAGACTGGTAATTCTCGGGTACTTCGGACTACTAGTCACTATTGAGTCTCAGGCTAAGGGGGTCCATATGGATTCATCTTTACCGAGTAATGTCTTGAGAAGTGAGTGAATCTGTACCGAGTACTCTATTCCTTCGATGCCCTCGTATCTCATGTACTGTAGCTAGTGTTGACATCATCGAGTCGACACGGGGGATCCTTTTGGGCCCGGCTAGAGCCCCCCCGGTTCCAGAGATTCTGTCGCCGCAATAGGTAAACGAATCGAATGCTAGTAGAACTACTCGGATGCGTGGAGATACATAGTCCATAGTGTAGGTATGCAGCTCAATGGAAACTCCTGCATGCTATGGGACTCCAGTATCTGACATGTTGAGTGGAATACAGCGTCTACGTATTCCGTACGGACTGCGGAAAGCTTCATCCTATTTTCCCTCTAAAATTGCATGTTCAGCTGACAACCTTTGCCTCTCATCTTCAGTCTTTGCCCCTCTAGCGGGGTCGCCACGACCCGAAGGATCCTCGCCGGGGTCTCCGTCCGGTGCGTGCGTTTATTGACACGTGCGGCATCGGGGTAGATCCTGGCTGAAACTGTCTTCGGCATTTCTCTGTTGGCTTGCCTGTTCTGCCTCTGGTGTTCATATTCACGCATTCCGCGATGCTCGGATAGCAGAGACTGAGGATGCAATGCGATGTATCACGGCCAAAAGTACAGCATGGACCTACCATCCGACATCGTCTATTACATACATAGTATACGAGTATTCGTACCCCTTAAATCATATGGAGAGAACCCCTGGAGGTTGGACTTGCACCTTGGGTGAAGACTCTCCATTGTGGATTACTCTTGAGTACTCCGTACTGTACGTCGAGTGGTCACAGTACGGGATCCATACTGTCTCAGACGGAGATCCCTGCCCGCCATGTCCACCGTCGTCCCAATTCTCAGGTACCCGGCGCATCACTAGCGACTGACCAGGTTTAGCTTCGCCTTTCTATCTGATACCGGGTTGCCCCGTGCCCTGATGGCGGTTGATTTTCTTCTCCGTTCTTCAGGTCTGGCCGGTGTTTTGTCCGGCTGTCTTATCCCTGCGCTCTGACGTTAGCCCAGTGGGACGGCATCTTATTGACACTCTCCCCACCGATCCCACCATCCTACTGGGTCCTTGCCAACACAACTTGGTACCTGCAGGCCCAGCCAGGTAGCTGATCGACAGTACTTTTGCTTGCACAACTGTGTGGACTCGTCAGATTCTTCACCTGCTCGCTGTACGAGTAGTGTTGGCCACCACTTGATTCGCTGAGTTTGACGCCAATACGAATCGGAGAGGTGGTGGTGGCGGCAATTTAGCGGGGTGGTCGCAAGTGTTTGTCGCAGGTGACCACTGGGCTTGCCAACTCATACGATGGCGACTTTCCCAGGCGGCCGTCCACGGATGTTAGTGGCAGTGGGACTCGGAGAGGGAGAGTGAGAGAGGGAGAGGCGAAATGCAGGGGGTGGGGCTGCGTGATCGACAATAATGGGAAAGAGTCATTCACACCCGCCTCTTTTTTGGATTCTCCATTTGGGTTTTGGGGTAGTCAAGATCGATAGTGCATGAGTTTGGAGATACCACTAGCTGCGTTTATACTTTCGAGCGCTTGTTAGTGCACCGGCAGAATCCCGGGGGAAACGGGCCACGATTACCTCCCGATAACGAGAGGTTGAGGAGGAGCAGCACATACGGAGTAGTCAGTCTTAACCAACAACGAAGTAACTAGTAGTTATATAATAAGGGTAAGTGAGAGGAAGCTGTCCTGAATGGCAGGCTCTCAAGACAAGAACATCTGAACACCTGGGCACACAACCTTGGAAGTGGTGTACAGAGAGATCCAACCACGGAGTACACGATCAGAAATGATGTGAATCAGCATGTGCATTATGCATCAATTGAGGACCATGACATGTCTAAATTAGTGATGGGGGAGATTCGTATAATAGAGTAGTATGTGAATGGCGACTAGGGGTACTCCGTACACATGATCACTCTCTAGCGGCTCTATCGATAATCGGTACCCTAGCACTGGATATCGACAGTGCCGTAATAGAGGGGTTACCTTAGGCCAATGACTATTTCGATAATACCTAGGCAGCGAAGTTGTAAACTAAAATAAAGCTGAACTGATACTGATGTGATGTATATTTGACACCGGATTTCTACTACTAAGTTTAAGTCCAAGTTCATTCATGCCCAGGATGCCATTGTCCCAGGGTGCAGGAGGTAGTCGTTTACTACTATCCGAGTGACTGGCTATGCCCATTGTTTGCCTAATACCACTACTAGTACCTAGTAGGTATATAAAGTACCCCAAGGCCCCAGTCAGATTACGAACAAAGAGAAGATTTCTCTTTTTTTGGAATATCTTCTTTGAACCATGTTAATTTTCCTAATTGATAGTACATCGTGGTGGTGGTCATGGTCATAGTCAATGGTAAACGATGCTGTTCCCCGTGAAGGACCTTGCGCCTTGTTATGATGACTCGACGATTCCATTCACTAGAAATCCCCGACCGGAAAGGCTATCCTGCACCAACCCCTAACCCAGCGAAATCATCGTGGAAAAGCGAGCCGACAGGGTTGCTGCTTGGGTTTTTCTTGGCACAGTCATATCCGGTGTGAATTGAATCACGTGACTGGATCTCCCGCCTCTCAAACCTCCAACCAAACCAGCTGGGTCATCTGGTCCCTGCTATCAACGCCCCTCCCAACAAGACAATCGTACGTACTTGCCTCCCCCTGGCCGTGCTGCTTCAAATACCCAAGATCTTTCTATCTAACCATCCTTCGACAATTGAATTAGATCGTGTTCTTTACCTTCTGACGCATCCCACCTCCCGCCCTTTCGATAACGCTGAATCCCAACCGGGACGGTCTGCGACTCAAACCTCCGCGCAAGGTCTGCTGTGACCGCCAAACTCCAATTTTACTCTCTCATACGGAGTGGTTCAGCTGCAGGCCTCTATGTGGAAGAAGAGAAGAGACCGTAACCGATCCCCAAGTCCTCTCCTCGTCTGCTCCACTCCGAACCTTCTGCCACTCGCCCGCCCCCCCGGTCGTCCGCCAGGGAAATAAACCACGGTCTCGTCTGCCCCGTTAGATGGCAGATGGTACCTACAGGTTCCAGCAGCCTGGGGCCGGGCAGTTCTACTTCCAAACACAACCGCAGCAACACTCGCACCAACGACACGCCATTCCAAACGGGACCAATTCTCCGGGTCGACTGAAGTTCAGCCACGACACTCCTTCTCCTTCTCGATCTCCGCCTGTAAACCAATCAGCCGCGCTGAACCCTCTCACTATGTACGGACAGAGCCATCCACAACATGTCATGATGAATGGCGGTCAGAGTCATCAGCGGTTTGCCATGCAGATGAACAACAAGTATCAGTCGCAAACTCATCACCCCCACCACAATCAGCAACATCATCACCCTCACCATGCCCAGCCCCAGCACAACATCGCCCAGCACACCTTCTCCGGCGGTGCCTTGGCCACGACGACCCCTCATTTCACGACTTCCCACCTTCAGAATGGAGGGCCGACCGCGGTAGATGACGATATGGACGATCAAATCAGCGAGCATTGGGCCCGGCAACTTCAGCTTCATGTCGAGTCACGACAGGCCAATTCTCCTCACTACTACGCCCGGATCATGGCGCAGCAGTCTAAAGGTATCCAAATCATGCCCAGCCAAACCGACTCCTCGGAACATGGGAATGAAGCTCGGAATGGGACACCTGCAAAGAAGGCAGTTTCGCGGCAAGGTTGGAATGCGCTCGATTTCGGTGGCCAGGGCCTTCGGGCCATGGCTCCCACGCTATTCAACTACAACTTCCTCGAGAAGCTGTATCTCAACCACAACAAGTTGAAGGCCCTGCCCGCTGCGATCGGACAGATGCGCAAACTCACCCACCTTGACCTGTCCGGCAATGACCTCACCGAGATTCCTGAGGAGATCGGCATGCTCTCCAACCTTAAGAACCTCCTCCTCTTTGACAACAACATCCGCACCCTCCCCTACGAAGTGGGCTATCTCTACCGGCTGGACACACTGGGAATCGAAGGCAACCCACTCAATGAGGTTCTCAAATCTCAGTTGATGAAGGATGGGACGAAAGCCCTCATCAAATACCTCAAGGAAGAGGCTCCAGGTAAGTCATTAAAACATCGCATGTCAGGCTTTCTTATACAGGTCAACTAATTTCTTTTTTCTTTCCCTTCTCAGTTCATATCCCACCCCCTGATCGTGATTGGGTCATCCTCGATGAAACCGCCAGCACGACCAACAGTCCCACTGAAAAGATCACGGTCCTATCATATAACACTCTCTGCGATTCCTCTGCCACCGCATCCCACTATGGCTATGCCCCCGCCCGTGTACTTTCCTGGGAGTTTCGCCGGGAACTCATCCTAAACGAATTACGATCCCACAGCTCGGACATTGTCTGTCTGCAGGAGGTTGACCAAGGAAGCTACAACAATTTCTTCCGCGAGCAACTTGCATACAACGATTACAAGGGTGTCTATTGGCCACGCGGACGTGCGATGGGCATGCAAGAAGAGGATGCCAAGACCATCGATGGATGTGCCACCTTCTTCAAGGGAAGCAAGTATATTCTTCTGGACAAACAGCTGATTAACTTTGGACAAACTGCTGTGCGGCGACCAGATGCTAAGGGACAGGATGATATCTACAACCGACTGTGGCAAAAGGATCATATTGCAGTTGTCATCTTCCTGGAGAACCGACAGACAGGCGCACGATTCATAGTTGTGAATGCTCATCTGTACTGGGACCCGGCTTTCAAGGACGTCAAACTCATTCAGACCGCCATTATGATGGAAGAAATCACAAAGCTTTCCGAAAACTACGCCAAGTGGCCCGCTTGCACTGACAAGACTGCATTCCGCTTTTCCGAGGCTGAAACTGGCTCAGAGAAAGCTCCCATCGTGGAACCTGCACCCTCTATGGAGTATTCCAGCGGCGATCAAATCCCACTTCTCATGTGTGGTGACTTCAACTCCTCACCTGGGTCCGCGGCATACACCTTAATTGCCAGTGGACGTTTGATCGAGGCGCACCCCGATCTGGAAAAGCGCCTATACGGCAACCTGAGTAAGGTTGGTATGACACATCCGTTCAAGCTGAAATCGGCATACGGTTCCATTGGGGAGCTCAGTTTCACCAACTACACGCCCGACTTCAAAGACATTTTGGATTATGTGTGGTACTCATCCAATACACTACATGTGTCGGCGCTGCTTGGGGAGGTGGACAAGGACTACCTTCGACGGGTTCCTGGATTCCCCAATTTCCATTTTCCTTCTGATCATGTCGCATTGTTCGCGGAGTTTACTATTAAGGGGAAAAGGGGTAAGGTTGTGGAGGCTGATTTTGGGCCACAACGGCACTGATGCGGAGCATTGATTTTTCGAGACGGGTGTTTGTGTAGTCGGGATTTTCATCTTTTCTCCTCTTTAGTGCTTGTCATTTCGGAATCTTTGGTGGTGGTGGGTTACTTAGCCTGCTCTCTTATTGCCTTACGTCTTGTCTTCTACTTATCTTTCTTGTTGTCGTTTCTTTTTCTCTATTTCTCTTTTCTCTCCTTCCGTGATTATGAACTCGTCTCCTTTCCTGTTTTTCTTCCCCCTCTCTCCGTCTCGCTTTCCCCTAACCTCTTGCTTTCAAGCATATCTCAGCCGTACCGGCTAGCCCATCGAAGAGGTTATTTCAAGTAGCCACTTCGACGAGGTATTGTGCTTCCCTCCTTCCTTCCCTCCTTTTCCCTTTCTCGACTGCTCTTCCTGTTGGGTATTATCCTGATATCTCTCGGTTTCATCTCACCTAATCTCTAACGTCATCTGAAACGGTTTCACGACGCTTAGGGCGGGGGGTTGGTGTTAAGGTGGACCAGGTGGCCGAAGGGCTTTGCGGGTTTGCTCTCTTGATGTCTTTTTGTTTACGTCTGTTTTTTACCGGCGATGGGAGTTGTCTGGTCCATGTCCTGCCATACTATCTATCCAGTTGAGAATAGAGCATGGCCTTCAAGTTTTCATACAATTCCTAGTGACTACGTAGTAAAATAGTAAGATGTACTAGATCTTAAGTCGAGGCCCGCATTCAAGCCCGATGCTGACTGCTCAGCTCCACACCTGAGCATCACATGTCAAATCAAGTCGGTAAACATACCTACGCAGGTAGCCCCAGACCCGCTACAGCTTCCAACCCACCCCAACATTTGTTACCCCCAATAGCTTTCAAACCGATCCATCCGAACAATGTCCACCGAAGAAGGTACTCATACTCTGCCCGATGGGCTAAAAGCCTACTCCAAGGCTTGGAAGGTTGGACCATGTTGTAACCCCTTGAAATGATACCAGTCTGACCAACTTGGAATAAGACAACCGAATCACCTCGCGCAATCTTAGTCTTTATTCATGGTTTCAGCGATCACTGTACGTTTCCCCCGGCAAGCCTTGGAACACAAGAGAGTTCACAAATTTGAAACAAATCTCTGACTTGATCAGGTAACACCCACTATGACCTATTTCCAACCCTTGCTGCATCTGGAATCGAGGTCAGAGCCTTTGATCAACGGTATGTGCCGCAAAAGATCCCACAGGGAGCCATTATCATATGCCCTGTTGTCTTGATCTGATAATACATATGTGAAAAGAGTCGAAAACCCAACTAACCTTCAAAACCAGAGGCTGGGGCCGCACATTCAACGGCCTCAAAGACCGCGGTAACAGTGGCAGCACAACAGTCGTCCTCGCCGACATGCACTCATTCATTGCCAGTGTAGCCACACAAGCTCAAGCCCAGAGCATACCCCTCTTCCTAGCAGGCCACAGTATGGGCGGCGGCCAAGTACTGAATTATGTTCTGCACCCAGACTCGCCATACCGCCAAGCAGGCTCTCAGCCCAAGCTCGCCGGTTTGCTCGTACTTTCGCCGCTCATCGCACTGGATCCAGCATCGCGCCCTTGGGGCTTCATAGTCTCGGCCGGCCGAGTCGTTGCGAAGCTTCTGCCTCGGATGCAGCGCCACTCCCCCTTGACCCGTCCCATGTATCTCGAGAGAAATCGGTGATAGCTGATTTCCAGGCCGATGATCTGTGCCACGAGACTGGAACTTTTGGCGGTTTGGCTGGCATGCTGGATCGTGGATTGTGGCTGGAGAATTTGTCGAAGAATCAGCTTGAGGGCGTTGATATTCTGCCTATGTGGCTCGCTCATGGCGACCAGGATCGCATTACGAGCCATCCGGCTACGAAGCGCTTGGCTGAGTTGCTGGCCGAGAAGGGAGATGTCGTTTTCACTTCTTACGAGGGTGCTTATCATAAATTGCAGGCCGAGTTGCCTGATACTAGGGCACAGTTCTGCCGCGATGTCTCGAATTGGATTCTCGGTAAATCCGGGGAGAACCAGTCTAAGCTGTGATTATCATAAACTTGAAGATGATAGGTGGGTGGGCAAATTGAACATATTTTCGGGATCGCACTTCTATATATATGTAGCGAGTATATATTATGTATTGTTCATGGTGGTTTCGACAGGAGTTAGTGGTACACAGGTTGATGCAAATGGTATAGTACAATGGAGACGAGGGTATAGTATATCAGAAATCACCGTATAGGGAGATCTTCAATACGTCTCCAGATCCCCACAAAGCCACCACCCATAGTCCGCAGTCCGACTTTCGGTCGACAGACCATAACCATCTCATCCACTTTGGATGGGACTTCGGAAACGGGGATATCAGTAAGGTCTTCAGCGGGGTCAGCCGACGCATCGTCCGATTCGCCTTCGGCGGATGGACTCCACGAGGCAGGATCGGCTCCCGACTTCTTTGTCGCGAGTCGAACGTCCCATTGACGGCCGCCAGAAATACCCATGCCAAGCTCCACCACCCTCTCTTGGACTAGAGACAGATGGTGCTGGCGAATCAGGCGCACGCAATCCCCGATTTGAGTAATACTTGGCACGAAGACAGCGAGGAAGCCATCGCGTTTCAGCATGGGCGCAACATGCGGGATTCGAAGTTGTGCAGACGGCATGTCCAGGATCGCGTGTGACAGGAACGGCTCGACCGAGCTCTGTCCTGTCAACGAAGATAGCACGCCGGTCTTGGTACGCTGCTTCTTCTGCTCTGCAATCCAGTCCTCAACTGGGCCCACATAGAAATCAACATCTCCGCCATACATTCCACGACGGAATCCCTGCACGTTCTTCTCGGCAAGCTTGGAGAATTTGGCTGAGACGTCCACGGTGTGAATGATTGCGTTGCGCTGCGCTCGCCATGTATCCCACTCTTCCTGCACTGTATCGGCATCGGAATTTTGATACTGGCTACCCTCGCTTTGTTCCGAGTCCTCTTCTCCAGGTCGTTTAGCTCTATCTTCGAGGAATCGGATTTGGGATTTCAATGGACGAGGCGGCGGCGTCGAGTTGGCGGCGTGGATGGCACGCGCAAGGTGCAGCGTCAAGGAACCATGGCCGGTGCCGGATTCAAGGATCTCTATCTGAGGTTCGTTCATACCCGCGGCTGGAGTATTAGGGTGGAGGTCGAGGAGGGAGACGATCAAATTGGCATCGTGGGGGTAGATCTACTGGCGTGAGCAGTTGTCTCAACTGGGATTCCTGTAATTGTTCAATCAGGCGAATGGCATACCGGTGTCACATGGCGAGGTGTCAAAGCAACGTATTCATCTAGCGTTGGAAGGCTTGGTCGAACCTCGGGGCCTGTTCCATGGTAAGTCACGTCGATCGCCACCGCGAAGGCATATACCTGCTTTACCTTTGTGAGCCTGCACAGTATCCCAGACACGATTTCCAATAACACGATCATGGTCCAGTTGTCCACGACGAAGATTTGTCTTGTCGCCCTTCTTCAATGGTTTCGTCAACACCGGTTGCTTGTTGTGAAGCACAATGCGATCACCCTCTGCGCTTCTGTGTTAACCACGTCCACAGACTGGAATGGGGGTAGTCGATCCGGGGCCTATGTACCTCGAAAAATGGAGAAATTAGGGTCAAAAGACCGGGATCGGGGGCCAGCAGGACCAACAGCTGGCGTCACGCCTAGCAGTCGCCGCAATGACTGGAGGAGACGGGCCATGGCTGGAGCTAAAGATGTCCTGAATGGGAAAATCTCGCTGCGGCGCCCAAAAGCCCGCGGTGACGGTGACCCACCAAGTTCCACTTCCACTCCCCCGGCTTCCCCTCGCCGCTCACCGGGGGGACCACCCCTCCATTTAGATCTTTCGACTCTCCTCTACTCGTACGCAATTGCTGAACTTGAACCTGTTCACCTCACGAACTTACACCTTTTGATCTCCGCTACAAATATCCTGTGATCTTCCTTGTTCATTCCTCTCACAATGGGTTCTATCGCGTTGCCTTACATGGCAACTCAGCCTAAGTTGATCTTTTTCACCGATTTCGATGGAACGATCACCGTTGACGATAGTGAGTACTGAACTCTTCAACCCTGGGTCTGGGATTGAGTGCGCATACTAATAAATACTGCAGGCAATGACTTCATGGTCCGCGTCTCGTGCCCCATATTCGCATTCCTCGACTGACGGTATTCGCATAGATTGACAACCTCGGTTTTGGCCGCGAGCGTCGCCAACAATTGAACGAGAAGGTCCTCGATGAGACCCTTGGGTTCCGGTAAGGATGGGGAGACCTTCAACTGTTTCAGGCGCTTGTTCTGACTTTGTACCCCTTCGCGCTAGTGACGCTTTCCGTGAGATGCTCGGAAGCATCAAGACCCCCCTACGACGAGTGTATCGCGACACTTTTGAAGAACATGAAGCTGGACCCATACTTCGAGAAGTTCTACTACTGGGCCCGTGACAACAATGTTCCTATCGTCATTCTGTCCTCCGGCATGAAGCCCATCATTAGTGCGCTGCTCGAGAAGTTCCTCGGCCACAAGCCCGGAAACCACCTTCACATCGTCTGCAACGAGGTGGTGCCCCGCGACGGCAAGGATATCAACAGCGAGGGTGGCTGGCAAATCCAGTACCACGACGAGAGGTACGTCTTTTAAAGTGTCTTCCAACATAAGTGCTGTATTGAATTGGTAGTGCTCACCTGTGCCTTTTCTAGCCACTTCGGCCACGACAAGTCCATTGAGATCAAGCCCTACGCTGCTCTGCCGGACAGTGAACGCCCAGTTCTTCTGTACGCCGGTGACGGTGTGTCCGATTTGTCGGCTGCCGCGGAGACCAACCTCCTATTCGCCAAGGCTGGTAAAGGTAAGTTGGCAAACATATTCCAGCATCGCTTGTTGAGCATCGGGAACTGACGGGCTTGTTTATAGATTTGGTGACTTTCTGCGAGCGCCGAGGCATGCCCTACACAACCTTCCAGGACTGGTCTACTATCCTGTCGACCACCCAAGATATCCTTGCCGGTAAGGTGTCACCCGCTGATGTCGCCACCAACAGTGCATAGATTCGACGGAACCTAAGAAAAGTTGGGAGAATTATAAATGAACCGGCCATTCCTTGATGGTCGATGACCAGGATTTAGATGACTTAGATGATATAATTGCGCAAAACCAATGGTTAAATATAAAGAAATAGAGACCAATGGGTTCAATTTTCAATCTTGATCTGATGTAGTACACTAGTCATACTTATACCAATTAAACTGAGTACACACTAGGGCTTGTACGGAGAAAAAGCGGAGAGAGCGACGGGAGACGGGACTCTTCAGGAGTTGGGGTGACCGCCTTGTGATTGCGGGTCCAGGCGTGGCCCAGCCTCGAGTGTCGTTGTTCCCAAACAACTATCCGCTTGTTCATCTTTCTCTTTTTTTTGTTCTGTGGCTCCATGGCTCTGTGAGCTGACTTGAACCCAACGGTCTTCTCGTGACCCGGATCTTGTCCCCCTTCAACGTGGGTGGCATCATGCGACACTGCGTCTCCCACCTCTTGACCAAGTCCTTGCCAGGGTGATACCAGCTTCATCATGGCTCGCCGGCTCGTATGGCCTCCTTTCTCGGTTCTCACTATTTCTGGTTAATATTGACTGTTCCTATTAGGTCCGTACGGGCGTACAGCTCGGCCTACTCGTTTCATTTGTCCTCCTCGTTGTTCTGTTCCTCGATAATCGATTCCGTGTCCTCCCCGAGTCCATCCATGGCCACCTGCCTATGCACTATTCCGGATACGTGATCACCGATGTTACAATCATTAAATGTTCCTCACTCAACCCTTTCTCAACTTGCAACACGGACCTCGATCTTTGGCACCGCGTCCACAAAGATCTCTACCTGCGCTCGGGCTGGACCTCGACTGCCTATATTCAATTCCAGCGGAAGAAGGAAGAGGAGTTGGGTCCAGATGACCGAGTCGTTATTGATATGAAAATCAGTCGACTCACCCCACCGACCGATTATAGCGCCGCCAATAACGCCAAAGGAGAGGTTGAGTCCTGGGAGTCCCGGCCAGGCGGTATTTGGTTAAAGCGATCCTCTTCACGCCACGCCAGCGATTCGGAAAAGGCAGTAACATACATCGACGTCCTTTTTGGCGCAGATGCTGTGGATCCTCGTCCAAATTGGGAGGTCAAAGATACTCCTCTATTGTTGGATGGCCGGACGGAGAAATTGGAGACTCGTCTCAGTATTCGACGCGGAAACCCCACTAAAAGCAAGAGGCCTATTCCCAGGATTAACGAACACGGAAAGTTCAAGGTGATGCAACTGGCAGATCTTCATTTTAGCACTGGTCTTGGTGACTGCCGTGACCCTGTCCCAGTTGAAACTACGCCAGGGCAGAAGTGTGAGGCCGATCCTCGAACCTTGGAGTTCGTGGAACGTCTCCTCGATGAGGAGAAGCCTGATATGGTTGTGTTCACCGGTGATCAGGTCAATGGCGAAACTGCGCCTGATGCCCAGAGTGCGCTTTTCAAATCCGTGAAACTTCTTGTCGACCGCAAAATTCCCTATGCAGCCATTTTTGGTAACCATGATGACGAAGGCGACCTCAGTCGGGCACAACTCATGTCAATATACGAAGACCTACCCTACTCCCTTGCAACCGCAGGCCCCGAAGACATTGATGGGGTCGGAAACTATATTGTTGAGGTTCTCGACCGTGGAAAGAGCCAACACTCTGCTCTCACTTTTTATCTCCTTGACACACATTCCTATTCGCCTGATGAACGCCAATTTAGGGGCTACGATTGGATTAAACCAAGTCAGATTCGTTGGTTCAAAAACACCGCCCAGAGTTTGAAAAAGAAACACCGGGAATATTCCCACATCCACATGAATGTGGCTTTCATTCACATTCCACTCCCTGAGTACCGAAGCACAGACAGATATTGGAGGGGCCAATGGAAAGAAGCCCCAACCGCACCTGGATTCAATTCCGGATTCAAGAATGCTCTCGAAGAAGAGGGCGTTCTATTTGTCACTGGTGGGCAGTAAGTCACTTGCGTTTTCCCTTTGTGATTGCTTTTCTGCAGGTATTAACATCTATTCAGCGACCATGCCAATGACTATTGCATGTTGGATCAAGATTCCAACGATAAACCCTCCCTTTGGATGTGCTACGGCGGTGGTGCTGGCATGGGGGGGCTACGGTGGTTATGACAACTACGTTCGACGAATTCGTTTCTTTGACTTCGACATTGGCCCCGGCCGTGTGACGACCTATAAACGTCTTGAATGGGGCCAGACTGAGGCCAAACTCGATGATATGATGATTGTCGACGGGGGCGCTGTCAAAGGTTCCAGCGAATCATATTAACAGAAAGCATACTCCTTTCCATCTTTCTTCTTTTTCTTTTCTTATCTGTCTACTTTTCCACATGAGCTCTGCTCTTGTTTTACTGTCGTTTCTGTGCTTACGGCTTTGTCCGTTTTACTCTGTACATATACTATCTTTCTTTTTTCCTCCCGTGGCCTGCAAGAAGTCGGCGTCTGTAAGGTGTCTATCTTTTATTGAATATTTCAACATTTCCATCTCTCAAGTTTTGTGAATATCTGTAGTCCCTGTCTTGAAATTCCAGCGCCCGGGACTGAAGACCAAGCATGTGCTGAAAAGTCTTCTGGGCGTTGCATTTCGACACTCACCACCATTTCTCGTAGAAGATTCGCTGTCCCTCTGGATCATCAAGAACCTTCTTTAAGCGATCGACCATATCATCTGTCATATCAGGTGGTCCGCAGACATAAGACACCGTTTTCTGTGGGTTTCTTTTCCCATCCCTATCTGTGATTGCTGCACGGAGATCATCTTCGCCAATTCTCCGTGAATGAATAGCGAGGTCAGCGGGGCGGCCGGAGGGCTCAATTAGAGAAGACTTGAGATTAGTAAGGAAAAGTTGTAGAGAGATATTGAACTTTTGCAAATGCAACTGGGTGCGGATGATCTGCCGAAGCCGTGATAGGAACAACACCTGTTCCAGGACTGCCTGAGATGATGCGGTTTCAAACCCAGTTGGCAGTCGGCTGGAATAGAGGAAATGAACGTTGATAGAATGGGCGTTAAAAGATTGGCTATTAAGATGTGACAAGATGGAGATGAGAGGGCTAGAGAGTCGAGACCGTGTTAGTACTTTTGTTCGCGATGTACTTGACTGTATACCAGCGGATGTGCATGAATCCAATGATATTGCTTGTCGAGAGATAGGGAATCGTACTTGATACCAACACCCCCAGCAACGAAAACAACATTATGAACGTCATGGATATCAACCCCGGTGGGTGGCCAAACGAAGCTTCCCCCGACACGAATATTGATTTCCTTGCCGAGGATATCCTCCTTCGGTTTCCAAAGCCACGCGGCAGATGGATTTGAAGGAGATTCCTGCACGGCTAGCTCCACGTATGGAGCACGACCTTGTGACGCTATGGTTATATCCGCTTCCTCGCTAGCCATCGGTCCTGGTGGGGAATCAAGCGGCGGTAAAAGTTGAGCATCTGCAGGGGTGGAAGTAATAGTGAAACCACCTGCCTGAGAAATGGACGGGATGTGAACATCTAGCCATTGGCCGGGCAGAAAAGAAAATGGTTGCTGGGTATCCTATGGTACAATGTATAAGCCTGATACTCCGAATCCCTTTTGGCGTGGTTTATGGTAGTTTGGATATCATCGATTAAGTACCACTCAGTGATATAGAAGGCGCCTCAATTGAAGCTAGACCCTGGGCTTTTTTTTTCTTGGAGAGACCACCAAGATGGCGGTTCCTAGACTGGAGTGGGTATTGACGTACACTACTTTCTTGGGGAGGTATGGCGAACTGCAGTAGTCGAACTGAGGAGTTGACTTGCTCCACATGTGATAGACGCACAGGATACAGTCGGTTCTGCCGGGGTTCTGCCGCCGTGCGCAGCTCGTGCGGGATAGAGTCTTCACGTTGGGAGCTCATCTTGATACGCCTTCCGGAATGGAATTGCCTGGCTGATGGTCGGGGTTGGCCTTGGTGAAGCGCTAGTCGCTGGATTGGCCGATAGTACGGTCGGAAAGCTCTCATTAGACCCCGTCGTAATGCAGTGGGGATGCAACGTATAACCGAGGGCAAGGATATGTACTAATGTGGCCAGAAAATGGGTACTCAGGTCACGTCCAATGGAGTGATAGAGTGATGGAGTGGTGGAGTAGCGGATCGTTGCTAATGCTGTTGCTGTTGCTGTTGCCGTGATGTGAAGTGATGGGAGACCACATGACTTTCTCCATCCCATCACATTCAAAGGTACCACCCACTGGACACTGCCAACCCTGTCACCAAATTCTTATTTCCTTGCATGGTCTGATTGCTCTACGGAGGAAAATGCTGACTCTGATGACAGGGGACTCATGTCATTTTCAGGTCCATCGACATGGGACCACCTTTAACACCCCATTGATGTGAAAGTACATACTCGTACTCAATCCTCTGTACAAGCACTTGAACTTGGGGCGGGATGCATGCAACGAGATCAGATCACGAACGAACTCGACAAGCTCCCCCACCGCAGCGTTTCGCCAAGCGCTGCTCGTCGCCATGCAACTAGTCCAAGTTTGTGCGCCGAAGTTCTTTGCGGAGTGATTGTGCAGATCCGTCTTCTCATCACACTCACTAGTGTGTGACGACCGGCAGCTCATCCCCCGATTCCGCCATCTCATTGGTGCCACAGCCCTGTCGGGGTGTTGGTGCTGGCGCTTTGCCGCCAGCAAGCATTGGTCAGATGCATCTCCCAGACACATTGCCAGGGCTTGCTGCATGCGTTCGCGCTGTTGATTCGTGCCCCTCTCTGCAGTCCGGCCATGGGCGACGGAAAGGTTGGCCGTCTGAGGCCCTCGACCTCATATCTAACGCCCATCGTCCGGATCGCCCAAACTCGTGCCGTTCTGATCTTCTTACATTCCTGCGCAGGAGCTTCATCTTCTGAATTTTACATGCGAAGCACTGGAGGTCTCAGCCAGCCGGCCTGGCCAAATCGCATTGTAACTCCATTATTATTGTCGTCGCCCGCCATTTTGGAGCAGCAGTGTTTCAGCTGGAGTTGATCGCGCTCGCTCGCCACCGCCAACATGCAGTTCTTCTTCCCCAGGCAGCATCGGCACTACAAGCTGGCCTACTGGTTGATGGCCGTTGAATTTCCCTTTGTGGTCGTTGTTCTGACTCTGACGGGAATTGCATCGCACAATACGTACCGGACATTACTGTGGCAGGATGGTGCCGACAACGGCTTCAACAGCGCTCCTGATGAAGCGCTATACGCCGCCGCTAACCACCGTCCCTATTCACCACCCATGGTGTGGTCATCGTTGTATGTCTTCTTTCGTTCTGCTGGACACCCAGCGAATGATTCGCGACTGACTTGATAATAGCATCACCAATTTCAATCTAGTGATTGGTGTCCTAAGCACATTCATGCTGATTGTCAAGCTACCACTCCATGCTCTGCATCTGTTCTTTCCCCCAATCGCAGCGGCGACCCACGGTGCACTCTTAATACTCTACATCGTGGCAGCTCGATATCAAGCTGGCAGCGACACATCAGATCCACAGCATCCACAGCCAGGACCTCCATGGTATATTACGAAAAGCTGCAGCGTGGCTGCGCACAAGTCAAATCTTGGATACTGCATGCAAGCCAAGTCGCTCTTTGCAATCACTGTGATTGTCATGTATGTGAACCCGGTCTTAGCACCAGATAAGAAGGCTAATATCTCCTGCAGTGTATTATATGCCGTCGATTTTGGAATCAGCGTTCACTCATGTTTCATCACAAAAGAAGAAAAGGAGAAGGTCTTGGAGTTAAGAGAGGAGAAGCGCGTGGAGAAGGAGTTTGAGGAAGAGATCTTGAAATCACCCAGTATGCTCCCTATGTCGGCACCTGGGATGATTCCTCGAACCCCCGGGTTTCCTCCGATCGCCTCTTCTCCCGTCGTGAGACATGGGGCTCCGATATCGCCATTCACAACACGTCATTTGGCCTTCAATCGTCTCGGAAGTGGTAGCACATCGTCCGATCTACCATTAAGGGACAATGGCAGCATGCCAAGCCCTCAAATACCATATCAACCGCCAACAACAGAGGCCCAGGGCTCATCAAGTCAACCGATGTACTTCCCGCCACCGCCGAAGAAGGCATCAAAGAATTAAATTATTCATGCTCATGCGTTCTGAACTTGCATATGTCGCCCATGATACCATCTTTTCATCATTTTTCATCGACACTTCCCTCCTTTTCTGATTAAGATTCCCGGTGACTCCGACCGGTTTTTTATTTATTCTCAAAGAGACCCCCCACATGGCATTTGGTCGAACTGGAATGGCCTTTCGAGGCATTAAAATACGCTTAGTACATATCATCTGAAGGCGTTTCAACATGAGACTACTAGTCCAGCTTTAAGACCTGGAGCCTCGCACCATAATTATCTACTACCAATCAACAATTGACAATGACAAGAAAACACAATAAATTTCATAGTTATCCGATCCCGCCGTATGTCGATAAATCATGTGCAAGGAGAGACTGCCTTAAAGCCCGAGCGAGAAGCCCACAACTATGTACCATTTAAATCAGATTCGAAGAAAAACAAGTCATGACTTCATTAAATAATGGCAATCATCCATAGGACCACCACCGACTCGGTGCTTTCAACGCAAAGGTGTGAATTCCCAGTAAGCATCTGGTCGATCGAAAATACTAAAGGGCTCAAAGCAGATTTCAAATGTCGAGATAGGTATCTTAAGAAGACCGACCAGAAGGCAAGAAGAGAGAAAGAGAGAATTCATCACCATATGGCCACCAGAAAACCAGTAGCTAACAATTAATAAGGAAGAATTCATGTGATATCTTGGCGTTTCTTCTCCTTTTTTGACCAACGCACTGAAGGGGGACATATTGATTAGTTTGTATGTTAGGTCAAAGGGATTGATGCTCAACTCACGACCACAGGCATTGCAAAGAGTCTTAGGACCACCAGGGCCCTTTCTCCACTCAGGAGAGTCGGCTGTACCACAGTCGCCGCAGACATGTTGACCCTTCAGTCTCTTTCGTCGGTCGCCTTCTTGAGCATTGCGTGCTTGGTCTGCTGCCGTTGTGATATCAATATCACAATGTACCAGTCTGCCCCGATTAAGACCGGTACTGAGGCCATGCGATCTTTCACCGTCGCCATAGTAGAGACCGGTCATAACTTCAATGCCATCGATATGGGAGAGGTTTTGGGCACGTCGTGGTGGGTCGTCCGAGTAGAAGTCAATCGAAGGGTTCTCGTCGGATGAGTCTGAGTTGGGAGCGACCGTCTCGGTAGATTCTTGGTCGCTCAAGACTACTTGATTAGTGGCAGGTGGGTTCTCGCTGAAAGGTTTATCTTCATCGACCTTGCCGTATGGAATGCGAGTTATGTTTGCCTCTTCCTCCTCCTCCTGTTTGAGCTTGGCGATTTGCTGGACCAATCGCGCGTTTTCGATTTTATGTTCCAGGAAGGAGTCGAGGAGCAGTGAGGTTTTGTTGGGATAGGGCCGGCACATGAGAAAGAACCCCGCACAACGGTCTTCACTCGACTCATTTCGGCCTTGGGATGGGTTTTGGTTCGCGATATGCGGATGCCCATAGATTTCGACGAGGCCATGCGTGCTGTTGGTCTTTTGGAGTCTCACATGAGTCCGAAATGGTTGGTTGGACGTGACCGACTCGGCCATGTCCCGGATAAAGATGTGCTTGTCATCGTCGTGTATATACTGGGTAAGGAAGGTACCCTCAAACTGTTTCGCAGCGCAGCCGGTAATTTGTTTCGCTGATGGTGACGCATAGTTGATGCGACCGTCCGCGTTAAGTAGGACAAGCATGTCCTTCATTTCCTCCAAGACTCGCTGAATCCAACCTGGGTCATTTTGAGAGGAGTATGCCCCCTGCTGTTGGTCCTGAAAGCCATAGTGACCATATGATCCTGGAACATTTGATTGTTGAGAAGAAAGGTAGCCTAGGTTCCCCTCGTTGGAGCCAGTTCGGGACGGTGGGGCGGGCAAGGGCATGTTGTCGTAGGACTGTTGTTGGCTCAGTGCCATCCCGAGTAAGGAAAAGGGCGTGGATCAGGATAGGGAAAGCGAGAAACTGAAAGTTAACGCTGGTGGTAGGATCGCTATGGTAACATGCATTCAGAGCTCAGAGGAGACCACAGAGTTTAGGAATCACGAGAGATCGACGGGCGCATTCCCTGGAGAGTTCTCAGGAGCCACAGCTGGTATATAGATGTGTGGCGGAAATGACCATTCTTGGCCGAGTGGGTGTGGAGGAGAGGTTGCTGAATCCACGAAGCCAAGCCAAGTCGACCACAAACTTCGATTAGGTACTCGAACTCTCCCTTGCCAATTGCACAGATATTCTGGACTCTGGGGAGGGCGAAGTGGGAAAAGATAGGAAATATGAGCCGAACCAGTTGCTGTCAACCTGCGCTCGCCGATCTTATGTGGGGGTCGAGGCTGCTTAATAACGTCCCATTTGACACACGTGACTTCGTGTCGCAGAGGCGCGACGCTCTCAAGTGGAGAAAGCTCGATACATCACAAATCCACCGACGAACCGAGCACACCCAGGACGGCTGGAACAGCATTAGCGCTGGATGCGTGGGTGGCAAGATTACGACCATCACAGTTTGTGACATTCTGAAAGCGCCCACTGTGCCGCGCGACCCAAAATGTAAGTGCGGACCATTTCCCCGCGGACTTTTGACAGTACTAATGGGCCAACAGGTGTAAGTCTGGCCCATACACCAGTCGACCCGACCGAATCTGACCGGAGACATGACGATGAACAGCGAAGATCGATAAACTCTCGATTTTGGGGTATGGCCCTGCTCATATACCTGCTAGATGGCGATGCGCTAATCTATATACGTTGGTTTCTAGAGTTCGCTCCTTCGATAACACGCGCAGCGAGACCATCCAGTTCCACACCCCTTTAACCTTGATCGTTGGTTACAACGGATCGGGGAAAACGGTACGAGTTGGCCCATGGCAGGCGCAAGCAAGCCCAGAGCTGACAGCATCTAGACCATCATCGAATGCCTGAAATATGCCACAACGGGCGACCTCCCTCCGAATAGCAAAGGTGGAGCTTTCATTCACGATCCCAAGTTATGCGGCGAGAAAGAAGTTCTCGCCCAGGTGAAACTTTCCTTCAATGGCACCTCTGGCGCAAAGATGGTTGCCACACGCAGCCTGCAGCTCACGGTCAAGAAAACTACGAGGCAACAGAAGACACTGGAGGGACAGTTGGTCATGGTAAAAAACGGTGAACGTGCATCTATCTCTTCACGAGTTGCAGAGCTGGACCAGATCATGCCCCAATACCTAGGCGTTTCCAAGGCGGTCTTGGATTCCGTCATTTTCTGTCACCAAGATGAAAGCCTGTGGCCAATGAGCGAGCCATCTGTACTCAAGAAAAGGTTCGATGAGATATTTGAAGCTATGAAGTACACCAAGGCGATCGACAACATCAAAGCCCTGAGAAAAAGGCAGAATGAGGAGCTGGCCAAGTTCAAGATCATGGAGCAACATGCTAAAGAAGACAAAGACAAGGCCGACCGAGCCGAGAAGCGATCCGTCAAGCTTCAAGACGAAATTGAGGCATTGCGCGAAGAGACCCAGCAAATGTCAAAAGAGATGCGCCGGGTCGCGGAATTGGCTGACAAGGCATGGAGGGAATCTGAGAGTTATGCCCAGGTTCTTGGTGCCCTCGAGGGAAAGCGAATTGAAGCGAAAAGCATCGAAACCACCATTGATAACCTCAAACGACATCTGGTGGAGCTGGATGACTCCGACGAATGGCTCGAATCTACCCTCGAGCAATTCGAGACAAAACAAATTCAGTATCAACAACAGGAAGAAGCTCAGAAAGAGAACTATGTGGATCTCAAGGAGCAGATTGAACAAACCAGATACCGACTCGGCTTGAAGCAGGCTGAGAACGGTAAATACGAAAATGACAAGGCGAATTTCGAGCGACAGCTACAGAGGCGCCAAAATATGATCACCGAGATCGCTCGCGGAAACAATATTCGCGGAGTCGACGACAACATGGACCAAAGCGATGTTGATGCATTTATGCAGAAGATTCGACGTTTGTTGCGTGATCAGAACCAGTCTCTTGACCGTGTGAAAAGAGAGGCACAAAAGGAACTTCGCGAAGTCCAAGATATTCTTAATGACATTGGTCAAAGAAAGTCTGCTCTTCAAGAAAGCAAGAATGCCGCGAAGAGACAAATTGCAGCAAACGACGGAGAGGCGGCCGCGTACCAGAGAAAGCTCAATGACATTGACGTTGACGAAGGCATACAATGCTCTTTGGAGGCAAAGTGGGAGGACATCACTACGAGTCTTGATCATGCAAAGAACCGAGCGGCTACTGCTTCCTGGGACCAAAAAATCCAGGATATCAATGCTCAAATCCAGAATTTAGAAGACGTGGGTCTGAAGCTGAATAACGAACTGATTGAGTCTTCAAAGAAGGCAAAGGACCTTGCTCAATTAGAATATCTCAAAAAGGACGCCAAGGAGAAAGAGCGAAGCCTGCAAACAATGAGGGGAGCCCATAGAGATCGCCTTTCGAAGGTCGTTGGTGCGGACTGGCAACCTGACACTCTTGAACAGGACTTTCAGCATGTTGTCGATACCGAGACCAAGCAGCTGGCGGATGCTGAGAGGGACCGTGATGGCGTGAGCCGGGAGCTGGAGCAAGTAGAATTCAAGCTGAAGAATGCGAAGAAGGCCCTCAAGCAGCGCCAGAAAGACCTCGATAACTATGCAAAAGAGATTCGCGAGGCTATTGAGGCAGAGCCTACGGAGTATCTCGAAACTCTCGAGAAACGCCAAGTCGAATTTGACCTCGCCCGCAAAGATGCCGACCAATTTGCTGGAATGGGTACATACCTCAACAACTGTCTCGAGGCAGCAAGACAAGCCAAGACGTGTCGAACCTGCGCTCGACCATTCAAAACTGAATCAGAACTTCAACGCTTTACCAAGAAATTGGAAGCCCTCGTGAAAAAAGCAGGCCTTGATGCTGAAGACGAGGCTCTTCAAAGCCTCGAAGAAGAACTCAAGGTTGCGCGTGAGGCTAGTGCAGCATATGATTCATGGACTCGTATCAAGGAGACCGAAATCCCAGAGTTAGAGAAGGAGGAGGAGGAATGCGAAGCACAACTTGACCAACTTCTTGACAAGCTTGAAGGACATGACCGGACAGTTAGCGAAATGTCTGAAAGCAAGCGAGACGTTGAAGCCCTCAGCAAGACAGTCAGCACAATTGTCAAATACGATACCGAGATCAAGACAAACATGTCGAAGATCGAAGAACTTGTGGCAAAGGAACAAGACATTCCCATAGGCCGTACTTCGGACGATATCCAGGATGAGCTCAAGACTGCAAACGAGAAGTCTCGTGAGCTCAAGAAAACCCTCACAGCCCTCACGGCCGAGAAGGAGCAGACGCAATCTGAGATTAACAAGCTGGAGCTTCAGCTCAGAGACGTTCGTGATCAGCTCAACAATGCCAAGTTCCAACTGGAAAAGAAGTCGGATCTGCTCGTCCGGGTGGAAGAATACAAGAAACTCAACTCCCAACAGCGCGAAATCATCGACAAGGCCGAGAAAGATATTGAAAGTCTTTCGCCGGAGCTACTGCAAGCTCAGACCCGCTATGATGATATCAGCCAGCGGGCTGACACACGTGAACGGGATTTGCAGCATGAGATCAATCGTGTCTCAGAAAGTATTCACCAACTCGATCTTGCGAATGACGATATCAATTCATATAACGAGCGAGGTGGCCCAAGTCAGCTTGAACGGAGCAATCGAGAGCTTACGCAGATTGAAGCGGAGATTACGAAGCTCGAGGCTGAGCAAAACGAGATCACACGAGAGATCAACAAGATCTCTGTCCAGCTTAAGGACAGCGAGAACACAAAACGGCAGTACTCGGACAACTTGACATATCGCCAGGCCACTCGGTCTTTGGGCAAGGTTATGGAAGAGGTTGGACAGCTCGAGGAACAAAATGCCGAGGTCGACCGCAGCCGATTTAAGCAAGAGTCGGAACGTTGGACCCGTGAACACAATGCTCTTGCTGCCAAACAAGCCAGCAAGATGGGTGAGATGAAGTCCAAGGATGATCAATTGATGCAACTTCTGGCAGACTGGAATACAGACTACAAGGACGCCTCATCCAAATACAAAGAATCTCATATCAAGGTGGAAACCACGAAAGCCGCGGTAGAGGATCTTGCACGGTACGGAGGAGCTCTTGACAAGGCAATCATGGCATACCACGGACTGAAGATGGAAGAAATCAATTCTATCATCGGAGAGCTCTGGCAAAAAACATACCGCGGAACAGATGTCGATATGATTCTCATTCGATCTGACAATGAGAATGCCAAGGGCAACCGCTCATACAATTACCGGGTCTGCATGGTCAAGTCTGGCGCAGAAATGGATATGCGAGGCCGCTGCAGTGCGGGTCAAAAGGTTCTGGCCAGTATCATCATCCGTCTTGCACTGGCAGAGTGTTTCGGAGTCAATTGCGGTCTCATCGCTCTTGATGAGCCAACTACGAACTTGGATCGTGACAACATTCGCTCGCTTGCCGAGTCACTCCATGATATCATTCGTGCTCGACAGCAGCAGTCCAATTTCCAGTTAATTGTCATTACACACGACGAAGAGTTCTTGCGCCATATGCAATGTGGCGACTTCAGTGATTATTACTACCGTGTTTCTCGAAATGAGAAACAAAAGTCGATCATCGAACGACAGTCAATTGCCGAGGTATGCTTACAGTATAATATATTTTTGGGGATGCCTATCCAAACTAACATTGCTCTTGCAGGTTATGTAAATTTGATCTATCTCGGCGAAGCTTCTTAACTCTCATTTCAAAGCCGTGCGTTCAGCGTGGAGTACAACATCTTGCTCATATCCAGGTCTCGGTGGCGAGGAAGGCCATGCCAATCAATGCAACTTATTTCTAGTAAATAGTGATTGAACACATAAAACATACTACTAGTACATATTTCCTTTTGCTGTAAAACGAGAAAGCTCGTGGTTTCTAGGTTTAGGTTCACTAGGCCTGTTTACGTCAAAACATTAGGTATGAAATGCTAGGCAATCATTCACAATGGTACACTCTGTTTGAATTGATCAAGCTATTCATTATCAACCGGTACATCCATTTCAGCATCCTCTTCATCAAGAAGTGGCACGAAACGAAAATCCACAAAACACACTGTGCCTGCCGGGGCTTTCATACCAGCACCGACAGGCCTACCGACCGCATTATTTTCATCCAATTCGATCATGAACTGCAAGCTGAGCACGCCCTGTCGATCGCCCCGGATACTCACTTTGTTCGCAACAGACATAGCACGCGCTGCCTTCCTGATGAGAGCAAACCGATAGTTCTGCGCGATCCGCTCCCCCATTGAAGACGGTGGGGACACGAGGAAAGTCTCTGTAACAGTCGGAGCCAATTTTGCCCTCGTTGCGCGTGCGCGTGAAGAGCCATCATCGGCCAAGACCTTGTGCGACTGTGACTGCGGTCCGGCTTGACTGGCACCGCCGACGATTTCATTATGCTGGTCAACTGAGAATTCGACTGTGGATTCACTGAAGGGACCACCGGCACCGGAAAGGGCGAAGAAGGGTTCCCGCGTGGCACATGCGGATAGCTTGAGGATTGTTGGATTGGACGAATCGAGTTCGGCAATGGCGTTGTGTAGCCAGGCTGAGCGCATGATGATTTTCATGATGATGGCGTCGCGTTGAAGGGGGATGTCAGTCGCGTCTTCTGCTTCATAGGTCACTAGTTCGCAGGTAGTTTTCACGCCAGATTCGGTGATCGCGATGCTCAGAGGGCTGCCGTGCTGTGCATATTGCAAGGTACATGAGCGGTCCATGAGCAATGTGGGAGCGCTAAATGCACTAGATGCGGGGTTTGTCTGTGGAAGATTGGTATCTCGAATGCCATTGGGTTCGTTGAGATCGTTGATGCCGAAGATTTTCAATGTTTCGAGCAGAGCGGAGAGCGAAACGACGAAGTGCGGATAGGTAATGTGCTCGGAAGAATCGTCATTTTCGGTAGATCCTTGATTATTTGGGACGGGTTGTTGGTTGAAAGTGTAGCTGTTGAAAAGAGACTTGTCGAGGAAAGCTAGGCCTTGAATGACGCGACCTTCCTCTACCGAGAATCGTAGGCCATCGGGGGTGATTTGAACCGTGGCCTTGGAGGCGATGCCAATGCAAGAGAGTAGGGTATAGAGGTGATGGGCATTATTGGAGACACAGGTAAACAATGGCTCCATTGTTGCAACTGTGCCGGTTGGCTGAATAGCGTGGGTGAGGCGGCGAAGGAAGTTTGGAGGTCACGAGCTTGTAATGACTTGGGAGGTTCTAGCAGTACAGGTCCCTTTGGATTCCCCGCTTATCGTACATGGAGGAAAGAGAGTTGGTAGGGGGTATCACGTTAAACATAGACTCCGACAGCACAGATCATGAAGACAGATCCAAAACTATTAATGGGAACGAGGTCAGCCTCCAAAAAGAACCGGATTGTACCCGTGATGTCGTATTTACTTACCCGAAGAGTAATGAAGCTGGCAGACCCACGGAGGCGAGGCTCAGGAATGAACGGTCTGATTGGATTTAGTGTCAAGGCAATTCGGAATTGGCTTCATTGTTGTTAGGCAAGGAACTCACTCAGGCCAAAAAGACCAGTAAAAATCACCGCTAGAATTGAGTCAGTAATGGCAACCAACATGAGGCCAGTTGTTCGTACCGAGCAGAAGTAGACAGAAGCCGACAAAGAATTGGCTATCCTTGGGCACAAGAGGTTGGAATGGAGATGCGGAGGCTGCCTCCCAGACTTCGTTCAGAGACATGAGTGATGTGATAGGTGGTGATGGAATGGGAGAGAGTAGAGTGTCAATTAGGTAACAAAGATGAGTTGTTACGGGGAATAGTTACATAGCTGGTCTTAGTAGAAACGCGCTTGGCTGATCTGGTCCGATTACGTAACCCTTCAAACTCCGGGGACGACATGCTCCCCCAAGGAACGCGGTCGCAGTCATCGTTCTCTCAATCCACCCATCATGGCCGTTGTTTCACCTAAGAGTGAGTCTAGTTAGATTCAGAAGTTGGAATACATACTGACTGATCATCTCATCTAAAGGCTCCAAGAGGAAGGCCTCGGAGGAAGCCGCCTCCCCGGATTCACAACAGCAAGCTAGCAAGAAAGCGCGCACCGATTCTCCCGAGAAAGAGGTGTGTTCGACGATTGGATGCTTGTTTGAGCTCTAAGACACAGCTGACTTTAACTACCTAGGAGGATGGTCCGCTAGAAAAGACCCCATTGCGCATCGTGCCTTTCCCCGAAAAGGTGAGAGCTGCCTATCCCCTCATCGCATCGCCCCTCTCGACGCTCCATAGGCGCAAAACCATAATGGATCCCCTTTTAACATGTTGGATTAGCCTGCCGTCCTAGAAGAACGCCGTGGAGACATCGAGTTCCGCGTAGTCAATAACGATGGATCACACGACAGTTTCATTGTCCTCACAGGCTTGAAATGTATCTTTCAAAAACAACTTCCCAAAATGCCAAAGGACTACATCGCCCGACTCGTGTATGATCGATCACATTTGTCTATTGCAATCGTGAAACATCCGTTGGAAGTGGTCGGGTATGTGCAACTGAATTTGGGGACCATACATGGATGATGCTGACGAGAACACCCCAGAGGAATTACATATCGCCCGTTTAATAGTCGCAAATTTGCCGAGATTGTATTCTGTGCCATTTCGTCCGACCAGCAGGTCAAAGGCTATGGTGCGCATCTTATGTCCCATTTGAAGGTATGTTCGAAAACCTGCAGCCACCAGGCTATCCAAGCCTAATGTTTATTGGGCAGGACTATGTGAAAGCCACCTCTCCCATCATGCATTTTCTCACCTATGCCGACAATTACGCCATTGGATACTTCAAAAAACAAGGGTTTACAAAGGAGATCACGCTGGACAAATCTATTTGGATGGGCTATATCAAGGACTACGAGGGAGGTACTATTATGCAGTGCACCATGCTACCAAAGATACGGTACCTTGAAATGGGTCGCATGCTTCTGAAGCAAAAAGAGGCCGTCCAAGCGAAGATTCGTGCATTCAGCCGCTCGCATATTGTTCACCAGGCACCAAAGGACTGGAAGAATGGCGTCAGCAAAATCGATCCTCTCTCCATTACTGCCATCAAGGAATCTGGATGGTCTCCGGACATGGATGAGCTAGCTCGCCAACCACGCCATGGGCCGAACTACAACCAACTCTTGCATCTGCTCAATGATATGCAAAACCACAGTGCGGCCTGGCCATTCACCCAACCTGTCAATCGCGACGAGGTTCCCGATTACTACGAGGTGATCCTGGAACCGATGGACTTGTCCACCATGGAAGAGAAACACGAGAAGGACATGTACCCCACTCCACAGGATTTTATCAAGGATGCGACATTAATATTTGATAACTGTCGACGTTATAACAATGAGAGCACTCCTTATGCCAAGAGTGCTAACAAACTTGAGAAGTTTATGTATCAGCAGATACGAAACATTCCTGAGTGGTCGGTAAGTGCAAAGGTTACAAGGGCCCGCCTTCAAGGGAGCATGCTAACATCCGATTCTCTAGCATCTGGGCGAAGGGCATTAGGACGCCTAGTCCTCCCTGGTTTTCTTTCTTTTTTTCGCGACGGTGTTTAGATGGGATGGCGTTCGGAGGGACTCGGTTTAGCAATACCCTGTGGATACCGGTTTTTAAGGAGCATAAGAACCGAAAGGTGCTATGAAAATATGAGTGATCAAGAAAATGAATTATAATACTAGTATACGAGTATTCAATATTGAGACTAAATACTCAATATTAAATATTAAGATCCCCCCCTATGATGCAATGTTCCTCACGCGTAGTGACAGGTGGGGCCGGATGAATGTTATTGCGGTGTTGTTTCATCTCCGAGAATCCTGGGCGACGGCAGTTGGCGAGTGTGGCTGGGCGATCTGCTTGTTCGCCCTCACCTTCGCCCTGACTGAGCCTGGTCTCGTTCGTTTTACCCCCCTAGTTCATGGGATTTTTTTACTTTATCATTCCTCCGAGTTCCTGGCTGCTGTAGCGCGGCTGTTGGCCAAGTTTGTGCGACAAAACTGTGGTTCCCAGGGGCTTCTCTCCTATCCGGATAACATTGCGTGTCCCGCGACGCCAGACTCGATTCTTTTCGCTACCTCCTCTTTTGGATATCCACAAGGGTCTCTCTCGTTCTTTTGTCAGACTCTCGGCAAACCTCTTGAAGTTTGCTACGACCAATTGTTGTGTTGACACCCCATTATCTACGCGATTTTCGATCCAACACGTTCTCTACCCCCCTTTTGCGGTCCGCCCCTCCTCGACTTTTTGAACTTTTGGTGCTGGAAAATTTACCGGTGACGAATCGTCGACAAATTGCCCAAAATGGCCTCGCCAGATTCCTTTCTCGACGTGGAGCAGCGAAACCGTCTGCCCACTCTCTTCGAAGTCCTCAGTCGCCGCACACTCGCACCCGTCGACCTCTTCTCCTTTTACATTTACATGCGAGACCAGCAGCGCTCGGTGGATTACTTGGACTTCTGGTAAGGCTGGCCGTGCGCCTACTCATCAATTCAGATTCTAATTATTTTCTTTTCATTACGCAGGTTGGACGTTTCACAGCACATGTCCCTATGCCGCCATTATGTTCGGGAACTTCGTCGGTCCGTCCTTGTCGCAACGCCTGATATGGAGAGGGCCGACAGCAAGCGGTCATCTGCGATGTTGGAGAACCTGGAAAACCTGGGTGATATCCCGCTAGTGGAGGCTGGGCCTTCACGATTGCAGTCCAACGAGAAGGACAGAGATGCCGACCACCGCCTCTCTGCTTTCTTGCGCTCTGAAGGCGCTCCCTCCTCACACTCGCCCCAGAACAGCATTGGATCTCAATCAGCATATCGCACCCCATCCAATGATGTGCAACCGCGCCCCAGCGATGGTACCCGGAATGGTGACTCGACCTCTCCTGGACACACTGTGGCTCGTAACGATATCCGCGCAAGTGCCGAAAAGATTCTTTACACCTACCTTCTACCTGGCTCTGAGCGAGAAATTATCCTCCCCGAAACAATGGTTTCCACCATCATCAACCTGATCGAAGACGACAACCGTGACGATCCCGAGGTATTCGACCCCGCCAAGGATTACGTCTTCCAAGCTATGGAGCGTGATGCATTCCCAGGCTTCTTGCAGGCCAAGGCACTGGGAAATCTCGTTCCTTTGAGCATTATCGCTCGTCTCGCTTTCGCCCTTATCAGCTTCGGAGGTGGATTTTGGGGTGCTTTCTACGTGGTGCTCCGCAACAAGCCTCGCGGTATTCGCTGCTGGGTTATTCTCCCGTTTGCTGTGGCGGCCTACTTCATTGTCTCCTATCAGTACAAGATAGATCCCGCCATGGCATTTTTTGGCTATAGCGAGTACACTTTCATGAACTGGGCCCCGATCCGCGAACCGTACGTCCGAAAACTCCTCAACAAGCGCGCTCTGGTCACTGCGGCAATCGCTTTCCTGAGCGCTGCTGCTTTGAGTATTTTGTTCATCTTCGTCCCTGGTACTATGCTTTAAGCCAGTTTTTCCCTGCCCTAATGATCAAACCCACCGCTCTGTTGTTTTCTAATTCCCGTGCAATGTCCGAGGCGTGACCCAGGTTCTTTCAGTGTCTGCATCCGTATCCTTCTGTGGAATGGTTCTCAAGCTGGCGTCTGGATTCTTCTATTCTGGCTTGCTTCTGCGAAGCATAATATCTCAAAGCCCGTTCCTCTCGGTTCGCTTCGCAGCCTGTCCTTCTTAGGCAGTGTAATTGCGCCGAGTGTGACTTTACCCCCCCCCCTCTCTCTCTCCCTTTTCACCATCAACCGTTGGCGACCATGCCTCTTCTCCTTGCCGTGTCCATATTCGCCATCTCTTTTGCCGTTTTTTCCCTTCTACCAATACCCCTTCTGACCTTCCATCTATTGTCTTTTGTATCTATGTTCTCTACGAGTCTTGCCACTAGGGCATCACGAATACATTTCTTGTTGTCGAAGAACAGAAGCAATGTATACGGAATCATTTCAATGAAAATTCACCACCTTAAGGAGTAAATCTAGTCAATAATGAGAGTCATAACATTCATCAGGATACCAAATGTAGAGCCATATGCTGGCTGGTACATCTCAGATGCGTCGTATTGTTTACTTGGCTTCTCACTTAGGCCTTTCTCCCCCCGAGTATGCGCTTTGAATGCCTGCTCCCACCACGAGACGCCGGCGCTTCATCAATATCCATCCGAGAACCAGCCTCAGCACCTTCACCAGATTCCCAGAACCCATCATCGCGATCGATATCATCGGCCTCCCGCTTATTGCCCGGAGCCCCGCCGCCAGCGGCCCACCGCCCAACCGGCCGACGCCCAAAAGCACCGAGTTTCCCACGCGACGAGCCACCTGAAGAGGTATCGAGAGAGGAGCCACCCATTGCCTTTCGCCGTTCCATGGCTTCCTCGATGCGTTTTTGGTATGCCTGGTCCTTGGCATGGCGCGCCGTCGCATTGGATTTAACTCGCGCAATCTCGGCTTCCAGGTCGGATACTACTTCTCCGCATCGAGCTTCCCAGTCGGTCAGGAGGGAGATCATTTTCGGGAGAGCCTGTGGCTGGACGTCGCGGAGGGGTGCGACGGCGGTGACGTTCACATTGGGTGGGGTCGTTGCGGGGGAGAGACGGGCGGATATCAAGTTTGCGTAGATGGCTGTTGTAACCAGGGACTCTAGCTCGGCGGTTGAGGAGAAAGAGAGTGCGTTCATGAGGGCTGGGTAGGTTAGAGATTCGGCGGATGCAGCGAGAGAGAGGAGAGAGAGGAGGCGGAGTTTGAGAGATTGTTCGCTGCTCAGTTTCGGGAGGTTGGGGGGTTTCTGTGAGGGGAGGGGATGCAGTTAGCTTTCACCGTACACCAGGTGGACTATTTTCGAAATAATAGTTGAGGGGCTTGAGGTAATCCTACCCTGGTATTCCTGCCATGTGCCCCAGGCGAAGATCTGTAGCAGCTTCAGGTAGGCCTGGTATTCGGCGGGGGTGTCTGGAGAGGCTAGGGCTTGAACTGTTTCGGTTTCGAGGAGCTCGGCGAAGACGTAGGTTTGGGGACTCGATGTGGCATTCGTAATCAGATTGGCTATGAAGCGCGGGGAGGTGGCACTATTGGAGTTGGCGAGGTGGATGAATGGCTGTAGAGCCTCCAGGGCTCGGACATGTGTTTGGTCCATGGTGTGTGGTAAATCAGCTGGTAGCCTGAGTGGCCTGCGTCGCCTCAATATTTGGGTGAATTGCCAAGAGTAAGTGAGGAGATAGTGGGCTTGTAAAACAAGAGAGCGTGATGGGTTGAATTGTGTATAGACGGAGATGGAGAGGGAGAGGAGCGGAGCTTGTTTGCATTGTTTGCATTGTATGGACTGGTAGTACAGGGAGTACTGCCCCGAAGTATTTGTACACAGGTCAATAACAATCATGGGTGAGGGTACCCAGGGTACTAGTATTCTAGAAGTCAAAGGTGAGGGATTGTACTCCGTACAGTAGATTAAGAATCAACCTTGGAAGATATCAAGATGTATAGTATTAGAAATCACGTCTACTCGTCGGGCTCAAGGTATCACTACTAGGCATGTAAACCACACCTTACCAGATTCGGGAATGGATCCATTCAGTTCATTCCGGCCATTTGATTAGTGGATATCATACGGAGTTGGAAGGCTAGAATGATCTTATCACAGTCTCCTTGCCAAGCCTGATCTGAGGATTTAACTCTCATGGTACCCTCCTAGCACCATAACGTAGATATAGTTCGCTATGGTGTCACTGCACTGCACTGCACAGGTTCATGGATTCTGCTGGTACCAGTTCGTACTGATTCCTGCTAGTCCCATGAGTAGGTAGTAATCCCTGTTCCGACCCCTCCACCTGGCTATATTGCCTGTGCAAAGCCAGGGACTCCTAGGGTTCTTTTTGAAACGCTCAAGGGTGGGTTGACAGTATTTGACAGCCCTCTGACACACCACAACTGTTTCATGCCCCCATCCCAGTAGACCCTTCAATTCCGGTGTTGATATATCTGAAGAATTCCAAGCTCCTCGGCGACTACAATTGGGAACTGGTCCGCCCTTGTACTCACTTGCATACATTGGCTTGAAAGGGCGGAGTAGGCGACGCATTCCTTCACGCGGCGGAGACGATCCCGATCCACCCCCCCCCCATGCCCATGCGTAATCTCCCTCTTTTCTTTCTTTCAGGCTCCCTTTAACCGACGAGAGGTATTTGAACTTCCATTTTTCCCCTCTTCAGAGACGTGGCCTTTGTTTTGCTTTGTTTCGTTCGGCCACTATTGTCTTGTCCCTCTCCATGCGGGAATGATCTGATCGGACAAGGTCGATCCGACGCCATCCGTCACTTTATCCTTTATCACGCTATCCTCTCATCACATCGCCTCGAGGGGCTCTCGTTCGCCCTGCGCGGTCCTAATAACTATCGCCCTCATGCAATAATCGATCGTCTCGCCACTACTTCCTCCTCCTCCTTCCATCCCCTCTTCATGTCCGCCGAACGAAGTGGTGCGGCTGATGCGATAGCCGCCCAGCGAATCCCCGCCATGGCTACAACCACCGTCAAGATCGATGGAATGACCTGCGGAGCATGCACCTCGGCCGTAGAAAGCGCATTCAGAGGTATCGACGGTGCTGGAGATGTCTCTGTCAGTCTCATCATGGGTCGCGCCGCCATTCAACACGATCCCTCCATACTGGCCCCAGCCAAGGTAGCGGAGATGATCGAAGACTGCGGCTTTGATGCCGTGGTGCTGTCAACGGAAGAACGGATTCAGACTACAGACACCGGCTCCTCCGATCTCTCCTCCGCGCGTCCCTCCGCGACGACCCTCGCTGTCGAAGGCATGACCTGCGGCGCATGTACATCTGCAGTGGAAGGCGGGCTAAAGGACGTCACCGGTGTGACCTCTGTAAATGTATCGCTTTTATCGGAGCGCGCGGTGGTGGAACATAATGCGGGAGAAATTTCTCCAGAACAAATCGCAGAACTCATTGAAGATCGAGGCTTTGGAGCACGCGTGCTGGAATCAAAACCTTTATCGGGCCCCGAAAGTCATTCGAACCTCGCCGACACCACTGAAAATAAATCCGGTCACACCGTCACCACCATTGCAGTGGGAGGTATGACCTGTGGCGCATGTACATCCAGTGTTCAGAATGCCTTTGACAACGTGGATGGTGTTTTCCAATTCAATATCAGCCTCCTAGCCGAGCGTGCTGTCATTGTGCATGATCCGTCAATCCTGTCGGCCAAAGATCTTGCGGCCATCGTGGAGGACTCTGGATTTGATGCGTCGATCGTATCATCCGAAGCCCAGGAACCACTCTCAAAGAAAACCCAGCAAATCAACCTAAGTATGCATGGCCTGCGGGATGCCGCTTCCGCTGTGGCGTTGGAAGACGACCTCCAAAGTCGTCCCGGGATCAAATCAGCCTCGATAAATATGGCCAACAATCAGTTACTTGTGGCCTTCGACACATCCTTCATCGGGGTTCGGTCTATATTTGAGATCATCGAGGCGGCTGGGTATAATGCCCTGATTACAGATACGGATGACACCAATGCACAACTTGAGTCTTTGGCCAAAACAAAAGAGATTCAGGAATGGAGACGGGCATTCATGACCTCATTATCCTTTGCGATCCCCGTCTTCATCATCAACATGATCTTGCCCATGTATCTGCCAGGCCTCGACTTTGGCAAGTTCAGAATCCTCCCAGGCCTCTACTTGGGAGATCTACTCTGCCTCTGCCTGACGATTCCTGTACAATTCGGCATCGGGCGACGATTCTATGTCACCAGTTATAAATCTCTCAAGCATAAGTCCCCTACTATGGATGTCCTGGTCATTCTAGGAACTTCTGCCGCATTCTTTTACAGTTGCTTCACCATGATCATGGCTCTACTCGACGACCAACATATGCGACCGAGCACTGTTTTTGATACGAGCACTATGTTGATCACATTTATCACACTGGGGCGCTGGCTAGAGAATCGCGCCAAGGGACAGACATCTGCTGCGCTGTCTCGGTTAATGTCGTTGACCCCCTCTAAGACCAGTATTTACGAGGACTCCATCGCGGCCGAAAAATTGGCCGCTAGCTGGGACCCCGAAGGCGCTCCGGATGGTTCCAACTCGACTCTGACTGACGAAGCCTCGGTAAACCAACAGATCATCCCCACTGAATTGATTCAAGTCGGCGACATTGTCATCCTTCGTCCAGGTGACAAGGTCTCTGCCGATGGGGTGATTATTCGAGGCGAAAGCTATGTCGACGAAAGTATGATCACTGGCGAGGCCTTGCCCATTCATAAGAAGAAAGGCAGTCATGTCATCGCCGGAACTGTAAATGGCACCAGCTCCATCGATTTCAAAGTCATCCGGGCCGGTAAAGATACCCAACTCAGCCAAATCGTCAAATTGGTCCAGGACGCGCAAACAAGCCGAGCACCCATCCAACGTATGGCGGATATTGTGGCGGGCTATTTTGTCCCCACAATTATCGGCCTGGGTTTAATTACCTTTTTCGGCTGGATGTTCCTCAGTCATGTCTTGAACAATCCGCCACTGATATTCCAGTCTAAAGATAGTGGTGGTCGAGTCATGGTCTGCCTGAAGCTTTGCATCTCGGTCATTGTTTTTGCTTGTCCTTGCGCTCTAGGCCTCAGCACTCCCACGGCAGTCATGGTCGGCACTGGCGTGGGTGCCGAGCATGGCATTCTTGTCAAGGGAGGCGCCGTTCTAGAGGCTGCTACTAAGGTCAACCACGTCGTCTTTGATAAGACTGGCACATTAACAACTGGCAAAATGAGCGTGTCCCAAGCACAGATCGAGCCTTACTGGACTGCCAATGATTGGCGGCGTCGACTCTGGTGGCTCATTGTTGGTCTCGCGGAGATGGGTAGTGAGCACCCCATCGGGCATGCCATCATGTCCGAGGCCAAAACCCAATCTGGAAATGGGATAGAGGATGGATTGCCTGGAAGTGTCGGCGACTTCGATGCCTGTGTGGGAAAGGGTATATCTGCCACCGTTGAGCCTACATCAAGTGTCGAGCGCATTCGCTACCAAGTTCTTATTGGAAATGCGGAGTTCCTTCGGTCAAAAGACATTCCTGTCCCTGTTTCAGCGGACCCAAGAGTCCTCCGATGCTCCAGAAAGTGCAGCATCTGCCGCAGTACCTAAACCCAACATTGTTTCCGGTGTCACCCGAATTCATGTTGCGATTGACAACCGATATGCAGGAACTATCTCTCTCCTGGACAGCCTCAAGACTACAGCCGTTGCAGCTGTGGCAGCCCTACATCGCATGGGAATTTCGACATCAATGGTGACCGGTGACACGTTGTCTACAGCACTGACAATCGCCTCCGCTGTCGGAATCCCCTCTGCCTCTGTTCATGCATCCGCCTCGCCATCCGACAAGCGTGTCATTGTATCTGCTCTCCAATCAAACGGAGACTGTGTTGCAATGGTCGGTGATGGCATTAACGATTCTCCCGCTCTTGCAACCGCATCCGTGGGAATCGCCCTGGCATCAGGAACCGATGTGGCCGTGGAGGCAGCAGATATTGTCCTCATGCGTCCAGATGATCTTCTCTCTGTCCCTGCCAGTCTTTCTCTTTCGCGCGCAGTTTTCACGCGGATCAAGCTGAACCTGATGTGGGCTTGCTTGTACAACATCATTGGCTTGCCATTCGCCATGGGCATTTTCCTACCATTTACAGGACTCATGCTTCCCCCAATGGCAGCAGGAGCCGCAATGGCCCTGTCCAGTGTCTCGGTAGTTGTCAGCAGTTTACTTTTGAAACTTTGGCGCCGTCCATCATGGATGGACACCGAACGTCTCGAAAAGGAGCTGGGCTCCGGCACCATTCCCATCAATGGCGCACGTCATGGCCGTAAATCTAGTTGGTGGGCACCTGCGAAGATTCTTTCAACGGACCATCCAGCTTTACTGCGTCGGGTTGGTGATACTGCCTCCGCGCTATGGTCGATGATTACCGGTAAGCGGACCGTTATCCGTGAGGATGAGGGTTATGTCCTGCTTCAGACCGTGGACTCTCCCGTCTAGTCGGGACTCTACATTTGATGATATTTACTCTTTGCATGTTTTCGATATGTTGATATCTGTATGATCTCAATTGTGTTTATTGGGCATTCGGGTCTGGGCTTTGGTTTTGGTTGGTACAAACGACGGCGCCTGTGGAAATTATTTGTTTACGTGTTCGATACCTCTGCTGCACAAATGCATTCAACATTTCAAGTTTATTCTGATTCGATCGTACTCCCTGGATGCGACTCACGGCTTTGGATAGTATCTCGTACTTGTTACTTCACAGCAGCCACGAACAACGTCCAGGTTCACTGAGCCATAATCGCCTCTATGAAGTCATGGACAATATCAAACCGTACGCCATCTGGGTTTGTGAAGTTCAACCCCTCGTCTAGGAGAATAGTCCGCCTTTTAGTAAAATGTCTTAGAGTACGAAAGAGGAGTACTCACACCAAAGCTCATCCGCCTCAGGATGCGGCCCAACAACTCCAACCCAACCTTTACCAAAAGGTGTAACCGAGGCGGCAATGTCACCATTACTTGAGTATCTCCCCAGAATAGTCGCAGAACCCTCTTGCAACAGTTGAATAACAGCACCATCCTGGAAATATACCCAGCGCCCTTTATCCGTCTCCCCTTTCCTCTTGCCTGTTTGGAAGGTCCAATCAACTTGAATAACAGTATCGCGTTGGTCTGGAACCTGTCTACCCGGTTGATCAATTTCGTCGGTTGCGTTAGAGCCGGGTGGAAGGATGTCAAATCCACGATCGTTGCCGGCCAGGTAAGCTCCCAAGCAGAACCCTGCGTAGCGACCTCCTTGCGACACATAGTCACGAATGATCTTTTTATAGTTCTTGGTATGTTCCCACGCCGGATCAAGATCTATAAAGGTGAGCTACAAGTGTCAAATAATGTTTAAATTCCATGCCAACAAGATTCTTCTTACCACCGCCACCTGGCTGAACATATAGTTGTACGTCCTTCAAGGCTTCTGCAGTAATATCGATGTCTTCATTTGGTCCTGCAAATTTGACCTCGAAATGAGATGCTGAGGATTTGAGCCGCGAAGCTATTGACTCTGGGCAATCTTCGCAGGCAGCAGGTCCGCGGTATATCAATGCCTTGGGACGGCACCCTTCATGACCCAAGACCATAGTGCCTGCTAGGAGAGAAGTGGCAAAAATTATGGTCCGCATTGCGGCGAGCTGTGGAAGGTAGAGCGCAAAAATTTGATCTCAGAAGTAAAATGTGATAATGTGCAAGATATTTTTCATGGTAAATTTAGAAGAGCATTTAATAGGGTTGCAGCCTAAAATGATAAACTTCATTTGAAGGCACTCAGCCTCGGCTTACGCCCTGAATCGGTAGTGATGAACGACTCACATCAAACACGAGCTTAGTAAGTATTCTAAACTTTACTGGGTTGCAGTTGGAGCATGATGAATGGGGGCGGAAAGGACAAGAGAGAAAGGCAAATGCTCGCTATTACTTCGCGCTAGTTGCAATTTCGAACCGGGTTAGTTAGATTTCAGCCCTTTAGAAAGCAGTCAATTGGTCCAAAGGCCAGTTTGCTTTGCCTTCATCAGATATTGGGTCAAATTTTATAATCTTTCATTAATCCCTAGAGTCCAAAGTAAAATAAACCTCTAGTAGGTCACTAGTATCTGTCTATGCTGATATTTCCCCTTTCATGCTAATCGCACTAGAACCACTAGACTCTATGTCGTCAGGTGCTGGGCCCTGAAGACCCTGTTTCGAACTCAACGCCTGATTTAATGTGTAATCCTTGGTCAAAAGGCTCAATAACAGAGCCAGGCCTCCAATCCCGCACATAACCGCCCAAACGATAACAAGAGCCTTTGCGTATAGGCTTTCAATCAAGCTCCTCTCCACACTGCTCGTCGGTAGGGTGTGGATGTATTGTACCAGGCTAGAAGCATCCTCTGCATAGGCAAGCGCGGACCGGCCAAGAGAAGGATGATCGCCAAACTCATGTATAATACGGTTCTGAAAAACAACACCACCAATCGAAACTCCAACGGCCTGGCCAAATACCCGGAAGAAGGGCGTCATGGAAACGGAGATAGAAAGATAATCAGGGTCTGCGGCAGCTTGAACAGCTAGCATCACGGTAGGATAGAGGGTGCCCACGCCAATTCCTGCGACAAGGTTGATAAAGAGCCACTTAGGAATGCTTGATTCGGAATCAAGCAGGCAGAGAAGTCCTATTCCGAGAATTGTGACTGGCCAGCCGAACCAGAGCGCCCAGCGGTATCGACCAACTTTGGCACAAATAAATCCGGTTATAACAGAGATGGGGGCTACAGTAAAACATTCTGGGAACATTGCAACACCCGCTATCACCGGCTTATAGCCTAGTGAGCCTTCGTAGTATAGCGGCAGGTAGTAGACAATTGCCCAGAGGATCACACCGTGGAGGAAACATCCAGCATAGCTTACTGACATGGTCACGTTGTTGAAAATAACAAGTGGAATAAGCGGCTGTGTGGCGATGAACCGCTCATACATGCAGAATCCGATCAATCCTGCAACCCCCAGCACAAGAGGAACAAGAGTATGCCACGAATCCCATGCATACATGGTCCCTCCCCAGGTGATTGGGATAAGAAAAGATGTCAATGAAGCGACGAACAAGAATGAACCGATGTAGTCAACCCTTTTAAGACTTTCTCGCAGTGGAAAGATCTTCGTGGTGTCGAGCTTCAGAAATATCGGAATCAAGATCAATCCGAGGCCACAGAAGGGGAGGTTAATCCAGAAGATCCACCTCCAAGAGGCAGATGATTCTGTGAATCCACCGCCAATCAGTGGTCCAACGACCGTACCAAGAGCCCAGGTTCCCGAGCGAATGCTGAACCACTTTCCTCTCTCACGCAGAGGAATCAGATCGGCAATGAGAATCTCGGTGAGAACCATGATCCCTCCTCCACCCACGCCTTGAAATGACCGCCCAACGAGAAGGAGAGAAAACTCCATCGCGACGGCAGCCAGGATAGAACCCAGAGTGAATGATACCACGGCGGTTATGAGGATATACTTGCGTCCGAAGATGTCAGATGCGAGGGAAAAGATAGGTTGAAAGACGCAAGAGGCTACAAGGAATGATGTTCCAGCCCAAAAGGCCTCTGTAGCCGTTCCTCCGAGGTTATCGGAAATGGTCTACGAAGAGGTTTTCGAGTTAGATAATGATGTCAGATATAATTCGGGATAGCTTACCGGAAGAGAAACCGAAATCGAGGTAGCATCAAGAGCAGCAACGAAGTTCAGCAGGCCAACAACAGCAAATATACACTTGAGCTGCCAGGTGGGGTGCCAGTCGGGCGGTTGATATTCTTTCGCAATATCAGACATGGTCTTCTGGTCTGCAGTCTAACTACTTCAACCTGTAGAAATATGACAAGGCGTGAATGAGAGCGAGCATATAGCGACAATCAACAAATTTATAGATCTACAAAGTTCAAACCCTCCCCATGAATAAGGCATCCTAGCCGCGCATATTATGAATTTACCCCGGTAAATATGCAGCTGCTACCGGCATCAGCTGAATGATATTAACCCTCGCTCAAATGTGGACAACCTTGCATCTGTGTACGATCGTAAACCACCTATCACGACTCTTGAAAATGCCGATCCCAACTATATGACCTCAAGAAATGTGCCGAGTTACGATCCAGAACAGATTCCCTTTGTATTTCCCACCTTGTGTACCAACACCCACCTCCGGGGCTGCTACAGCTCGGAGCAAGAACGCGTTCCATTGGCCGGATGTCCGATAGACGATCAGCCACGCACGTTGAGTTGGCTTAGAGTCTCTCGGCATCGCCGAATTGGTTAAAATAGGACGCCCGAGTCAGTTGTCGGTTCTCGAGCCTCAAATGACAGGCATGCAATGATTAAAATCCCCACAAAGAATGTCTTATTGGTCTAAGGACTCGGAGCTTATGCAATTGATCTGTTCGGGGGAGGCCGGTTCTTGTAAAAAAAGTATACAAAGCGGACCTACTTCCCACCGGATCAATCTATAGGACGTTTTTGCTCCACAAGAGATAGCACAACTCACTGGTACTGCATGATAGTGCTGTTTACCGATGTCTCAAATAATTTGATGGTTCGGTGATTCCAATTTCAAGTTGGCCCTTCTCCGGCCCCGATGAATAAACCGGCGTCTTTGGCCGACGGCGCAAGTGTGTGTGGCGCGACGGACCGAGAGCCTCGACCACCAGGAAATTCAGAGCGAACATCGAATTTTCCAGCTGCTTACTACGAGTAGATTCCGGTTCTCGGCTTGCTAGCCCTACCTCGGATTTTGTCCCCGTTCTCAAACCTGCTTCTTCAAGCCACCGGAGGTTGACCGTAGCTGAGATGGCTTACCAAACTTTGGGCTCTTAGGGCTCGGGGACGCTTGTCAGCGCAATGTCAACCATTAAGGAATTAGCGAGAACATTACAAGCTATACCCAAGACCAAAAAGCCTCCGCCACGTATGATGCCTTAATCCAACCTGATCGAAGCCCGAGATATTGTGTTGGCGGATAAGGACATCTCGGCTTCAGCGGTTGTCTTACGCCTCATACCTCCCAACACACCAGCCTAAAAGCTGGCAGTGGCTACCTGAGAAGTGCTAGATTCTACCCGGCTTACGCGTTCTACACGGAGAGAAAAGTTTTATCTATTCAATCAATTCACTGGTTCAAACCAGCCTAGAGCCCCTCGGAGCTAGCGCGGCAATAAGACCTAGGACACTCATCGGCGGAATCAAGCAGACAACAAACAACAAGTTTCGGATAACTATGAACCAGTCGCGCAAAAGGTGTAAAAAGCCGACCATTACAGCGGTGAAAATATCAGGGAACAACATATAGAGAACAGCAGGGAGAAGACAGACCTGAAAAAACAACATTGATCAATCGTATTCCTGTTCGAATACTTATTTCCCACCCCAGTAAAAAAGGAAAGCAAAGGCAATAGCAAAAGAAAAAAACGCCGTCCGATAGATGAAGCCGGGTATATCCAGCACCGTGATGCAACATGTACTGAGAAGAGCAAAAGAAAAAAGGTCAATCAAACAGAGAATAAGGGGGTCTTGAGCTCGTCGGGACATCAGATCGTCCTGGCCCACGCCCTCATCGATATGAGAAAGAAGACATGACATGAAAATAAACCTGCTTTTTGAATCCAAAATACGTCTTCATCTTGCACCGATTCCGAACATGCCCACGCCGTAGCTCCCGCCTCTTTCAGAAAGAGGAGTGGAGACCTTAGAAACATGATCCTGTTATTCATTCAATTAGTACATAGGCTCTGATGACAACAGGCGAAAGTTCAGTCGAAAGGCCTCATACCTTCTTTCGTTTCTTCTTCCCGGTTCCCTCGCCATTTGAGTAGAATCCGGTATCATCATCGTCATCCGCGTAGCCTTCGCCGTAACCAACGAAGCTGTTGTCATCGTAATGTCTCTTTCGACCACGACTGGCCCGGGGTCGCTCGGATTCCTGCATTCCCGATGCGGGCGAGTTTGCCGGAAGGGCAGAGCGGCTCCCTGAGGTGGGCGCAGCCATCTTTTTACCAATATCGCCAGAGCCCTGGCTTTTGGCAGGCTTTTCATGGCCCAGAATATCCTCCCAGAAATCATTGTTTGGTACCATCCCTGGCTCCAGCTGCATTGCCCGGGACTGGATACCCTGCAGAGCGCTGTCAATGTCCGAGACCTTGATCTGTTTTCCAAAGACCTTTTGGTTTTGCCACTCTTCCTCCGGCCACATAGTGAGATGTCTAAGAGTGCCAGGTGCTCCTGCAACATCATGCTTGACCGGTTTGTTTCGTCCGGCCAGTCCCAGTCCTTTCAACTTTCCTTCATAGGATTTTCTTAGCCGATTGATTTTCTCGCCCGTGTTGGGGTCTATCCGTGCTACCGATTGCGCGACCGAGCCGAGCCCATAGAGGGAAACGAGATCCAAGGATGGATCGGGTCCAGTCACAGTGGGCACTGTTAAGCAAATAGAAAGATAGCGTTAATAAGTTTGAGTTCAAGAATGTGCAAAGGGCAGAGCAATCACGCAACTGCACCTGTGGCAGTCATAACCAAACTTGGGGAATTCTTACAGCTCTTGCAGAGATGGAAAGCCGAAGTGAAATCGTTCTGAAGGGAATCCAAGCCGAGGTTCTGGGCCTCGCTCCGTACCACAGGTTCGTTATCCACGTCCATGGCATCTCCGTCGGGTTGTTCCTTGGCAAAGTCCCGCACACTTGCTCCTGTGTCTGTCATTGAAGATTGCCGTTGGTGATCTGTTCGTCTGTATTCTGTTTTTTGATGATCTGAGGTTTCAGCGGTCCGTGCTGAGTCCTGCGCGATGGAGTTGAAGGATTTGTGATCTGCGTCCTCCCCAGACGTCGCATTCACATGTTGTCCACTCACACTACTCGCGGGGGTGGGGAATGAGTTTGTCGTGCTCATAGTCGGTTGCTGGGAAACTTGGGTTGACATCGGCGCGGATGAAGGAGGAGATGAGGTGTTTGGAGGTTGAGAGGGCGCCTGATTCGGTGATGTTTGGGAGGATGTAAAGTTGGAGACATGGTTTGAATCGCTGACCGACATCAACGGAGGTGATATCGGGGTCTGGGGGATGTGATCCGAAGAGATGGGGAGCTGGCGGTTCTCTTTGAGAAGCCCGGCAGCGGGTGAAGAGGGTGAAGGAGGTCCGGCTCGGAAGGTTGTTGAGGGATCGCGCTCAGACATGAAGATCCTGGTGATTGATCAATCCACAGGTGCCTTCCAAGCTGAGATGGACTCCGATCCACCGACGTTAGTCCCGTATCGCAGGCTTCGACACGAGCGCTGGGCGCTGGTACTTGGGAGGGGGCTGTCGGTCGACTGTTGGTCGCTCGGGCGACGGGCGAGCAGGTCGTGCGACGGCCTGGTCAGGTCATATGCATTCCAAACAACCGAAGAAGCTCCGCACGAGGGGAATGGAGTGGTTGGTTGATGGGATAGTGGGCGGAGGAGGGGGTTGGTCGAGATGCAGGTCGAAGACGGCGCTGAGATGGAGGCAAACGGCCCGGCGACAGGTAACGTGACCATCCTCGGGCCTTGACCGTCCAAAGGCGGCTTTGGTAATTTACACTGTACAAAAGTACGTACTCCCGACAATGCCCTTTGGCCCAGTAAGGCCTTTGTAGATCTAATTGGAGCTCACCAATGCCTCTTCTATCTTTTACGGATCTTATACTCCCTAACAATAAGATACAAGACAAATTGGGGAGACGGTTCTGGTTCTCTTTGGGCCAAAAGTATGTACTAGTATAGGCTTTTCATGAGTATTCTTTTTGATGTCTTCTATGTCTTCTTTCATTTAGGACAATTTACTTTCACCCGGTAGAAATATTTCTTGATATGCCACATATCTCTGCCTAGGTCGATTTGAACTTCATTAGGCTGATCGCTGCCGTATCGCATAACCATCAGCCCTTCCAATGATTGGCGATCGGGATCGGGATCCCAATCCCCGCGAACGCTTGGATGTAAAAATTTCATACGGCAGAGCATACTACACAACATTACTGAATGACAAATGTAACCTCCACGAAGGATAAATCGTTCATATTGAAGTATGATGTGATCAGCTCTGACAAACTGTGTAACGGCAAAGAGGAAAAGATGGATATCATGCAGACTCGCAGCTATTTAGCAACGCATACAAGAAAGGAAATAATACCCCCTTTGCTACTATATACCAGGCCTCAAATACAAAGGACTAATATCTGGTATTCTAGGAATTGATTCCAAGGGTTAGAACAGACCAAATTGGCTATAGACTATGTCATCAGAATAGGATAAAAGGCCGCCAAAATCTCCACCAAATTGGCCATGGGTTCTATGAGCATTGATAATAATAAGTATATGTCAAAGAGACCTGCCAGTCCAAAAAGGGAAATCAAGTGGACTTCAAAACAAAGCCAACAAAGAACCATATCGCCGATACCCCATTAACTCACAAATGTCTCTTCAAATGGGAAGATAGTCAGAGAACCCCAACCTCCAAGAGATATCATGACTGGTAAAATGCGTTTGACTCGCGAACCAACTGGGCAGATACGTCTGGAATGTCGTGCTCCAATGACGCCATCAATTCAATCTGCTCCTGTTGACTTAAAGTGCGTTCCCGCCATGCTGGTATTGGGAAAGGCTCATTAAAATACTGGGAATACTGATCCCCAATAGAGGTCGTCCATTGCATGGGATCGACGGTGGCATCCACGTAAGCTAGGTGACCAGCGGTCGTAGACGCAAGAGAAAAATGAGGATCCCAGCCTTGTAGCCCAGGGACCACCGAAGGAATCGTGTTATAAGGGGTATTGGGATCGATAGACACATCTGGATAGTGAGTCGTTGGTGCACAATATGCTTGAGTTGTGAGCTGTTCAGCCTCTCCTGGATCATGAGAAATTGACTGCATTCGAAAAGAGGAGGCAGTGGCAGGGATCGGCGGAGTTTTAAATGGGTCGGTGGTGAAAGTTGGAGGTGTCGGCTGTTGAAATGGTATCGAAGGATCGGCAGAATGGCCTCTTGACAAGGTACCGGTTGATGAAGTGTCGCCAATAGAAGGGTTGTTATGATGATAAGTCGAATGGGAGTAAAATGATGCTGTCGTAGTACTGGATGGGCTGGACATGGCTGGGGGTGTCATGACACCCTGGGAAGATGTGGGAGTCGGGTGGTTAGAAGGAGAATGCACGACGAACGACTCCTCCGTGTTGTATGCTTTCAAGCAGGCAGCGACAAGCCGCTTATAGAGGAGTAAAGCGGACTGGACACCTGGCCACCGTTCAGCAGCAAAGACAATGACTTCCAGAGCCATATCCAGATACCCTTGTACTTCATCTTCGGGGTGCTCCTTTCGAATTTCAGGGTATGAAAGCGCCCAGAGAACGGTATTGAGGACCATAAAGAGTGATTGGGTGAATATCCAAGTAAGATCAACCGAGCCGGTAAGCATCTGCTCTCGGTGCATAGCGATATTGAAGGTGGCAGCTTCGTAGCAGATCTTTGCTGCATTCACGGAGGGCTCTGGGATTTGAGGTGATGGTCTGTACATGAGAATGACAATTGTGTTCCGCCGCCCTTGAAACCTGGAGAACAGTAGAGAAACGCCGGTTAGCTAGTCAAATTCCAAGGATGCATTAGGAAGAAAAGACATGTGATAGATACCATTTGATATTTAAGCCACTGCCGTCGTCGTGCTTGGGACAAGTTGCCATCCAGTGATCGAGCTTGGCATTCATCTGGGCAAACCAGGGGTCTTGGTCATCGACAGGAGTGTCCCATCGGTTGAGGTAGAGTTCTCGTCGCCCTTCCAACTGAAGCAGTCGCATTTTGAAGAAATGAACGGCAAGACATTTTGGGATGATCGGCTTTGCCCCTGGAATGATTCCTTCGCTCGTAATATATCGATCGTCCACCAGTTCGAAGAATTTTACGTCGAGATTGTCGTGAGTGACGCTATAGCAACTGGAACGGCCAAGACTATGAGAAAGCCCAAATTCCATGGAAGTAACGATCCAGAATAATCTCCGCCGCATATCAATCTCCAAAGGATTGAAACTTTGACCAGAAGAGGATTTGGTAATTGTAGCTTCTTCCGTCAACCCTAACTCTTGGCATAGTTTCACGGCTGTTCCGACAACCCAGTATGCAGCTGTGCGCGTTGGAGTGAGCATGGAGTATTGGGCAATTAGCACTAAACATTGTAATGCTCTCAAATCCATTTGCTTGAGAGTGGGCTCCAGATACGGAAGAGCTGCCAGGTAGTAGCTGTCCGCCAGTCCAGCATAGTCGGGGCTAAGCTTTTGCATGCTGATCGCAATGACCATTCGAAGTTGAAAGTTATGACACGGGTCCGTCGAGCCACTAAAGACCTCTTCAACCTCCTGCCGAAAGCTCGGTTCGTGTAAAGTCGGGAGAAGTGCTTGTGCTAGTAAAAGTTAGTTACAATCGCAACTTAAGGCATTATATCAATGTTCTGCCTTGCGGCCTTGTAGTACCTTTTGCGACGAAGAGATCGATCAATTTATATGTCAAGTTTTGCGGGGGCAGATTGGCTTGTGGTATTGAGCTGATCATTGGATAGACTTTGGATGTCGGCTTCGAGTCTTCCTGCGCGAAGGCCGCTTTGATTTCGTGAGCAGTCAGTTCGGGCACCACGTCTTTGATGCTTTTCGAGTCGGTGTTTTGCTTGGCCATCTCCATGACCAATCGAGTGATGGCAATGCCGCTCGAGGCCCCCAAGTATCGTGGCTCGTCATTGTCTTTGAAACGGATGCGACCAGCGCCCCGCACCATCAACTCGGCGTCGGCGGCATGTTGGATGTCCTTCTCGGCCCGGGCAAGCTCCTTCTCGAGAGCTCGAGCTTTCTCTCTCAGCGAGACGATATAGGTTCTTGGTATAGTTGTGTCTCTTGTTGAATCGTAATAGACACACTTGGCGTTGCTTCGTTCACAAGGGGCGCATCGTGGGATGCCAGGGTCACATCTGGATTTCCGCTACGGAAGACAGAGCATTGTTAGCAAGGAATGGTAGGAAAGGAATCGATCATGATCATAATCTGGAGCTCGATCTCGATCTCGATCGCGAGTATGTGGACCGTGGGGTTTGAGCTTGTTTGCACGGGAAGGTCTTGGAAGGTAGCATCGACAACGTACCTGTCGACACCTGGTGCAGGCTGTCAAAGTGTGCGCGATGCGACCGTCGGGCGGCTCAAACGAGGGGGATTCGGGCGACAGCTCGGCTGTAGCAGGATGTGCGCTCTGGGTCATGGCGTGTCGATGACCTTTGAGCCCAGGGCCCGCAGCGAGAATAAAAGAAAGAAAAGCAGGTCACATGCGATACAGATGGTGTAGAATGAGACCGTTCACGGCACGTTTAATCGATCCACCAGTTGCTCTTGGCAGAGTCGACATGATCCGTCGGGAAGAAGAGGGGGGGGGTGGGGGTCCGAGTGGAAAAGAGGCAAAGTAAAAGCGCCTCAAAGTCGGGTAAATCCAACGGTCGGAAACGTCTCAAAGGGGGGTTATCAACAGGGCATGGTGGGAAACCTGGGCAGGGCAGGGCAGAGGAGAGAGCAGGTCAGGCCTCGGTCCAGATCTAGATCGACGGGGACTGGAGTTTGGAAGCGACGGAAGGGCGGGGAGTGGGGGAAAAAGATAGGTGGGTGATATGATGCGATGCGATTTGTAGCTTGGAGGCTCCAGGTGGGTTGTAAATGGACAGTGGCAGCTGAAATGGTGGAACCATTCAAGTTGGAATTGGAATTGGGGGGAAGAGAGGGAGAGGAAGAGAGGGAGAGGAAGAGAGGGAGAGGAAGAGAGGGAGAGAGGAAGAGAGGTTAGGAGTAAGCTATGACAGTTCACTGGAAGTGTGGAAGTGTATGAATGGCAGGAGCAGTCGTAGAGCAGTCGCATTCCATCGCTCCTTCCCAGTTGCGTGTCCCAGTGTGTCCCCGGAAACGTGACTGGCAACTGGCAACTACGAGTACTCGTAATCTCTAACTTCTTCTTCTTCTTCTTCTTCTTCTTCTTCTTCTCTTCTCTCTCTTCCTTTTCTAAAGAAGAGTGGATCCTAAGGAATCCTTCCAGGGTCAATGTCAAGCCTCTTTTTTTTCTTTCTATTTTCTACTTCCATTGCCATTTGCCCTCCGGTTAAGGCTGGCGTAATTAATATCGGCCTGCAGCAATCCTCGCTTACCGCTTTGCGACTTATGCAGGTCCTAAGAGGGGCTAAACAACAAGCGCAACGGTCCCCAGCGACAATTAAGGAATATTCATAAGAAAAAAGAACAAAAAAAGTATAACTGACTCGCTTCTCATCATGTGAGTTTCTAACGGCGATCCGGTGGGGGTTTCCCGCAAAAAGGGTCAAAGGGTCAAAGGGTGGCCCAAGAGTGACCCAAGAGTGGCCCAAGAGCAAGTCACGACAGAGAGAAATGTGAATCTGCCCGCTAACCAAGGATTCCCATAGTGGCTCTCCGTACCAGTTGAGTATCCACACCTCACCACCCCCCAGTCCCATCCTGGAATCTTCGAGGCATCCCATCTACTCCGGATAGGCAAAATACGAGAGCATGAACAGCCAGGATGCCGACAGCCACCACCTTCCTGGATAACCCGTTGCTCAAGGTCAGCCGCCCTGTCGCCGCCTGCTCGCGATGCCGCACCGCCAAAATTAAGTGTGATGGCAAGCTCCCCGCCTGTTCGGCCTGTGATAAGGTCGGCAAGGCGAGCACCTGCTCCGGCGCCAGCGACGAATTTGCCAAAGGCAAGGAGCGCAGCTATGTGGCTTCTCTGGAGGGCTACTGTGAGAAGCTGGAAAAGAAGATTTCCCACTTACGAGATCGCCAATCCTCCCTCTCGCTTGAAGGTAATGGTGTCGCCCGGGAAATGTCCATCACCTCAACCTCCTCCGCTGGCCCCTTAGCCCCCGCCCACCGCCGAGAGGTCTCGGATATTGATGATCTCGTCGGCGATTTTGGCTTCTTATCCGTCAATGCCACATCACGCGACTTTCATGGGATCACTTCCAAGACCACTTTCGCCAACTTGCTTCTATCTGTCGCAACAGTGGGGGATCCCCCACCGCACTCCCCCCGCTCATTGCCCGCACGCCACGAGGCAACACCCCTCTTACAGTATTATTTTGACAACGTCTTTGTTCAGCTACCTTTCTTTGTGGAAACGAGCTTTTGGACATCCGTGGATGCCGTTTATCAATCTGACGGCCGCTTCGCGAAGCCGTTCGACCATTGGATGCTGCGAATGGTTCTTGCAATCGCCTCGGCTGCAGTTTCGTACCAAAACAATGACAAAAGCCATCAGAAAGCTTTGGCCCTGGTCTCCGATGCATTGAATTATGCTGAGGAGGTTCTTCGACCAGGATCAATCACCTGTATCCAAGCCATTATCCTTCTCGCTCAGTATGCCCTGGTCGACCCGGGGCACTTCCGCAGCTGGCACTTAGTAGGAATGGCGATCCGAGTCGCTGTAGACCTAGGCCTCCATCAAGATCCCCCGGTGGAGGTTTATTCGAACGCAGACCGACTCGAAATTCGTCGGCGAGTATTCCATTGTCTCTATTGCCTCGACAGGTATGCCCCCATCCCGAGTCTTCCAATAGTTTTATGATCGAACCTGATTGCTAAGAATTACAATTAGGGGAATGAGTACTGCGACCCAACGGACATTTTCCTTCTCAGACGCCTCCGTCGATGTCGCCATGCCCTCTCCCAGTACATCGAATGGGTCATCGCCCGCAGAACAAAGCCACATATTCCTGCGAAGCCCAGCGCCAGCTCTTCACATCGTTAAGATACGGCAAATATTGTCTGCTGGGTATCAAGATATGTATTATGCTTCACGGGAACAGTCCGCGCAACCACTCGTCCAAACGTGGAATCTCTGCTACAAAACCCGACAATGGTTCCACGAATGCCCTAAGAACGCTCCCAACCATTTCTCCCTTCTATACCGACTTGAACTATTATACACCATCATCATTCTTGTTTCACCCTCTCATCGATACCCCGTACTTTGCGACTATAGCAAAGCAATCCTGTTCGACCGGTGCATGGACTTCATCAGCCAGATTCACCAAGTGCTGGAGAATCCGAGCGTCCTGCCTTTCCTCACATTCCTAGATATCCAGCGCGTCCATCAGGTAGGACTACGATTCGTGCAAGTGCTGTCCGAGAACCTCGATCTACTCCTGAGTCCCACAATTCCTTGCCCCCCTCCGGTCCCAGAAGGAACCCCCCGATCCACCGATGCTAGGCGAAGAAGACCGCATCAATTGCCGTCCTCGGGCAACTCGCTGTCTCGCATATGTCCGAGATATCCTCCAATTCTGTTCGCGGAAATGGGACCTCCGATTCCTCCTGGAAAATTTTGAACAGGAGTCTGCCCATCTGAATACGATGCTGTCGGACAACTATGCCACGAATTACGGCGTGTTTACGCAAGCGCCGGCGTCTAGGCTGCCGCTGGCCGGCACTGGATATTCTGCATACCACTAGGGATAAACTTTGCATGTCAGAAGATATACACGATTATCTATCTTATTTGCTTTGCTTGTACCTATGCGCAGCCATAGCCTCTGTAATATTTTTGAGGCTATCATGTCTCACTCCTGGCTGGAATTTCATCACCTTATACCTGTCCCAACTTTGAGTTGTTGGATTCTCTATATATTTTTTGATCTCGATATCATCTACCCCTTTGGTGCAACGAAGGTACCACCAGCGGATCGCTATAATTCCAACCCATCATTTTAGTCGTCAAAGGTCATTGAGAGCAGCTAGTGCCTTTGTACTATAATGGCAAATCAGCTGACTGTACCTATGTCAAGAACTCTGACGTCTCAACATTACTCCTAGTGGTAGGATGCGTAGTAGTTGTACTAGTATGTTGCAAGGTGCATTATACTGATCAACTTGAATACTACGTACTTCGGTTTGGGAGTGACCCTCCTTCCCACAGAAGTTGAGGCCACCAAAGTGGATGATGGAAATGAAAATGCTACTAGTACTTGTAGTGCCCAGTGAAATGGGCGAGGCAAGATCGCATTTGCAAAGCAACAGAGTCGATCGCAATGATACAAAACCACGACCTAGTCGCATAGCACGTAAGAGGTGAGTCTTCAAATCAACTCAAAACATGGAGCGCAGACTTCGCGAGAGATGTGCGATTTTATCACTGCTAAGGCTATCGAGGGGTTTACATGCCGATATCAGTGCTAAGTAAGCTACTTTTATTGGTATTGAGCAATTTCCAGGTTGGGAGTTCTCCTCGACTTCGGGTTCCAAGGTTAAAGTTGATCAGACGAAGGACCTTTCAAATTGGTTCCATCTACCTACTACTAGTAGTTAGTACTATTAGACATTGTGCATGGGGGTCTTCTAGCATCCTCGTGGCATTGGCTAAACATACTAGTATACTCTATTTAGGCCCGTTACACATATTCCATGAAGTCAGGTGGGCAACCTTGGAACAGCAAGACATGCAAAATGGCTTTTGGTTAAAGCTATTGCCGCGAAATCTAATCGGTAAAGAATTCATGAGGGATGGTGAGAAAAGGCAATAGCAGTAAGACTACTAGTTCGGGATACAGTAGAAAAGGAAGGATATAGACAAGCGATAGCTTTGAAATTCGGATAAAATTACATTTTCGATCATTGCACTCTATAAAAGGGTATCCAAACAGAATAAAAGTAGAGTGTGATCTCTCTTAACATTAGATTAATGTCATTGACCGGACAGAGAATAAAAAAAAGTAGTAAATGTGGGAAGACAGGACAAAAGAAGTCCCATGCTGTCTTCAGAAGTTCATACAAGAAACCACCCTTTCAAGTGTCCAAAAATATGCACAAGATAATTGCGGGGTATTCGCAACGGCTCCCAAAACGCTATTCCATTGCGGCGTAAAAAAGGCCTAATTCAGACGAAGAAGTTGTCCGAATTTACAGGTTGCTGCCAACGGTGCTGACGATGGTGCCGACGGGGGTACCGACGGAGGGCAGGCCAAGACCGGTGACGAGAGCAGCGACCTCAGGGGAGAGCTTGATGAGCAGAGCAGAGCCATCCTTCTGGGTGACGGTGAGGAGGTCCTCAGTGGGGCCGGAGATGTCCTTGACGAGGTCACCAACGCTGGAGGCAGTGTTGACGATCTTGCCAGCGGGGACACCGACGGAGGGGAGACCGAGGCCAGTGAGGAGAGCAGTGACAGGAGCGGAGAGCTCAACGAGGAGCTGCTTGGCGTTGCCACCGGTGACAGTCAGGATGCTCTTGACCTGGGGAGCGAGGTCACCGACGATGTTGCCAGTGGGGAGATCACGCTTGACGTTCTTGCCGAGGACAGCGACGACAGTGCCGACGGGGACACCGACGGTGGGGAGACCGAGACCAGAGACGAGGCCAGCGACCTCAGGGGACAGACCGATGAGCAGAGCACCGACATCAGCGCCGAGAACGGTGACGAGGCCGTCAACGTGGGGACCAAGGCCAGTGACAAGGTCACCAAGGCCGCTGGCGGAGGCAACAACGCCACCGAGAGGAACACCGAGGCCGGGGAGACCCAGGCCGGAGACGAGAGCAGTGACCTCAGGGCTCAGCTGGATGAGCAGGGTCTGCAGGTTGGGACCGGCGACGGTCAGGACGTTGTTGAGCTCGGGGCCGAGGTCCTGAACGAGGTGACCGGACTGGCCAACGGACTGGTCGGCGTTGGAGGGAGTGGGCAGGTTCAGGACCTTGGTGAGGTCACCGAGCTTGGAGACAACGGGCAGGTTGTCGAGGCTCAGCTCCTTGGTGATATCACCGAGCTTGAGGTCCTTGGTGATACCATCGAGACCGGCAAGCTTGGTGAGGTCAGTCAAACCGGACAGACCAGAGGTCAGGTCGGAGAGACCAGCGGGGGTAGGGGCGGCGATGGCAGCGGAGGCCATGGCCAGGAGGGTGACGAAAGAGGCCTTCATGGTGATGCGATTAAAAAGATGTCTAAAGAGTGACTGGAGTCGGATTGACTAAATGAATGACTGTGAGGGATGAGGAAAGAAAGAAGAAACTCAATGCGGCACAAGGACTCTTATACGACCAGGTTTTCGCCTCAGGATTTCCCGTTGCTGGGCATGCCCTAGTACATCCCAATTTTCCAAGCAGCGGGTCTCTTGCAATCAGCCCAGATGACCCGGAAAGGCCGCAGTGGGCACCTTGCTCGCCCATACCCATACACTACTCCATCCTCCGTGGAGGTGGTTATTGACAAATGTACCAGGGTGGACCAGTCGTCTCCAGCGTGTCAAACCTAATCCAGAAAATCGGGAATCCATAGAAACCCTGATCAGAGGATCCCCTGTGGATATTCTATCAGGGTCTGGAAGACATGGGAAATGAAGCTGGGTCCATTATTGCCTCGCCGGATTTATATCCCTATGTCATGGTGCTCGTGCCGATGTCATGTACATATCAGGTTTCGAAGCAAAAGCACATATCGTAACGTCCATAGTACAGCAACTCTATGTACATCATAGTTGCACGGACGGATGCGAGATGGACAATACTGGGATATTCAGGCACCGGAAAACCCTAATCAAATTGCATCAGCCAGTCAGTGAATGCATTGAGTGTCTCGTATCTCTCCCTGTCTTTGTTCGGAAGATCGAACCGGAGATCACCGGAATTCCGTAGGTCGATGAGAGCGAATACATCTTCCAAATGACTAGATTGGGATCAGCATGTGTAGCTTGAGGGGCGATGGAGTCAAAGGTTCATCACTATACGGGATCGTGTGCTGTGGCTGGCTAGGAATGAGCTTATAAGGACCCGCTGGGACCGAATACCTCCGGGGACCCATCAATAATGCCGTCGATCACGAGCTTGGGTGTCGAGGACGGGAGCTCCGCTCATCCAGCATTATGTGTGAAAAGTAAACAACACAAATTTGAGACAGCCATTCGGGCGATTGCGGCTAATATGATGCCTTTGACGGCTTTGACGTGTCTCAGAAGACAGCACACCCCAATATGTGGTTTTCAGGGATTGATGCCCCAAGCTGATATCCTTCTTCCTGTCACTGAATGTTTCGGAAGAAGAGAAAAGAGTCCTCCGGGGCGGGTCGGGGATCGTCTTTACATCGCCCGCCTGAGCAAAGTGCCGAAAGGCACGAAGTTAGAAAAAAGGTACGAGAGATGTGGCGCCAGGTAGGCCAACCAGCGTGCGGTATTCAACAGTGTCGATCGACCCACTCGGTCCTGAAAGAACTGGTTAGGACTACCCGCCAGGGTTGTTCAAAAAATAATCATGGAAGAAAACAAATAAAAAATCGTCATAGGCCGAACTCAAATGATGACATTGGACAAGCACCACCCTGATTTGTCTGGGAGCTTTGGGGCTGAGGGGCTGAGGGGCTTAGGGGCTTGGGGCTTGGGGCTCCTCCACTTGCCCTCCCAGTCGACTGAGTTCCACTACCCCTTTGGTCCCTGTCTCCACTGAAGGCCAGGGGCTATCCCGTACACCGACTTCAAATGAACCTACCTACAGCTCCTCCCGTACTCCGTAGCCACTGGAAAGCCCCCGTGAGAAGGAGAAGCCAAGCGGACGAATCCGCCACCTCAAATTTAGAGTGCGCCACCGGCAATTGGGTGAACAATATCAATAGACGCTAAAGCTTCATGAGCCACCTGCATCATCTCAAGTAGGGCTTGGTTTAAAAAAAAGAATTGGGATTCCAATAAACACCAGACTTTCAATAGTGTCCTCACTCAACGTCTCATGCAAATCACCAACCCGTTTCCTCTTAACGTTCACGTTTTTCGAGCCACATGGCCCCCCCCCCTGATGCTGCATAGAAGATTCGATTGTCCCTGTTTTCCCCAGGCACACACAAATCCCCCGGTGGGTGCTCCGGAAATTCCCCGGGCGTACTAGTGTGCTAAGATCGTCATGTCTGTAGACTAAACAGACCATCCTAATCTCCTTAGGCTCTGCTAGACAACAGTTCCCCGATAGTCTTCGACAAACCACCCATGGATAAGACAAATTCCTCGATAGAGTTTGGTGCCATGGCCGCCACCAGCTGGATTTTGACCAATTCGTTCGATCCATCGATCGCAGCTCTTCCGCTTCCCAGATCTGATCACAACCGCTCCACTTCCCTTGCCCTCACCCGCGGATTTCCTTTGTTATTCCTTTGGGTCAGGGTCGACCCTGTGTGTCCACAGTTCGTTCTGGTTTCCGGGAACTCTGCCCTTTCTTGTTTGGGGTGATAATACTTCCCGCACTCTGCGTAACACGGTGTACATATACTGCGCACGAAGTGTACGGTTACTATGTACAAACTCGGCCGAGGGGGAGATTGTTACGGATCGAGTAACTTGACATTCGTAAAAACTATCGGATACATGCTCACTAAAGTACCCATAGAGATCAATTGAACCAACTAGTTCGAAATATAGCACTGTGCGCAATTTCTAGAAAATTCTTGCGCTGAAAATGGAGTGTTTGGATGGTGATCACTGAATTTGGTCAGCACGGCTGAGAAACTCCATCCCGACCCAGAACGGGAATCACCCCGATATCTCTGGGCTTGCCGTCTCACCCGATGGATCTCGATCTCGATTTGCACTGTGCCTGGCCCGAGGCTTATGGCAACTTCTTTGTAAATTGTTGCATTTCTATCAAATACCCATTTCACATGCCAGCTCAGGACAAGAATAATGCAACGACTTGTGCGTGCTCTGTTTGTTGGAATCACGCAATGCACCATTTCGTACAGGGTGGATGAGATTTACGTAGCGGGTCAATAGCTCTAGGACGTTCCAAAGAACTCCGCAGCGCGGGTTGAGGATACATGCTCCTCGTACATCTGGCTCCGCCGGTTGGTGATGGGTATATTTTCCACCAATGCCACAGGTCGGCCAACGATTTCCTTGCTAATTCCCGCTGGTCTCATTAGGGTTTGCGTGAACTGTATTTTCATCAGAACCTAATGGGTAAATACATTCTATATGGTACATATCCATACGCAGCAGGCCAAAGGAAAACCCTTATTAGGGCAGCCATCCCCCTTCTACAGTAGCTTTTGGGTCTGCTTCTCGTCGACCTGGAATGGTCACCAGTATGCTGACCTCTATGCCCCGCAATAGTAGGTCTATAGCTCTGGCCAGAGCTCAAATTGGAGCTAGCGGACGAGCCATTTCCGGGACGGTACAAACTATACTCACTAGCACTCATCTCAGGTTGGGCCGCCCCTGTTCGTGTTCTTAGCCCCAGCAGGTCCAGTCTTATCTAGCCCCAACTCGCATTGACCGACAGGAGCTGGGCTAATGCCCTTTATGTGAGATTCGATGGGTCGCTTTGACCGCTATATGGCTTGCAACTAATCTCTGATTGTCAAGTGTGGTCAATTGGTAGTCATGGTTTATCAACTCTGATATGAAAGGCAAGATACTTGGCCATTCGATGTGAGAGGGGAGTCATGAGTCAGGTCAAACTCACTTGATATCAATTAACTAAATGAAGGAGTGGCTCACCCAGATAGCATTCAAGGCACGTACACATTTATCTGCTTTAATTTGCCAAAATCGCAGACTAATTTCTGCCGACTCGCCATTAGTTTTCTTCAACTCGAAGTCCGCTCGCTTACATATTATTGAGAAAGCCCACGCACGAAACAATTTCTATTATCAACTTGAACTACCACATTTCGGGCCCAATAGTAGATGCTCTATAATTCTTTTGGTGGGATATCTCACATCACCTACCGGAAACACGGGAGTGGTCTTGCAGTCCACAGACTCGGCTAAAATTCAAGAGTTCTTTTTTCGCCCTCTTTTCTGTACGTCTATATACGAATCTTGAGCTGCCACATTTCACACAGAGACCCTGGTTCAAACGGGATAATATATTGGATAGTTCCCGCCAGGAACATAAGGACAATATTAACCAATCAACCTCTGCCATGATTCAATCCGATGCCTCCCACCTACTCCTCATCGTCGGTCAACCTTCGAATTAGAGAAATACTCATGATCATGACAAGCATTGCAGTGGCAACTATTCCAATGATGATCACTGCAATCCAGCCAAGTGCCATTGAACCAACTCCAACATGGCCCGACACCGCGCCATAATTGAGGATTTCAGCCATGGACGCAGTGGAGCTACTATTTATATGCTGCCATAGAATAGAGATAATACCAAGACTGAAACCGAGCACCAGTGCGATGAGAACGCACTGTGATACCGGGCGAGAAGGGAACGGCTTGATTTCGACGTCAGAACCATTCTCATCTCTCTCTTCATGCCACCCTGGGAAAGTTGACAAGAGGATAAACGCTATAACGCAGGCCACGATAACCACATATCTGTTCAGGGTCAAATCTATCAATATGCTGTAGCGCATAGTTCAAAATGAAGCTCAACTCACATCAATCCATCGAACACGATTTTCTGTCTAAACTCCTCCGCAATCATGATCAAATTGAGCGGATCCGGTATGATGGTGATACTCACATTCCCAAGATCAATTGTCTTTTTCTCTGCCTGGACAAAGGCAGCCAATGATTTGGCGCTACTTGAGCAGACACGAGTCTCGTCGAGGTCTGGGCCTGTTTTGCCTATACACAATCCCATGTAACCTGCACGAACTTCCAAAGCAGTGCCATTCCCCGTTTGTGAGGCATTAAAAACAGCATTTGCAATAGCCGGGCTCACTTGCCCAGGGGCAGTCACTATCGGAGATTCTGGATTATTGTAGTGCAAAGAAAGCAGATATATATTGCTCATTCCGTTCGACGTGCAGCCGGACAGCAAAACAGCTGAGAACATAGTACTGATAGTATTAACCAAATGACCGAAATAATAGATAGGCTTTACTACCCAGGTAGTTGTTGGAACAATCTCACAAAGCATGGTTATTGGGAATGTTAAGGCAATCATCAAGACATGATGATAACCTATCATCGGAATCCACCTTCTATTTCACACCAATCTTGGTCAGCATCGATCACCGCATTCCATTCCATCAAAACACTTACGCCCACAATTCCGCCAATCTCATATTTCCCATTATGGAGTAGCTTGAGCGCGGTGTAAGCCTTGGAAGTTGGAGGTTAATTATAAGTAGTGAGAAGGAATGGCGGAGTATCCCAGTACTAGTAGTTTTGTGTACTCGCAAAATGTGAAGAAGAGAGGAGAGCCCCTCATTAAGTGAAGAACACATCACGTGCATCACGGCACTAGTTCAAAATACGTTTGCAGTATCTATACGGTCATGACATTGTATTTAGCCCCAAACATGAACTACTGTGCAGTATATCTAACGAATGTGCTACTAGTCGTCTAAGCTGTCCCACATAAAAGAAAGAACGCCCGATCCCAAGCCACACTTCCTGTCGGAACAGAGGAAGCTACCTAGGATTAAACTCTCAAGAAACAAAGAAAGTGGTTCCATTAAAGCTCCACCACTGAACCCAGAAAGAGATGACTAAAATATCTAGCACGAGCATAATAATCGTCACTCCGCCCTTGATACCAGAAGCAAGAGGGCTGGTCCAGATGGGTGCCAAGGTGACGCTCAAAAGTACAACACTAAAAATGAAAAAGATGAATATTTTCCGCGCCCAGGGTGGAATACTGAAAGTAGAGATGATCCACTTTGGTAATGCGGATCGGAATCCCGAATCAGAACGGTGCCAGAACGGAATTCCGACGCAGCTGACTACAATCAAGATGACTGCAATAGTGACAGCACCTTGCGTGCTGGAGTCTAGATCTCGTGTCCAAATAAGAGCGAGTGGTGTTGCCGATACTGCCCCATTCAACAGGACAAACAAGACTACGAAGCCGAAAATTCCCCAAATCTTCCTCGTTATTCTGGAAATCCATCGGCGAAGTCTTTTGGCAGCTGGGCGAGGCCTGCTTCCCATCCATCGGATAGCGAGGAGAATAGGGATTGACCGGGTTGGTGTGGGAAGACCATGACTGTCTGCATACTTCTGGATCTCACTCCTCGTAAAGATTTTCAGATAGACGAGCCATCGGCTACGCATTGTGATTCGCATTAAGTATGCAAAAGCTGTTACGACGACCGCAACGATAAAAAAGGAACGTAATGGGACATGGTCGGCAAACGGTTCGACTTGCATGCCGAAAACAGAGGTAGCAAATGAGAGTGGAATGAAGATAAAAGCAAGCTCTGTCAATCTGCTCACAGCTCGTGCTTCATCAATGGAGCGCCGGCTATCCAACAATCCCATATTGGATGTCAGAAGAGCGGATGTCCGTCGAAGTCGCTCAGCCGCTTGATTGATTTCCTTCAAAATTTCCCGAAGATCTTGGGATTTTTCCGTCTTATTGGTCAAGTTAGCCTCAGTGGTTGTGTCACCATGAGGATCTAGCAGAGCAATGAAACCAAAGAAGGGCTTCATGGAGGCTCTAAGCTCGGGTAATTCTCGTTGGGCTCGACCGATGACCCGACGCCATGAAGATAATCGATCCTCCATCATGGCATCGTCAAGAATTCCTGTCTCCACTTCGTCAAAGACATGATTTAGCTGCTTGAGAAGTGACAAAGTATCTTGCTTGATGATTTGGAACAGCGGCTCAGCTAAGTTGAGTTGTTTTGTGTTTTTCTCTAGCCCACTGCATATTGCGTCCGAAGTCGACTTTGGAGAGGTGAGATTGTGTCCAAGAAGCTTGGCTGTCGATTTTGATCGGAAAACTTGATCTAGATCAACCGCGACCTTGTCTCGAGGTACAATCTGCTTGATAATGACCTTGTGGGAAGAGGCGTCCGTGAGGCCCCTGTTAAAACCAGAGTCACTCCTCGTAGTATCGCGCTCTCGTTTAAGCATGTAACGCCGCGCCCTCTTCCCCGCTCCAGATTCCTTCTCGGCTTGGTCGGGCCTTTGGGGCCGTCTTTTAAGAAACGAGCGCTTTTTCCAGGGCCGAAAGTCATCCCAAGGCATAGACAAGATAGTATCCCCAACAATGCGGGGTGGCCTCTCATAAAACATCTGGGCAAGACCCTTTTCGGCTAGATCAGTATCTGCCTCGGAGACATCTGTATCATGATCTCTGGTCTCGGATGCTGAATGATCCTCTTTCACCTGCGGCAAAGGGTCCGAGAGAATGATAACTGCATGATCGGTCAGTTCTGATTTACAAATAGCTTTTGTGGTCAGCATGGCAGCTTACTTATATCACAGTCACGACCCGTCAAGGTTCCCTTCCAGACTGTCAGCCTCTCTTCCAATCCACACTCTCTTTTCGTATTTGCTGTCTTTCCTGGGTCTGTCCACAACGGCCAATCCGACCGAAAAATGTTTGTGGAAACAGTCGTGGTAACGGCACCATAAGGGGTAAAATGCTCCACCCCCATTTGATTGTCCTGTTCGGGGTCGTCTTCATCACCTGTTTCACTGACAGCTTCAACCCTTTTCGTCATGCGAGTACTGGCTTTCACAAGATCTTTCATGCTGCGACTCGAAGAATACATGGGCTGTCGAAAGACGGGCCTGATCCACCTCATTGAGAAATATGACTTTTCCAAAGAACCCGTCGCCCATGACCGAGAAGGCATCATGTTATAATCTGCACCCGCATATCCCGAATTCAATAAGTGTTCTTCAAAGAATTCAGGATTGATACTAAATGTCTCCCCAAGCGAATGGATTGTTGATGTCGACAAATCCTCCACAACAAGAAGTCTGAGATGGACATTGGGCGGCGGATATCCAAGATCTGCTATGCGTCCAGAAGATTTGATATGAACCGCACTGGACCTGGAACTATCGGTGTAATCGTAATAGATAACTGAGGCTCTATTGTGACGCGAGTCTTTGCCGACATTCCCGTCCTTGATATGATCCAGAGATCTTCCCGCATTTTCAATGATTTTGTCATAAGTTAACCGGGTTGTTCGTTTCTTCTTCCGGGTATGAGGCCTTCCTGTCCTTACTGTACCCACAAATACGTCCTCTGCTTGTTGTGAACTCGCGGAGGATAGCACCGGCCCCAGAAGTGGAACCATAGATGGTATTACCGGTCCATCAGAGTGCAAAATGGCCTCCAGAGAATCGTTCGTCATGTTGAGACCAGAAAGGTTCGCATTGACTGTAGAAGACGATGCATGGGAGTCTGGTAAATGGATTGCCTCAGGAATCTCATTGTGATTCCATGGATCGTTGCGTAGCACATCTTTTAGCGAGATTGCAGCGTCGCTTGCTTCACTAGGTTCTGGGCTTTGCTCCTCGGTCGTCGACAATCTGTTTCGACTTGAACGGAGCGAGTTGGAAGGTGCACGGTGCTCTGACCCTTGCAACCAGTCCAGGAGACGGGCATTCTGTTCATCTGGGCTCATGACACGGATTGGAGGCGTGGGTGATGGGCCGTATTATCGCCATGCTCTTGGTGTGCTCAGCTTTGGGCAGAGTCGGCTCAGTTGAAAATGGGGTGGGTAGTGTTCCCAAACAGGACTAGCGATGTTGTCCCACGATCACCCCTCTTTTTCTTCATCAGCAAGCACCACATAGTACACCATCTTACATGAAATTGAAATTGACTTGCGTTCACCTAAAGCCTAGAGTTTTTTATTCATTATTGCATACATACATCCGGACATAATGTGACAACGAATAAAATTACTCCCTGCAAGACTCAACCATGGAACCAAAGCCTTCCCGAGGCTTGACCCACATGGTTGAAACAACATAAAAAAGGCGCCATGAAACCCTACAGTACCAATATCTAATGCTGCTTAGTAGGATCTAGGATAGGTAATAGTGGCTCGCAGGACAGTAAGTTGCATTATTTATTAGACTACCGACTGTATAAATCATACTCATACAAAGACAAATTGCAGATGGGGAAATCATAAACCAGAAAATCAAAAAAAAAAAGAGTCAAACTAAGTAGATACTGTCAGAATGAAATAGATGTGCGAAGGTAATACCAAAAGTGGCACATGTCGTATATGTGGATGCCACGACAAATGTTTTCTTCGCACGCTGTACTTTCATTGCGTTGCTATTTTTAACCGATTCGATCAGATCCGTTTGTGACATGGGTAGCACCGTTGGTGTGAGTGGTACCATTAGTGGTTGTCTTAACGCCATCGCTGAGGTGAGAGGTCTTTCCGTTGACAAAAGCCTGATCAACCTCATCGGAGAAGCCACGGGATGGGTAGCTGTCCACCTTGGTGCCGTTGGTAGCATTGGCAGCAGCGCCAGAGACACCCGCAGCAGCAGCAGTGCCGGCGGCACCACCACCCACAGCAGCACCTGCAGAGGCAACGCCATCCGCGGTGGTGTGGGTCTTGCGAGTGACTGGACCTTGGGAGGGGATGTCGCTAGACTCAGAAGCCGCACCGATGCTGAAAATGGGTGACTCCCAACGGTCTCCCTTGCTGGCAAGCTCGGCATACTCAGTAGCTTTGTTTGAGATACCACCGGGCAGTTTGATGTCGGGGAAGATAGATTCATTCAGGGTCATGACGGTTTGAACCTTGGTGTCGCGCTTGACAACTCCCTCGGCCTGCTTAGCCTTGGCCTGAGTGCGGGCACGAATGGCATCGGCATAGCGGGAGAAAATGCTGGGAGCATTCTCAGGGTCCTCACGCGCAGCCTCCTGGGCCTTCTTGGCTTCGCCGTGGATCTCTTTGGCAAAAGCATCGCCATCAGCAAATGCCTGGCGAATCTGTGCCTCGACGACCTTCTGCAGGGCGGGACGAACCACGCGGAAAAGCATAGGCTTGAAGGTGGCAAACAGAGCCTTGTGGTTCGATTTCTTCAACTTAATGTCCATGTTCTTGATGCTAACAGAAACCTTGTCAAGCTTGACGAAGTTCTGCTTGTCATTCTTGTCAGCTGTGGATGCCGCAATCTTGAAGCTCAGACCGTCGCCACCCAAGATGATGTCCATCACGCCAGTATCAGTGATCGAGGGGAAGCCTTGCTTCTTCTTGATGTGGTAGCTGACATCACGAAGATCGGCCTGGATACCGGATGCAGCGATCATGATCTTGTTGTTCCGCTTGTTGGAAACCTTCTTGCGGCCCCAACGGAAGTAGTTGTCGCTACCAAACTCGATAACGTTTGGCATCAGGTTGTCGCTCTCAATGACAAGGTTCTCAACAACGACATCCACCATCGGGTCAGAGACCTCGATACGAGGGATGGGGATGTAGCGGACATTTTCAACGATGCCGGGCAGAATGACATCACGAATATCCTTGAGCAGGTGCTTCTTGAAAACAACCTTGCCCTCAGTGTCACGGCCAAGATCCTTAAACAACTTCTGGATCGACTGAGCGAGAGCGTGGTTCTGGGGGTCCTTATCAAATTGCTCGGCAAGGAACTTGATCTCGTCGACAATGCGATCGGTGTGGGAACGGTAGCGCTCGCGAAGAAGGTAGCGGCCCTTGTCGTATAGCACATTCCATTCGCGGTTGCTCTCTTCATCCATGATAAAGCCCTGCTCGCGCAGACACTTACGAATGTAAGTATCGATGTTCGAGAACCAGCCACGGAGCTCAGGATCCTTATCAGCATCACGGTAAATGTTGTTGAGCGAGTCGAAGAAGTCGGCGAGCGAAGTGTTGTTGGCGAAACGCTCGATCAAAGTACGGAGGTTGTACTCCACGGCCTTGACGCTGTCGGTGCCACGAACATCGCGGACGGCATTGCCGCTCTCGCCGGTGGCGGTCTTGGTGTGGCCGGCGTACTTTTCAGCCATGGTCAACAAGGTCTCGATGGCTTGCTGGTCTGTATCACAGGTAAGTATTTGAATGTGAGAGATATGTATCCTTCCTTTGGAAATTCTTACAATCAGCATGGCCCTGGACCTCGATGATCATCTTCTTGAGACGCCAAATAGTCTGCTCGCGACGCTCTTTCGGGATCTTATCGGCCAGATACTCCTTGGTCTGGCTCGCCAGCTTCTTGCGACGGCTCGCCTCTGATGGGGTAACAGAGGAAGCATCACCGGCAGTACCGGTCTCGGATTCGGCAATCGAGGGCGACCCGACGCTAGACTTGTCCTGCCAAACGTGTTAGAGCTGTCTGGGGCGTTCTCGAGTTCAACATAGCTTACAGTCTTATTCTTCTTGAACTTTCCCTTGATATCATCCTTATTGATGTTGGGCTTCTCGTGCCAGGTGTTCTCTTCCGCAGGCTCATCGATCTGGGCAAGCTTTTCCTCGGATGGGCGAACCTGGTTAGCGGCCTTCTGGGAAGCGTCCGCGGCGATGTCACGAATCAATACGGTGGCATCGCTCACTGAAGATTGTTAGGAAGAACTGAGACCATCTGCCAACGTGTCAAAACTCACAGATCTTGCGGAACTCTCCATTTGTGATGAGCAACGTGCCGAGAGTCTTGAGACCATCAGCAGCCTTGCTTGCATCTTGTTTTCCATCGTCCTTAGTCACGGGGACATTGGGAGCCTTCGCATCGCCCGCAGTGATCTGCTGGGCTTGCCAGATAAAGTCCTGAAGCAGCTCGCCGTCGTTCTTAGACAACAACAGCTTCTTGGATTGGTCGATGACATTGCGCAGGTCCTTCACAAGGACCTTGCCTTCGGCAGACAGCTCCTGGTTCGGGGAAGAGAGAGAGCCTTGGAGTTCAAGGCGGAGTTGAGGGCAACATCGCACTGCTTGTTCTATTGCGGTGCGAAGGAGTCATGTTTAGTATGATGTTCAGTGACGGGATGGGATGGGATACCAGCGAAACTAACCGAGGGGAGCTTGCTATTCTTAAAAGCTATATGGAGGTCATGAGCGACTGCGATGATTCACAAATGATGGATTGTGGAGGTCAACTTACCATGGAAGATTCCAAACAATTGAAGCTTCTGGTTGATATCCTGGGGGCGACTTCTTATCAGTGACCTCCTCTAGCAACCGCCACACTCTGGCAAGAGGAAGATGCTGCATACCTGCTCCTTTTGCTTCACGTCGGTGGGTTTGTTGACAGACATGATGGGAAAGAGTCGTGACAATCGTGTAATAAGAAGGATCGAACACCGACAAACGGCAGTAGAGTAGTAATATTACTGGGCACGAGGTCAGCAAGCGAGATCGGGCCTGTCAGGACTGCAGGATTGCTCGTTTGCAGCAGTAACAAACCATCAATTGCTTACCAGAGTGATTGGGAAATTAGGAATTATTGGAAAGGGGGAGTGGTAGACGATCCCTTGGAATAAGAAAAAAACAAGGGGTTGGGGTATCACAAGAATGAAGGGGAAATATGGGGGGAGGGGAGGAGGAGAGAGGAGGGGAGGAGGCGAAAGAAGGGATGACGAAGTGATTAAATATGAGCTGTAGGTAGAGCTAGCTGGTGTGGTGGTATGCTAACGGAGTACTGCTACATACATAGTGTTACTCGTACTTACTAGTCAAGCTCTGTACTCCAAACGATCCCTACTGGAGGGAGGAGCAACGCAGGTTCCTTCCTTGACGCAACATGTGACGTCACGTTGTCGCTCTTTCGCGGACTGCGATTCCCCCAATTGTCCAGTTGGTGTTCAGTTGTGTCCAGATTGTGCCATTGTCCACCGTTTTCATTCTTTTTACACTCCGTTATATTCAATGATCTTGTTCTGGCTCTGGCTCTGGCTCTGACTCTGGCTCTGACTCTGGCTCTGACTCTGACTCTGACTCTGACTCTGACTCTGACTCTGGCTCTGGCATGAATTCGGCATTGATGTCCCCAGTGGAGAAGCCTACCTCCATAAGGCTGTTAGGATTTCCAGGCTCCTGGGATCGAGTCATAGACGCCACTAGTCTGGCTAGTCTGTCTGACCTTCTCTGCGTTAATCCACATCGAGCTCCCTGATCTGCAAAACTCCTGCTTGAGCTCCAGTCTTGGCACGCACGCGCGCTCTGCGTGGCTCCACGGTCTCAGGTGGGTCCCAGCCAGCTTCGACAATGTGTGGTCCTGAAACCTGGATGATCTGAGATCCTCCGCATCAACTTGACGTCAATCCTGCGTCGTTTGAGATGACATGGCACCATCCAATATCCTCCCGTCTGATGCATTCAATCAATGCCGCGTACCACCTAAAACAATTATTGTGTCGTCAATGGGATCTCTGGGATCTGCTCCCCTTTTGACTCCCCTGCGCCTGAACTATTGATTTCGGCTGCGCCTGCTCCTCCCAGCGATCAGCATGCGACTCCTGCGCTCCCGCTCCTTAACTTTCTGGTTATTTGAATACAGCCACGTAGAAACCGATGTGGGCTCTTCAATAGTGCTCTTCTCGTTCCTTAACACTAAGGTAGAAATGCCCAAAAAGTACTAAGTACGGAGTAGATCAGAACATCTGTGGCTACCGGGGCTGTACAGTGTACTTTCGCGGCGTTGTCCGTTCTTCGGAGATCTCTACGAAATTCCTTCCTGGAACGGTTAAGTCTTCCTGGTTGACAAATTTTTCAATGTTGCTCTCCAAGGTTCTGCCAGGTGGGTTGAGCTTGGGTAAAGCTCCCATTATCCACAGCGGAGTGCTTTCATCCTCCAGAAGATCGATGTCTCCTTTTCTTTTTTCTAATTCCCGATTCGGCATTAGCCTCTTTCATTTCTATGTACAATGAGATCAGGGCATAACGAGCTCCGTGGAGCAAGATCGCCCGTTCTTTGCAATTTCTCGAAGATACAATCAGGCCACAGAATTACATGCAGATGAGGATCCGCAAACAATACTCTCGGGGCTACTCCGTAGACAGTCATATGTTGATCGGTCAAAAATCTTACACACTATCCATCTTCCAGCCCAATCCCTTCAAGCCATCTTTGCAGGCGATTTCCTGCATGACATGTGATCCCTCACTACTGGCCGTGCTTGGACCAGTACCGCCCGGCGTCCTCAACCACGCGCCTCTCCCATCCCTCGCTCGTCAATGGCCCTATCACCTCTACCTGAGTTTGCCCGGCCACAAACACATCGCGACAAGGTAGGTCCAATGTGAGGTTTTCTGGATTTCCTGCTCCTATCAAGCCTTGGAGTGTTTTCTCCGAGGCAAGATACACCAGTCGACCGATATGCGCCCAGTAAACGGTTCCCGCGCACATGGCGCAAGGCTCCCAGGTCGATATCATGGTGCACCCGGCGAGATACTCCCAGGAATAGTTGTCGGCAGCATTACGGGCAAGTTCGCATTCCGCATGGCGAACGTGCGACAACGACAGCGATGACATGAGCTGTGTCGTGTTATCCGGGGCTAGCAAGATGGCCGCGAAGGGTCTCTTCCCATGTATATCTTGGCCGGATTGCTGGAGGGCCAAGCATCGAGATGCACCCTCATCGAGCTGTGCAGGGGTCAATGGGGAAAGAGTGACGGGCGCTGTCATGATATCTGCTGTCAAGGCCAGGGCTGAGGCTGAGGAAAATGAACTCGATGTTTAGGGGTACTGATTGTTGGATACAGGCACAAGATATATTGGCATCACGTAACTCTCATCAAACTTGAAGCATGCGGCGGCATCCGACGATAAGGGCGGGGAAATGCTTCCCCTCACCCGATAGACATCAATACCACTCAGCAATTTTTACTACACTCGATGGAGGATTAGTAGTATAGGCCTGCTTGCCTCCAGGAATACCATCAACTTGAAATCAGGGCGAGTCATGATCTGTGGTTTGTTTGTTGACTTGCCAAGGCTAGCCCAGGATATATCCAATTGAGGCATGATGCATGACTGGAACGGAGTTGTCGTTCTAGCCAACTTGAAGGTTATAACCTTGAATAGTACTCTATTCCTGTTGAATGATTTCTCTCGCATTCGACAAAAACCTTCAAGTTGTAGGTGCTGACTTCAATTTGGCACACCTATATTGTCTTTATCTAGGCAAGCCTCAAGAACGAAGATTGAAGCATGCAGAAAACTTGAGACCCTGCAACATTAATCTCCATATAATGCGAAGGCTTCTATATTTTGTCCACGGGCCGGGGGAATGATGTAGAACCACACAGGGTCAACTAGCCGCAGACAATGAAGTCACTAGAGGAAGGCCAAGATATGCCAAATGAATGGAGATAATCAACCCTACGCCGGGAGCTAGCTAACGTATGGCATTCTCATTGGCACTTTTTGTGAATTGATTGATAATAACACTTTGGAGAATCATTGTAGAAGTCAGCCTGGCAAGAAGCCGGTGGCTTTGCTAGGGCCCAAGCTCATGTGGAACCAGCTGCAGATAGACCAACACCATGAAAGCCTATCAATGGGCTAGTTCCTCAAAACTACATGGAACAGCAGGCATTGATATGAGACAAGGGCTACTAATAATGCCTAGCATGTTAGAGGTTACTAGGTAGAATTTTTCTGTTGCCTTCCCGAATGGATGTGCTTGTTCATTACTAGCATAGCGCATAAATGGTCGGTAGCCAGTCCCGCGGCAGCTGGAAGAAAAGAAAAGAAATCTAAATATATACATGATGTATTTCGCTTCAAGTTTATACAAGGTCGTTATAGAGGATTATTTACATTAAGTTCATGATCGCAGTACGCTCCGATTCGAATCAGGCGTTGCAGTTTCACTCACGCGCGGATCCGAAGATAACTTCGATGACCCACGCGTCTGCTGCAGAGCAATGTTTTCCGGGTCATCCCATATTCGCGCCTGGCTGTCGCTATCCGCCGGTGGCTGGTTGTTGGGATTGTGGGAAAGATCCACGAAATCTGACAGGTCGGTCGGGGCGGAAACTCCGCTGCTGCCGAACTTTTGCGTCGTGGCGTCGACCAGTTTGCCTAGGATGGCGTATTCTAATTTGAGTTTAACACTGTAGGCGAAGGCTTTCAGAGTAACGTGGACATCGAAGAGACCGGAGTATTGGACGCCAATAATTGCGGCGTCCATGCAGATCATCGCAAGATTGACCACCAATAATTGGACCAAAGTGCCCCGGTAATTGCCTCTGGGGCGGAGGTTCAGTAGTCGCACTGCTTCCCAAGAGTATATCATAGACAGTATGGCTTCTTGGACGGAGAAGGCGATCAATTGGATGCGCTCGAAAATATTGAAGCCTGGTGTGAAGAGGTCGGCTTTATTGGAGTGGCTGCCGAGTTCGAGGACGGATGCAGGGATGTGGAAGATTATCGCATCGACGATTATCATGGCGAGGGTCCAGCGAAGGACAGTTGGGCTATGTACGACTAGATGCAATCGTGACCAAAGAACCAGCGATTGACCGGTTACCATGCAAATCCAGGCAATGAGCTCCATCGCCACGGAGAAATAGCTGTCGTAGACATCGAAGATAATGAGGAGGTATCCCAAGCCGAAAGGGATGATGCTGATTGAGGAGATGAGGAGGCACCAAAAGTAGCAGCCGCCATAGCGTTTAAAGGTGGTGAAGCAAAGGACGATAAGCTCTAATGCGTTGTACCAGGCGATTGCGGTGAGACATGCAACGGCGGTACGCTCAGCAATATTTCCAGTAGATGAACGTGCGGCTAGGCCGTAGTTACTGCCGGAGATGTCGCTGCTGGACATAAGGGCATATTCTCTGGCCGCGGTCGAGTGTCGAGAAGCGTAGGTTGGGAGGTTGGAGGTTACAGGAGATTCATCGAATTTGTACCCAAGTCAATGGCGGCTTAGACGGCGGAGTAAGCGGGATGCTTAGGGTAGGATTAGACGAGGTTTATATGTATAGACAGGTAAGATATAAGATATATGTGGGGTTGGATGTGTATAGGAAGAAGGCTAGGAAGGCATCAAGCAAAAGAGAGACGCAAGTGAGATGTGAGGCAAAAAAGGTACAGGAGGCGGCGGAGAAGGCGAGATAATAACCGACCCCGTAGTCGATATGCCCTGAAGACCATTGGCCTAGAGAGTTCATTTTGTGGAGACAAGCAATGGAGGCGACCCGAGAACGAAGTGCGATAGGTGAACCGCGTGAGGGGAACCCAGCCATTTGGAAAGGTTAATTGCTTTGGCCCCGATAACGGTGGCGTCTGCCGTCCAATTGGGAGAGACTGCATTGGGGAGATGTCTCGTGTCCTCGATCCCTTTAGATGGGCCAAGGTGTTCGTGATATTCAGTATGGGACTGGGTTCAATTCAAATCCATGACGAGTACTCCGTACTCCGTACTCCGTAGACAGGGTTCTCACTCTCATTCTCAATTCCTACAGTAGTTCTCATGTGAAAGCATTGAGTGGTGTCATTTTTGACCAATAAGCTCCCAGTGCTCACAGAGATAAGGGATGTTTCCATGGTCCCCAGATTATTGTTGTCCGTTAGTAATATAGAACGGAGTGAAAGTTTTACTAATTCCAATTTTTGTGCCTTTACGCCCGACGGGCACGTGAGGGCGGTGAATGATACCGATGTCTATTGGGCCAACCTGAGGAACCACTGGCACCTGCCCGGGGGTACGAGTGCTATCCTTAACATCTTCGTTGCCCGGGGTAGCTTTGGCTTAGACTTTCTTGGACCATAAATTATAATCCCTCAACGCACGGCTGATAGGATCCGGTAGGGATGACCATGGGCGAGACGTTTTACACGGCGTGAAGTCGGACTCCGGCCGAATTCTAATATACTCCTGACATTTAATCTTCGGCCATTCCACGGTAAAACTTCGTAGAAGGTTGATCGAAGCCCAAATATTTTTCCATGAAACCTAAAATTTTCGGTTTGCGGTTCCTACGTACCACAGCCTCAACCCCGTGATGTAATTGATGTTGAATTTACTGATTGGGATATGTCATTCATTGTCGTCTAAAACCTCGTATCAAAAGTGTCCTCTCTATCATATAAATCGCGGGAATATAGTATCCGTATCATGTGCAGATGGAGAAATTTGGAAAATGCAATCACTTTCCTTTTTTCTTCATCCAGCTCCTTTTTTCCCCTCTTACGGGGCTTTCACGCTGTAGCATGTTTGAAAATAGAAATTGCAGAGAAGAACAGTCACTACATCTGCTCAAAGTACTTCTCCCAGCCCAAATCGCGCATTTTGGTGCCCTTCTTCTCCATGTTCTCAGCGCGTGCCTCTTCGGCATAGGCCTCGACCTTGCGCTGAATGGCCGGGTCGAAGGAGCCCAGGATGCGGGCTGCCAGAAGCGCCGCATTGATGCTGTTGTTGATTCCCACGGTTGCCACGGGAACACCTGTTAGAATTCTGATTAGTATTCGTCTATCAAGTCAAAGGAAACGGGAAAACTTACCACGAGGCATCTGGACAATGCTGTAGAGGCTGTCGACCCCATCCAGAGAGCTTCCCTTGACGGGAACTCCAATGACGGGAAGAGCAGTGTGAGCGGCAGCCATGCCAGGAAGATGAGCGGCGCCACCAGCAGCGGCGATGATGACCTTGATACCGCGCGACGCGGCCTCAGCCGAATACTCCGCCATGTAATCAGGGGTTCGGTGAGCAGAAGTAATCTCGACAGCGGGCTCGATACCAAAGTAGTTTTGCAGCAGCTTCAGACCGGGCACAAGTGTCTTCAGGTCACTGTCGGAGCCCATGACAACTGCAACTTGGGGCGCGGGCTTCGAAGGACCTGACTTCTGTGCCTTGGTCTTGATATCAGTACGCTGAGCCCGCATCTCATCCACGACGTCGACCAGAGGCTGAATCATCGTTTCGGCCTCGTGCATGGTAGCAGCAGTTACTGTGATGTGTCCCATTTTCCGGCCAGGCTTGGCGGCTCCCTTGCTGTAAAGGTGGATGCTGGCATTAGGGATCGAGAGAGCATGCTCGGCCGCCTTCAGGTGAGAGTCGGGGGTAGCACCACCGATAATGTTAAGCATGACAGAGGGTTGACGAATTTCAAGACTCTTGGCGGGGATGGGAAGGTCCATGATGGCGCGAATGTGGCTGTCAAATTGTGACAGAGCACAGCCCTCAATGGTGTAGTGACCTGAGTTGTGAATGCGGCTAGCAAGCTCGCACAGCATGAGGCTGTTGTCTTCAAGAAGGAACATCTCTACGCCGAAGGCACCCTTGCCCTCGAAGGCAGAAACGGCTTTCCGTGCAAGAGCCTGCGCCTCCTTGTTGATGGCTTCGGGTACGTTGCGAGCTGGCGCGTAGACCAGTTTGCATATTGAGTCCTCCTGAACCGTCTCCACGGTGGGGTACGACAACACCTCGTCCTTGGTCTTGATGACCATGACGGCCAATTCCTGATAGATGATTAGTTACTAGTTCTTTGAAATAACATAGATGTAGGCATAGTTTGGGTAGTGCGTACCATCTTGAAGTAAGCCCACTTCTCTGCGTACAAGGGCCGGTCCTTGAGAGTCTCGAGAGCCTCGGGGATATCGGCCTTGGAGTTCACGCGGAAGTTACCTAGTAAGAATCGTCAGAATCCTATTGGAAACCAAAGGATTTTTGTGCAAGGACACCTACCACGTCCATCGTATGCCATTGTCTTCGATTTCAACATCATCGGATAGCCCAACTGCTCTCCAACCTGAGCCAACTCCTCCGGGGTATTCTCGACCAATTCACGGTGGTCTGCCATGGGGATGCCGTATTTGCGAAGGTGCTCTTTCTGGTTGAACTTGTTCTGAATTGTGCGAATTGCTTGCCAACTAGGCTCGACTCGAACCTCAGAGGCGACTTCCTCGAGGGCGTAGGTATCGACATGCTCGATTTCGGCGGTCATAACGTCGCAAGATTTGGCCAATTGGCGAACGGCTTCACGTTCCTTGAATGATCCTGTCACATGGCCATCGTGGAAGCTGATCTGCTTGGCTGGGGAGTTCTCAGCATCCAGGACGTTGGCCTGGATGTTCAACCTGTTGCAAGACTCAACAAGCATGCGGCCCAGCTGGCCGCCGCCAAGAATTCCCACCTTGGGAGAGTTCCACATTGTGTCTGAGGGGTCGAAGAGAAGGTATTCGGGAGGTTGATGGGAGATTCCAGTCGGAACAGGCAAAAACCTGGGGGGAAAGAGGGCGCGCAAGACTCATCGACTCATTCGTTCCTGCCCCGCCGAAAATTGGAGAGTCACGTGTTGCGATTTGCCCCGATAATCGCTATCGATAAGATTCAAGTCCTGGCCAATCAGAAGCTTTCTACGCCACCGCCCCATTTATGGTCGACATCCCATCGCAGCTTGTGCCGCCGAGTAGCTCCAACCATCACAATGTCTTTGGGTGAGTGGTGCTAGCCTATTCTGGGGCGTGAACAAAGCTAATGTGGTCGCGACAGATGAAGAAGCCTTGGAGACCGTCGCCAATGGCGGCTCGATTGATCTGTACGTGTGCAGTTATGGAGCAAGGTGTGCTATGGATGACACGAGACTGATGGTTTAAATTCAGTGATAAATGGGCTGCTATGGTCGAACCACTGCTAGAACGGCTGGAAGATGTATGTGTTGACTGTGTGATGTTATTCAAGATAAGTAATCGCTAATGGGCTTTTCTAGATCGTTTACAATGTGTTTCCCATGCCCAAGGCGCCTCCGAGATCTCAGCCGTACACTCAATTTCTATCCCAACAAACCGACACCAATAATGTCCCCCCTGAGAGTAGCAACAAAGAGAATGCAGCTCCAGGCGACCCGCAGAGCCTTCCACAGCCGCAGGCGGCGACTACCCCACTTGCGTCCACCGAGGGCGTGCCAGATTCGCAACCCCAATCGTCTTTACAAGCCAACGATGCCCTTCCTCCCCAGCTTGCACAACTGTTAAGCTCTATCCGTTCGTCGATCCAATCATTCTTCACGAGCAAGCCGCCGCATACAATTCAGCGGTTTTCTGAGCTTATCCTTCGCCCGACCGCTCACTACCGAACATTACCCGCTTATCTGCGTGCTGTGGACCGTGTCATATCTGTGACCAGCGATGCGGCTATTTTCCCATTCACCACACCAGCAAATACGAACGCCCAGCCAAATGGGTTTGTTCAACCTAGCAACAGCACCGGGACGTATCTTGCTCCTGACTACGCGCATAGTTTGGGGAGCGACGAATCCTTGGGTGGCGCGCTTCTCACCCCAATTCCGTGGTTGACCAATGCTTCCTTCGGAGCCGAGGGTATATCAGAAATGGAAGAGGGTTTGTCCATCACCTTTTAGCTTTCTGCACCCCTCTTCAATTACCGAAGAGTCGTTAAGAGGTTCGAGCTAACAATTATGTCCACAGAAGATTCGACATCCGCGCAAGCTCACAATATAGAAACCGGAGGGTCACACGCCCCGGATAGTGTTATGCCTCCGATTGAACCCGAAGACAGTCCTACCACCGCTGGCTCCCCACCTGCAGATTCATCTGAGGAGGTTCCTCACGCTCGCGGACCCCCGCTTTTGGGCGTTCAGGATCTAGGTTTGCAGGACGGACAAGGAGTAGAGATGACGCTTGGTGAACAAGAATCCCAGGGTGCGGGAGCGGATGGTCCTGCTGACACTCACCCTCAAGCCTCTACTTCTGAAGCAAACCCAGCCGATAAGGACGGAGATATTGTTCTTGATGGAACCCAAGCCAAGGGAGAGGAAGGCAAGATGGAAGACACGTCAGCTGCAGATTCTGCTAAAGCGTCAGAGACATAGAATGATTGAAGGGAGCGTGTCCATATGGTTTTATGTTTTCTAACTGCCTCTGGCATTATGAGTCACGAATTTGTTAAATTTGTTGAATTACTTATGAAGCTTCTCAAGCCGTCAGACCTTGACTAAGTCAGTAACTTGGAAAGATCACTCTCGTTTTATTGATCGAAGTTAGTCGTGGGCATCGAAATCCAGGCCGGCGTTCTCATCGCATGCTCGAAGTAACTCGAGACGGGTCCCGGGCTCCTGCTCGATATCAGTATATGTCCGAGTCCAAAAACAGATATGTCAGCACGAAGATTATTCCATACCCTTCCACTATGACCGGCGTCAGGGATCCAAATAAGTCGTGACATAGGCAAACATCGATGTAGCTCCCAAGCAGTTTGCGGGGGACAGACCATGTCATATCGGCCCTGGATGATGGTGACTACAAAATATCAATAGGGGCAAAATCCAGAAGGGAGACCTTATCTGCTTACCAGGAATATGTCGGATTTTTGCCAAGTTCTTCGGCTTGAAAATCTGTCTATCCTCCAACCAAAAGCCATGCACCGCATAATGCGCCTCCAAGAGAGCATGCGCCCAAGACCATTCATAATCATCTAACTTCTTGAAGCCGTCCTCGTCAACCTTCAACTCTCCAATGCTCAAATCCCACCGATTCCATTCTTTGGCTGCTGCTAGACGTGTTGGATGGTGATCGCACGTAAGCCGCTTATAATAGCCAGCAATCATATCATGACGGTCATCCTCGGGCAGATAGCGCTGGAAGACATGCCACGCTTCTGGGTAGACGTTGGCTGCGCCCAATGAACTTCTTGACCACGCAACCTCCAACCTGCTGGCCGTAAAAATTCCCCGCAGGATCATCGACCGCACGAACTGCGGGTAAGCTTGGGCATACAACAGAGCGAGCGTCGTGCCCAGGACCCACCGAAGATAAGATGCCACTTAGAGATTGCTAGATGCTGACGCAGTGCGTCGATGTCGGAAACAAGGTGAGGCGTGGTGTTTTCAATTAGCTCAGTCGTGGGCTCGGATTTCCCTGTGCCGCGCTGATCGAGTAGGATCACTCTATAGACGGCCGGATCAAAATAGGTCGTGTTACTTCTTGAAGTGCAACCCCCAGGACCCCCGTGCAAGAAAATAACTGTCTGATAATTAGCAGCTTTTCACCTCGACGTGGGGTCTGTGGGAGGCGGACCTGGCTTTCCATCCTTTCTGCCATATTGCTCGTAGTATATTCTATGAATTGCACCCACAGGAAGTAGGCCTACATCGAAGGGCTCTGAGTGTGTGTATCCGCTCATCTTGAAGAATTATGATGTGTTGTCACTGTCGAGGTTGAGTAAATCAGAGATGCGGGCAAGACTACTACCTCGAAGGTTTGAAAGCCAAACTGAGTCATGCAATGCGCCCCACCACATTGAATCGAGTGGGGGTAGCTTGGGAAGTCACTCGAAGCGAAGCGATATTTGATTCATGAGCTTTCTTTGATATCTAATTTGAGCCTGATCGCTGGAAAATTTGTAGACTCCTGCTGGCATAAATTCACCAATAATCTATCCCTTTCTCCCGTAATTATACGGATCTGGGCAAAGTCCAACCAATCTGATCTTTTGGCCACTGCAACCAGCCTCGGTAATCTTCACTCAACACAGAATTTAACTGTGTCATAAGCCGACTGCTCAGTCCTTTCATCCACCACATTGATTCAATCTTCCATAATGCCACACAGAAGTATCCAAAGATGACGATTGCGACAGGTGCCTCTTGCCGTAGCAGTTCAAGGTAGGTGTTTGGTACCTCAAGCAACCAAGCAAATACATCAGAGGTTTGGAGCATCCGCCCCTCAATGGGTTTCATAGCCACGCCTAATGTCCTGGCTAACCCCTCCAGTGTCTCTTCATACACATGACTGAGTTTAAGGTCGTGCAAACACTCACGGGAGATCATTTGTTTCAGCTCTCGGACATAAATCTGACCCTGTTGGAGTGCTTCGGCGCTTCGGCGAGTCATCGATATGTTAGTACCGTGCATGAACATCGGACCTAGTCGCCCCTCATGGAAATCTTGACTAGTATAGTCCATAACTGTTTTAGCTCCGCGGAAAAGGAGGGCCCATTCAGAAAGATGGCCGTGTTCAAACAAAACAAGGAAGGTGGATTGGGCGTTGGCGCATGCAAATATGCAGGTCAGTGACGAAAATATGAACAACCCGGCACTATTATCGGAGGCGAGAGATTGAACATTCGGCGTCACATCCTGGACTGCGGCGTTGTGATGCAAATGCGCTCGGGCAATGCAGCTTGTTGTCCGAGATGGATCCGAACAGGCAAGGTGTAGGGCCGAGACGGCTAGCATGGCATGCAATACACCCGGCATATTGAATGCAATACGAGGGACCTCATCACGCCAGACTTCTTGGACAGCCGGGGCCCGAGACAAGGTATAAGAAGTGGTCGTCATATAATGATGCAAGAGTTCCATGTCAAAGATGTCTAAGCTTGCATGGCTAGATTTCATGGGAAGTTGCGAGCCAGATTCTTGGTTGCGATCTGAAGATGTGAGAGAGGTAGCTGGGCTGTCACTTTCGCGTATAATATCAAGCCTCGCAGGCACAGTAGGCACTGCATGGCTGGATTGAATTGGACGTGGAAGTTCGGCGAAGGCACATCGCACATCGCGTCTTGTACAGTTACGACAACTTGGTTTGTGTTCATCGCACTAGAATCAGATTAAAATATTTTCAAGAGAGAGATAACAGTTCGAGGCATACCTTGACTTTTCTCTGTTTGCATTGCAAGCAACCTGTTCTTGACTTTCGATGGGAGCGTCGAGCGAGGCCAACTGTCGCCATGTTGACAGGAATCAATCATCATCTACGTATTGCGTGGTCAGGCCGTCATAACCAGGCCGTCATGATCTCAGCCAGTAAAAGAAAATTCAGCAACGCCGCTTCGCTCACCCTTTCTGGAAGATTTGGGCACGTTGGATCAAGCTGAGGCGAAATCTCGGGGGAACGCGGGGATTACTGAACTACTCTACTACAAATGGTAAAAGGTGTGATACAGTCCGGTGTTCCCGATGGCCAGTCATGTGACCACGCAACATAAGCAAAATGCTGTTGCAGTGGGAGGTCTAAAAATTTGCCGTGGCGTTACCAACACCCCCAATCAGGTAGCCAGGTCAACTACAAGGTTGAAAAAAAAGGTTCAGACGCTTAGTTTGATTCTTGAACACGAAATTTTATGTCGAAATAACTCTGAAAGCCTTTTTGTATCAATTGTTCGAAACCCCAGTTAAATATCCTTCTTTGAATGCTCAGGTTGATGCGTTGTTTCATAGTCAATGTGGACAAAAGCGCGCTCAACATCAGGCAAGCTTTCCAGCTTTGTCTGAAGATCCTCTGCAATATCATGGCATGTTTTCAGTGTCTCATGGGGACGCATGACAACATCTACCTCAATTATAAGTCGTGGACCACAATGATATGCACGGACGGTGTCGATCGCTTGAACATGATCGCTATGTGTCATAGCAATATAGGTGATAAGATTCAACGTATCGGCATCGGCCGAAACGCCAATGAGCAGCTTGAACTCTCCAATCGAAGTATTAAGCCATAGGCCCAAGATTAGAAGTGAAAGGATGATTGCACCCATTGGGTCAATCCACCATTTGAGCTTCGATCCACCGACTGAGGTGAGAATACCGAAGCCATTGATGAAGAGATCGTTTCGGTGGTCTTCCCAGAGAATTCGGACTTGCGAATACTTATTTCGTAGGGCGAAACAGTAGATGAAGAGGCATAACTTTACGACGAATGCCACGGATACTGCGATCACGGAAGGGAGATGGAAGGCTGTTGATCCGCCTTCGGCAAGTTCCTGGCAGGAAAATGCTACAAGGATCAGGGATACCGCCATCATGATGAAAGAGAAGAAGATGTTCCCCGCTGTTTCAATGCGTGATGTTCCCACCGGAAACTTGTGACTAACGGCTTTTTTGGCTTGGCGATTGCAGATGATGAGGGTCACGTTGGAGAGCGGATCGAAAATCGAGTCCGCCATGGTTGTGAAGAGAGAAAGAGAGCCCGAAGCCACGGCACCATATACCTGGAGCCCAGAGAGAAATATGTTGCAAACGAAGGAGGAGTACACGGCGATCCGATATTGGAGTTGTTGGGATTCTTCTGTCTCGGCGGCTTCACGGACATGTTCGTGGACAGGTTTGAGGAGACGGACAATCTGTTTATTTTGAGTGTCGTAGTAGTCGGTCAAGCTCTTTGATTTTGCTTGTGATTTGTTGAATGGGCTGTAATACAGAGCTCTCTTGCGAGAGGTGTTAGCCTCTGGTGGGGATTGCAGTCTGCTTGACAGATCGAAGGGATCCGCGGCAGACGAAAACGCCGCCGGGTTCCCGCTTTCGAGGGCAATATTGCCGTCCATATTAAGCAAGAGACTAAATACACTTGCAGGGTTTGGGGAGAAATTATGTTCGCTTTATAAAAGGGAGGATTTGCTGCGCCCTTCTTGGCATGGGAGACAAGACCTTGGCGACCCAGTCCACTTCGGTACCCTAGATACATGCAATCGGCGTAGTTTGTCTACTTGGTTTACTATCAGCCATAATTTGGGAATGCCAGATCTCTCTGTGTAGTACAGAGAGAGGCTTTCCCGTCTACACCGCACTTCCCTGGTCATTCTTATCATACCGGGTCCACAATCGTTTCACCAGTTCCCGGATCGATGAGCCCGTCCCATCAGCATCATATAGAGGCCTATGCTCTTCGTTGACATCATGATGGTAGTCGTAGTCCACATGCACAAAGGCACGCTCAACATCTGCCAGCCCCTCCAGTTTGCGCTGTAATTCTTGACTAACGTCGTGTGACTCTCGCAGTTTGGTCTCCGGGTCCATTACAATGTCGACTTCCACGTATAATTGCTGGCCGGAGTGGTATGCGCGACACTATTTTTATTAGTATTTGACCTCATCTCCTTCTGTCACGGAGGATTACTCACTGTATCCACTTTCTGAATCCTTTGGTCATGTGTCATCGTCACATAGATGCACTTGTTTACGAAAGATCTGGGCGCACATTTGCCCACAATAAGCCACATGTGTTCGAATGCAGTCGACACCCAAGAAAATAGAATGAGAAGAGCAATGCAGCAAGCACCGACGGGGTCAAGATACCACACAAGACGATTTCCCACAATCGACATGAGAAGGCCGAAGCCATTAACTGCAAGATCATTTCGGTGATCGATATAGAATATGCGGGCAGCGGGGTACCGTCGCAGGCTATAACAGTATAGGAACAGGCAGAACTTGGAGAAGATAGCGACTCCAACACAGATCAGCGGAATCAACTTGAGCTGACTTGACTCTGTCTCTCCATCAGCCAAAGCCTTGGCCGACTCAATAATCAACTCCACTCCAACAACCGTCATGAGCGCACAGAACATGATGATCCCCATTGTTTCGATGCGACGGCGTCCAACAGGGTACTTGTATGGTTTAGGGCGGGTGGACATGCGGGAGGTAACGAGCATAACAATCGAAGATACGAGATCCATGAAGGCGTCGGCAGCCGTAGCGAAGAGAGCAAGGGAGCCGGTTGAGATAGCTGCATAGAGTTGAATGACGAAGAGAAAGAAGTTGACCACAAAGCTAGCTCGCACGGCAAGTTTCACCTTGCCGCCGTTCTGCGCGATGTCCATAGCGTTTAGGCGCTCTTCATCACCACTGGAGAGAAAGCCATCGATGAGTTCATTTTGCTCAATGTAGAAGTTGTTGACCTTTTCGCTTGGCTGGGTGGGGAGGGGAAGCCAATTCTTCTTCTGCGAGCTGATCTCAGCCTTGTATTGTTGGAGGTTAAAGGGATCCGCCTCCATTTTGGATGACTGCTATGCCGAGAATTCTCTGAAGCTTGTTAAAGTTCAGGTTTAGACCGGCAATATCCTGGAGAGAAAAGATCCGATCAGATAAAAACTGACAGTTAAGGGTGTCGACGCCAAGGATGGCTGTGTCGTGCCAATAATCTTGGCGATTACAAGCGTGATGGATTGATTGCGAACGATTGGGACGCTTATTTTTCCTCTTTTGGTCTGCAGGGGTACAGATCAGCCCTAGTTTTGAACCTGGATAGTCAAACCCTCCAAGATATAGGACCAGGGGATGTGTGACGGATGGCCGAGCCTGGCCGGGTATACTTCGCCAGAGCCAATCAGCGACGGCACAATTCCATTTCCGACCTTGGGAAATTGGAGCCCCATCAACCTTATCGGCCGCACCGCAGTTAATTCGGACCGCACCTTGGCACTTTTCCTTCGCGAACCCTCCTTGATAAGAGACAGTCTCCAGACCTCAATCAAAGGACAACGATTTTGCACCAACTTGTTTCTCTACAGCTCGCTTGCAATCTACCATGTCGAAATATGACGGCGCCCTCGAGCGCATCGATGCCGCACACAAAGATGACCCGAACACAATAACCACCAACAACACCACAAAGCCCTACGAACTCCACTACGCCGAGCAAATGACATTCTATCTCGAGCGCCTAAATCCCAATGCCCCCGAGCTTCTCCGCCTCGCCATTCGCGCCCAGCACCTCCGCCGCTGGGAAGTCCCGCGCAGCTCCTACCCCGCCACGAAGATCGGATATCACTCCTGGCGTGCGGGACTACAGCGACGACAGGCTGCGTTGGTGAAAAAGATGTGTGTCGAGGCTGGGTATAGCGAGGAGGAGGCAGCACGCGTTGGGGCAATGGTGCAAAAGGCCGATTTGAAGGCCGGTGACCCCGATACGCAAACGTTGGAGGATGTGGCCTGTTTGGTTTTCTTAGATGACCAGTTTGACAAGTTTGAAAAGGATCTCGGGGATGAGGAGAAGATGGTTGATATCTTGCGCAAGACTTGGGGCAAGATGTCCCCTGCTGGTCGGGACGAGGCGCTAAAGCTGAATTTATCGGAGCGAGCGCTGACCTTGGTCCAGAGGGCCTTGGCCGGGTGAATGATATCCCAATAGGTGGTATCTACACATATGTTTGTCTCACATTTTGGAGTGAGTTCAGTATTCCGCTACTAGTATAATTCAACATATGTAATAAAAGTACTACTAGTAAGTATTTACGATTGGAGCAATGAGGGGAAATGAATTATGTTTTAATCATATAACATGTAAAAAATAAATGCTCGCTGATGAGACCCATGGAGAGTCATGATGAGAGTCGAGAGGAAGATAAAACTCCGAGAATGCTTTTAAAATCTGACATGAAATCGTTAATCGCCGAGGCAGTTTTTGAATCCCAGTGGGGAGAGGTTTATTGAGCACCACCGGCGTCAATCAACTGCACCAATCCAATCGCTGCGCCGGCCGCAATACCGCCAACAAGGCACATTTGTACACCTCCCCAGATGCCTGCCATGACATTGTCACGTCCGCACCATCCACGTACAACGGCAGTTTTGGTGTATCCAAAGGCAAATAGGGTAATGCCCATGACGCCGATGCTCCAATATAACGCGGTGATGACATGAGTCAGGATGAAGTAGGGGATGAGAGGAATGAATCCACCGACGAAATATCCCAGAGCCAGGGTGATGGCAGAGATCCAGGCCTGATTACAGTCAGGCGCAGACTCGCGGTGGCGGAAGGCCAACAAGAACTCGAGCAATCGGTCTTGCGAAGCATGCAAGTCGCGGGTGATATCTTCAATGGCAGTGGGCGAGAGTCCGTATGGAGCGAACGTCTGGCGCACCATGGACTGTGTTTCGAGCGGGTCACTCTTAATTAACTCCTGTGTCTCACGAACTGTGGCTTCATATGATTCACTATAGCGAGGTTCCTTGTTAGTCGATGCACATATAAAGAACGGTAGACCAAAGGGGTATTGAACTCACGCTTCGCTCTTAGCTCCAACGTAGCCTCCAAGTCCCATAGAGATTGCACCCGCAGCAAGCTCCGCCAGACCACCCAGTACAACAACCTTGGTGTTTCCCAGGGCAGAGAGACCCGCACTTAGGGCGAAAGGAACAGTCAATCCATCCGAAAGGCCGAGGATGGCATCTGAAACGATACGAGGATTGATGCGGGACCGTGTGCTGCTTGAGGAAGCGGTGGAATCATCATTGCTCACGCATCGTCCGAAGGTATCGTACGAACGCTGGGACTCGAGGTCCTGGTCGGAGTCGCTGTCGCGGAGGGTCTCGTCGTCATCTCCACGAGCAAGAAGGGGCTTGTCTAGGTGAAAATGGGTTAGCTTCGAACCGTTGTTTTGTTTTTGCCTTTTGCTTTGTTCTGGAAAAGCAAATATGAAACCATATTGCAGGAGAATACTCACTGGAAGACTTGTTGGATTGCTGTATAGGGAACAGCTTCTGTTTGATGAAGAGGAGGGCCATGATGCTGAGTGATGCTATGTTTTGATTCTTCCCAAACTGTTATGATTTCGTCGATTGAAATCGATCTGACAGAATTTCTGCCCAGTGTCGATCCTGAGTGGCCTGGAACCCGGGAGATTATTGACTTTCGAAGGATTGCCCGAGCTATGCAAGCTGTGGCAAGCAATTCTGACGTCAAGATTCACGTTTACGGGAAAGGGCAAAGAGAATGCAAGAGGAGCTCTGAAGGGCGAAGCAAGAAAAAAAAGGAAAAAAGGCGAGAGAAGTCTGGGGGATTTAAAAGGGGGGGGATCGGTCGTCAAAGCCAGGCCTGGATGGAGTCGTGGAACCCGTCTTGGTGGTGGATCAGAAAGCAACAACGAAAACAATGATACTCCCCGTTTGAAGTACAGAGAAGGAGGAGGAGCTGAAACAGATGGATTTGAAGTAGAAAACTCTCAATATGTCTTAGAAGAGACCACGCACGTCCCTTATAACTCTGTGCAAAACCTTTGGCCACAGTCCTCACCGATTCTCAACGCTCTGGAAACGCAAAACTTCATTAGCGCAGAGAAAGTCGAAGAAAAAAAAAACTGGAGATGCATTCCATTTCGAGGGCGATACACCAATCAGGAGCATTAGAAAGGTCAGCGACCGTAACCCGTCCGGTCTTGAGGTTCTCCAAAGGTGCAAGGTCAGTTCCAAGAGCTGCAAGCGACGACAAATACATGAGGTGCGATTGGTGGTGATGATCGTGCTGACCATTATTGATGAGGTGATTGGCTGCACTCGGCGATCTATCTGGATCGACTGGCAATGGTTTGGCGCTGATTGGTGGTGGAGACATTCCCGGGTTTTAGGGCTCGGGATTACCTTGGATACGATCCACTGAGGCTTGATTTCTTCGGAGTTTACCATTGTAGGAAGCTATGTACACCGTACACCGTACACCGTTTGTTACTATTGGAGTGGCATCTCTCTTGGTGGGGTTTTGTTTTTTCTTTGCTTTTCTTTGACTGAACGGTAAAAGAACATGTGAATCGTAGGATCAAGTGTA